TATATGGTAGAATATAACATAAGCCTTAAACTTGTATTTTAATTTATAAAATCAAATTTAATTCTAATATTTATGCAAAAGATTTTCTAAGCATTTTTATATTATTGTCTTGTTACTTATTATTATCTTGTTCTACTTGTTATGGCTATCTATTCTGATTCCGTAATCAATTTTAGTAATAGATTTATTCTAGTTTTAGAATCAATCCATAATAAATAAATATTTATAAATATTTGAACATATACCACACTAAAATAGAATAAAAATAAAGAGAATCAATTTTATATCTTCAAATAAGGATGGAGCTCTCCATTATACTTTTTAAGTATTGTATAATAAAATCGATTTTTGACTTAATTTTCCTAAAATTTAAGAATTTCAGAATTACAGATCTGTTGTTTAATAATTTAGCTATCTATGCCCAATGTGGTCCATTTAATTTAAATTCTTTCATAATTGTCTTATCCTCTTCTTCATTCCACTATTCATGGTTTATAGTTGGGTTTATTTAATTTACATATCTATCTCTTACTTATTTAGATGTTCTTCCAGGTAGTTCTATATTTAGTATTTAAGTTTTTTTTACTTTCAGCTATCTTAATCCACTGTCTCCCATATTCTTCATAGTATTCTAGTAATAATTTATCCTCTTAAATCGACCATTTCCTTTTTGTTCTTTTTTCTTAATCCTATAATTTCCTATATTTCTGTGAACACTAAGAAATGTTTCTACCTTTCAAGTGTTTTATTATCTTCTTCCAATCACCATTATATTATTTATAGTATTTAACTAAGTTATTAACCTCATCATTAGTCCATAACTATCCTTTCCCTCTTATTATTCCACTTGCGTTTGTTTGTTCTTGAATATTTGAGACTGTTTGTTCTTTCTCGAACTCAGAAACTTCCTCCTTTACAAAGATCTGAGGCATCTGAATTTAATACAAATAAGGTAAGCAAAAGAACATTGGGTTCACAGAGTTTATAAACATTTAATAAATTAATAAACGCTATATAAATGATTCCACAAAATATCATCAATTTATGGACTATTCTGCCTTATCTAACTCTCTCATTTTTTTACTATTCAAAATGTCATCATATCTATTACAAATAATTATTATATCAAACTTATTTTAAATATACTGCTTTATTTCCTCTATCATATTTCTATTCGAAACCATCATTATTTTCATCTCTTTCTTTTTTTAAAACATATCTAATCAATTAATCATTATTCAAAATCACTTAACAACCCTTTTTTCAAATTATAATCCTTTTTTTTAAAAAATTGAAAACTAATATTTATTAATATATAAAACTTAATTAAATATTAATAATTTTTATATAAATAAAATTTAAAGAAATTTTAGAATAATAAATCACATCCTTAATCATACTAAATTATTTCCAATTAATGCTAATTGAATACTTTTTAATATAGAAAATTATAGGATATGCTCAATTTTATAATTCATTCGCTTTTCAAATCATTTTATTACCACCTTTCATATAAATATCATAAGTTTTGACTTAAAGTTAATAATCATGAAGATATTACCTTGATTGAGTCTAAAGTTATTAATTTTTAACGATTAAATTAAAATTTAAAATTAAATAACCTCATTTCATACTTCACAGTTTACAAATAAAATTGTAAAGTTTAGTAAATTCGTTAGTATTAATCTTAATAAATTGCTTAAATCCTATTAATTGTAAATAACCTTCAAAATAAATAATGAAATTAAATAGATATGAAAAATTAGTCTTATTCATTTTGCCTTTCTTTCCTACATTGTACCTTTCTTGGAATAATAAAATTAATGAACTTTAAGCTTAGTTTATCATAAAATAAAAAGTTACAATAGAGTTTGTATACAAGTTATGAAAAAAAAAAATAACGATTAATTAATACTTCAAAATCTACTGTTTAAAAAATAGTTTGAAACTTTAGAATTAGAGAATAACCAGACAATATTTTGTAAACTTATAATAATTGTTTTAAATAATTGATTCATCATATGAAAAACATTAAACAAAAGTTTCACATCAAATTACCATGATTTATCAGTTTGTTGAGATATAAATTATTGCATTTAATATAATAAACATCATTTTGAGTATGCAAAAAAAAACGCCATTCGATAGACAAATAGTTTTGGAAATGTTTGAGTAAACAGATAATGAATTCGCATAATCACTTCTTAAAAACCATTAGTTCTCATTCTAGTCATTGCCTACTGTCGAGGAAATTAATTCTATACTAAATTCTGTCGAAAAAGCTTACAATAGTAAAAGAGGAACATGGACTCCATGCTAGGATAAATTCTTAAATTTATTAGTGTTAGGTACATGTTTAAAGAGTAGGGAAATTCCGGTTGAATTAGTAAAAATTTAAGATTATTCTTTATAGACTTCTTATTAATGGGAATAGATTTCAAGAATGTTTAGATATCATAATTGGAAAGCTTGCCGAAATAGATGGTTGGAAGAATGCCATCAAAAAGTAAGTTGGACACCTTAAGAAGATTAAGTTTTAATATAATTATAGTAAATGCATCCAAACAAATGGTGTGAGATTGCAATAGAAATGATGAGAATTTGTAAAACTCCTTATATTCGATAAGGAAAATAATGTAGAGATAGATGGGTTAACAAATTAGACCCAAATATCGTCAAGTAATTTAAAAATATTAAATTTTAATAGTCTTCCATGGACTAAGGAAGAAGAGTTAAAATTGTTTCGAGAAATTGAGAAAAGAGGAAAAAGATGGGCAGAAATTTCATTGAAGGTGTTTAAGTTAAAAAGAACAGAAAATACAATTAAAAATAGATATTATAATCTATTAAAATAAGAAGAAAATAAAATTAAACTAGGAAGAGTAACAAAAGACGAAAAGAATGAAATCTTAGTTAAATCTATCATTTAATAACTTGAATAATAAGTGAAGTGCAAATTTCCAATAAAAAATGAAGAAACTGAGGAATAATAAATTTAAGAATATAATTTCTAGATTTTTAATTGCAATTAAATCTAAGAGCTCTATCAACTAGTTTGTTTCATAAAAAGAAAGATTGTCAAATTAAATGATATATGATAATGTTTATAATGATATTGCTACATTAATTCTAATATTAGTAAAACTTATATCATATTTTATATGAAAATAAAAATATGAATTGTTAAATCTGTTTCATTGATAAATTGATGATTAAACCTGGAGATTGTTCTCATTAATTTTGCAAGTAAACATATGTAAATCAAAAAGAGAATGCATTGTCATGTATATAAAAGAAGCAATTAAGAGTGGAAGTGTATTTAAGATAACATGTCCTTCATGTAGTACTTAATATGATGCTTTAATAATAAAATAGTATTGTGAAGATTTATATCCTAAGTATTTGGAACTAAATCAAAAAGCTATTATAACTTGTTCTGTATGAAATATTAATTCAATTTTAGGTTTGCAAGGAAAATCTAAAAACCCATAAATGTGGTACTAAAGTCTGTTAAAAATGCGGAGAAATTCATAATGCACAATGTAGTTAGAGATGTCCAAATTGTTTGATTCCTTTAGAAAAGATTAGTGGATGCAATCATATGGTTTGTAAATGCAAATATGAATTTTGTTGGATTTGTAGGGGAAAATTTGGAAAATATCATTATAGATTATGGAATTTATTAGGATGTCCATGTAATTTATTTTTTAATTGAAGATCCTGGATCAATGATGAAAAATATTAAACCTTTAAGAAATCCAACACTAATGCGATATTTAATGGTTTTACCAAAACTTATTGCATTCCTACTAATATTTTCTTTCTTGCTTTTAATATATCCATTTTTCTGTTTTATTATCACTGTTTAATTTCATTATAAATAGTTTAAGATCAAAAAGTAATTCATAAATTGATAATTATTATAGATCAAGATTATTATTAGTATTTCTGTTTCCGTTGATTTACTTGATGCATTTTTTTTATAAAGGCATTTTTGCTGTGCAGAATAAATTACATTCTCTTAGTTGAAAATATATTTAAAATATGTATTTTGATATTTTTATTCATTCTTTCTTGATGAAATTATATTATTCAAAATTAAATTGCCAATACATTTAATGTGCAATAGTAAGAGATGAAACTTAATTAATATGCAATAAACTCAATAGTATAGAAAGTATTAAATTTACAAATAAATAAATAAATTAGAATATTTTGCAATCTTGAATTATTAAAATTGCCTGATATGTCAGATATTANTTGTTTCATAAAAAGAAAGATTGTCAAATTAAATGATATATGATAATGTTTATAATGATATTGCTACATTAATTCTAATATTAGTAAAACTTATATCATATTTTATATGAAAATAAAAATATGAATTGTTAAATCTGTTTCATTGATAAATTGATGATTAAACCTGGAGATTGTTCTCATTAATTTTGCAAGTAAACATATGTAAATCAAAAAGAGAATGCATTGTCATGTATATAAAAGAAGCAATTAAGAGTGGAAGTGTATTTAAGATAACATGTCCTTCATGTAGTACTTAATATGATGCTTTAATAATAAAATAGTATTGTGAAGATTTATATCCTAAGTATTTGGAACTAAATCAAAAAGCTATTATAACTTGTTCTGTATGAAATATTAATTCAATTTTAGGTTTGCAAGGAAAATCTAAAAACCCATAAATGTGGTACTAAAGTCTGTTAAAAATGCGGAGAAATTCATAATGCACAATGTAGTTAGAGATGTCCAAATTGTTTGATTCCTTTAGAAAAGATTAGTGGATGCAATCATATGGTTTGTAAATGCAAATATGAATTTTGTTGGATTTGTAGGGGAAAATTTGGAAAATATCATTATAGATTATGGAATTTATTAGGATGTCCATGTAATTTATTTTTTAATTGAAGATCCTGGATCAATGATGAAAAATATTAAACCTTTAAGAAATCCAACACTAATGCGATATTTAATGGTTTTACCAAAACTTATTGCATTCCTACTAATATTTTCTTTCTTGCTTTTAATATATCCATTTTTCTGTTTTATTATCACTGTTTAATTTCATTATAAATAGTTTAAGATCAAAAAGTAATTCATAAATTGATAATTATTATAGATCAAGATTATTATTAGTATTTCTGTTTCCGTTGATTTACTTGATGCATTTTTTTTATAAAGGCATTTTTGCTGTGCAGAATAAATTACATTCTCTTAGTTGAAAATATATTTAAAATATGTATTTTGATATTTTTATTCATTCTTTCTTGATGAAATTATATTATTCAAAATTAAATTGCCAATACATTTAATGTGCAATAGTAAGAGATGAAACTTAATTAATATGCAATAAACTCAATAGTATAGAAAGTATTAAATTTACAAATAAATAAATAAATTAGAATATTTTGCAATCTTGAATTATTAAAATTGCCTGATATGTCAGATATTATTATTCAAACTCTGAATAATTCAAAAATTATTGTATTATATTTATTTAAATAAACTAAAAAAGAAGTTAAAATAATAATTACTTTTTTAAAAACTATTGAATTTCAATAGAAGATAGTAGAGAACTCATTGAGAAAAATGAAATAATTTTTGATTAAAAATCCAATTAAATAAAAATATTAGGATAAAAATTTAATGCCAAACCTTAAATGTTATGTCGTTTGTTTTTATATTCTAAATCATTTCTTTAATTAAAATATGAGAAATTCAAAACTGAAAAATCATTCAATAATCAAAATTTAATTTACAGAGATTAAGATTTAACTTAAATTAAGGTTTTTTTTTCACAATTAATACAAAGAAATTCAATCATTTTTACGATAGAAGGAGAATACAAATATAAGTTGGATTATGAAAGGAAAATCTTTAAGCAAGCCCTTAAAACATATTTATAAACAAGTATAATATCTGAATATTATAAAATTGAAAATGAAATATTATAGATTTAATTGAACAATAGATTCTACCCATGATATATTGATAAATTTGGTATTAAAAAATAAGAAAAATAATAAGAAATGAAAATAAAGTACGATTATTTTTTGTCAAATTAGATTTAATAGAATAAATATTCCATTAATGATAGAACTTAAGATGAAAAAAGACTTGTTTCACTTTTTAAGTATTTGTTTCATTATAAAAAAATTTCATAATTTTAAATTTAGCAAATTGTCCTCAAATTTCAATGATTGAAGTATTTCTGGCAATAGTATAAACATAAAAAGTTAAGATAACAAAAAATTTTTATAATTGCAACCTAAAGATTCTGTACTTTATCAATGTGAATTTGATTCCTTTTATGTATCATCTATATAATAATACACTAAAGAGTGATATAATAAATCTTATTAACATAATTTCAGTTTTTATTGAAAAAAATTTAGTTGAAATCAATCTCTTCAATGGCCAAATAATATGAAATATGTCAAAAACAAAAATTGCTCCAATTTAATAGTAGATTAACTGAATTCATTAATTATAGTATAATTTATGAGCAATCGCTTAATAAAATTCTCTAATTTCTAAATTAATTATTAGTATACAACTTTATTCTAAGAAGTTTAATAAAAAAGACATTTAATTCAAGATTGACCATAAATTTTGAATATCTAACTTTATTAATTTTGGTTTGCAGATTTTTCTGATTTTAATTAGCTTAGATGCAAATTAANTATAAATAGTTTAAGATCAAAAAGTAATTCATAAATTGATAATTATTATAGATCAAGATTATTATTAGTATTTCTGTTTCCGTTGATTTACTTGATGCATTTTTTTTATAAAGGCATTTTTGCTGTGCAGAATAAATTACATTCTCTTAGTTGAAAATATATTTAAAATATGTATTTTGATATTTTTATTCATTCTTTCTTGATGAAATTATATTATTCAAAATTAAATTGCCAATACATTTAATGTGCAATAGTAAGAGATGAAACTTAATTAATATGCAATAAACTCAATAGTATAGAAAGTATTAAATTTACAAATAAATAAATAAATTAGAATATTTTGCAATCTTGAATTATTAAAATTGCCTGATATGTCAGATATTATTATTCAAACTCTGAATAATTCAAAAATTATTGTATTATATTTATTTAAATAAACTAAAAAAGAAGTTAAAATAATAATTACTTTTTTAAAAACTATTGAATTTCAATAGAAGATAGTAGAGAACTCATTGAGAAAAATGAAATAATTTTTGATTAAAAATCCAATTAAATAAAAATATTAGGATAAAAATTTAATGCCAAACCTTAAATGTTATGTCGTTTGTTTTTATATTCTAAATCATTTCTTTAATTAAAATATGAGAAATTCAAAACTGAAAAATCATTCAATAATCAAAATTTAATTTACAGAGATTAAGATTTAACTTAAATTAAGGTTTTTTTTTCACAATTAATACAAAGAAATTCAATCATTTTTACGATAGAAGGAGAATACAAATATAAGTTGGATTATGAAAGGAAAATCTTTAAGCAAGCCCTTAAAACATATTTATAAACAAGTATAATATCTGAATATTATAAAATTGAAAATGAAATATTATAGATTTAATTGAACAATAGATTCTACCCATGATATATTGATAAATTTGGTATTAAAAAATAAGAAAAATAATAAGAAATGAAAATAAAGTACGATTATTTTTTGTCAAATTAGATTTAATAGAATAAATATTCCATTAATGATAGAACTTAAGATGAAAAAAGACTTGTTTCACTTTTTAAGTATTTGTTTCATTATAAAAAAATTTCATAATTTTAAATTTAGCAAATTGTCCTCAAATTTCAATGATTGAAGTATTTCTGGCAATAGTATAAACATAAAAAGTTAAGATAACAAAAAATTTTTATAATTGCAACCTAAAGATTCTGTACTTTATCAATGTGAATTTGATTCCTTTTATGTATCATCTATATAATAATACACTAAAGAGTGATATAATAAATCTTATTAACATAATTTCAGTTTTTATTGAAAAAAATTTAGTTGAAATCAATCTCTTCAATGGCCAAATAATATGAAATATGTCAAAAACAAAAATTGCTCCAATTTAATAGTAGATTAACTGAATTCATTAATTATAGTATAATTTATGAGCAATCGCTTAATAAAATTCTCTAATTTCTAAATTAATTATTAGTATACAACTTTATTCTAAGAAGTTTAATAAAAAAGACATTTAATTCAAGATTGACCATAAATTTTGAATATCTAACTTTATTAATTTTGGTTTGCAGATTTTTCTGATTTTAATTAGCTTAGATGCAAATTAATAACTTAATAGATTATTAAAATTATTAATATTTGAAAAAAGGATGTCCTTTTTTGTTAGATTTAAAATAAATTGAACTTTAAAGGCAATTATAAGTATGATTTTTCGAAAAAATTTTTTGCTAAAAAAGACAAGAATAAATGTGCTTTAAAACAAATATTGTAGTTTTTAGAAAAAGAACAAGCACCAGTTACTAAAATGAAAATAGATTTTATAAAATTTAATAAACAAAAAATATTATTGGGTTCTAATGTAATTTTTGTTTCGAGATTTAATAAATAAACTCATTGCTTAAGGAACATTCAATGAAGCGAGATTTTATATTGCTGAAATGATAATAAAAAGCATAGTTATAATATATAGAAGAAAGCATCTTTGTATTGAAGTAGGTATGTAATACAAATTATTAGAAATTGACAAGAAATACTTTTTGTTTTTATATGAGATTAAGACTAGGTTTCTTGGGAAGATAAATGCTTTATTCAAGTATATTAAAATAGTATTTTAGCAAATGCTTCATATTGATGAAATTTAAGGAATTACATTAAATGCAATTAATTCAGATAAATTTTTAGTGGTGTTGATTGGAGGATAGAATGTATACATAATAAAAAGGATTAATGAATTTGAAGATCTATCAGATGAGGATTGATATTTACAATTGCCATATCAATATTGTACTGTTTTTATATAATTGATCATTCTTTCAAAGCAAACTTTCTTAATGGGAAATTGTTCAATCTTTTCCATTGTCTTTATGTTTTTTATGCTTGAATAATTTGTCAATTCTTATTACCTCTTTCACTTCTTGTTAGTCTTTATCTAATTGCTCTAGTTTTTTTTCCTCTTAGATCAACAGGAAGTTTAGAACCTGATTTGGATGCATTTTTCACAGAATTTCTTCTTTGTTCATTAATTACTGTTAAATATTTAGCAATTCTTTTTCTAACAAGCTTATTTATTATGTTAATCGTTTACTCCAATTCTGCCAAGTTTTTAAGCATTACCAGCTGAAACTTTAACAGTTCTCAATTAAATGAGTTCTCCTTTGAGTTTCTCTAAATCTTTTAGAAGATCTTCAGGCTTTTAATCTCTGATCTTTTTGACTTTGAACTTTTGAGACGACATATTTAAAAAAAAAGGATTTAATTTTTATCAAATATGGGTAATTGCTTCAATTCAGATGAGAATTGCAAAACATCAATTAAATCACTTAAGAAAATTGATTAGATGTAGACTCAGTCCAACCAAGACTTAGATGCTAATAAAATAACTTTAAAAGACTTTTTAGGTTTAGGTTAGATAGGGAGGGTTAGGAATATATAAATTTATTTAGGGCTAATTTGGAAAGGTTTTAAAAGTTAAAATGAAAAACAATAACTAGGAATATGCTATGAAAATAATTAAAAAAGCAGATATCATTCAATATGGATTGGTAGAACATACAATGCTTGAAAAGAGTGTATTAATTAGAAGCAAGAATCCTTTTGTTGTCAAATTAAAATATTCATTCTAAACAGATTAAAAGTTATATCTAGTTATGGAGTATTTATTGATAATTGAAATTTAGATTAGTCACTGGAGGATAGTTATCAAAGCTTTTAAGTAAATAGCGTGAAAAAAGATTTACATAATTTTAAGCTTAGTTCTGTGCTGCTGAAATTGTTCTTGGATTATAGTATATACACGAAACTTTAAAGGTTATATACAGAGATTTGAAACCAGATAATATTTTAGTTACATCAGATGGACATTTGAAATTAACCGATTTCGGATTATCAAAATAATATGATTCTTAAGATATGAAATTCTTTACGGTAATTAATAGATTTATTTATAAGACTAGTTTGTAGGAACACCTGAATACATAGCTCCAGAAATATTGTTGAAATCTGGACACAATTCATCTGTAGATTGGTGGAGTCTAGGAATATTACTTTATGAAATGCTTGTAGGTTATACACCTTTTAGAGATAGATCTAATAATTTAAGAGTCATAGAAAATAAAATTATATAAAACGGATTAATATTTCCAGATTTCATTTCCACTGAAGCCAAGGATATTATTTAACTATTATTAAATAAAGATCCACATTAACGCTTAGGTATCTTTAAATAATAATATTATTAGGAAGCAGATCTACAGATTAGATTAAAAACCATTTATTTTTTTCTTAGATTAATTGGGATGACATTTTTAATTTAAGAATTAAATCTCCAATTTTAGATGGTGTGACTAAAATTTTAGAATAATAACAAACAGAAAACTAAATTTTACCAAAAAAAATATTCGAAACTCCCTAATCCTAAATTGGATAAACTGATGGTTAGTTTGAAGGCTTTTCAGTTGATCGTGATGAATTTTGAAAATTTATGTAAAGTTTTTTAATTATCCCTTCGTTCTTCATCAGATAAGCAATCTAATTCGAATAATTAAATATAATTATTCTTTTTAAACTATTTCTAATTTCAAATAGAAAGAGTGTGGGATTAATTTTATATACTATTATGCTATTTATTTATAAGTATTATTATAATGACTAATTAAATATAAAGATTCATTCAGGTATTCTAATTGACTTTTGTGAGTGAAATTATTTATGAATAGTTAGTATGGGTAATTTAGTTATTGAACAATCCTCAGGTATGTTTTCATAAAATGGTACAGTGCTTTCTCTTAATTTTTTTTTCGTTTATTCGATAATGGATTTAGAAGATTTAAAAGAGATAATTTATTTCTCGTGCTTTTGAATATATCCAATAATATATTCTTATAAAGCTAATATGATTTCTCTATGGGTTTTGAGAATCTTCTTATTGAATTGGGCATGCGTGACATCTTGATTTTCATAATATTACACATAAGCTTCACTACCAGGATGATTCTCAGCATAACTCGTCAAATTATATACAGTTTTCTTATACGCATATAAGGAAAGTTGATTTTTTCTTGCATAGTGTTGCATTTCTTTCAAATCATTAAAATAAACATATTGATTCATTATTTGTAATTAATATTAATTAAATACAGTATAAAAACTCCTGCATAAATAGCAATTTTGATTTATTTACTTGAAGCATAATATAAACATTAATATATATTCGTTTAGAAGAATTTTAAAGATATTATCTTATTTTGTATTAAAAATTTTATTTTTCCCTCAAAATTGAATGTCCAATTTTTTAAAATAAAGAGAATTTTAATATGAAGAAGACTTATAAAAGTTTATATAATCTATTTCTAGATTTGTGGTAAGATTGTTTATTAATTAATATTTAGCCAACTCAAAAGAATTTAGATACAGCATAAAAAGTATATTTTAAAAGTATAATTTTCATATTCATATTTAATAAGCATTTTGATCAAACTTGACGTAATGAGTAAACTAGATACTGCAAATTGTTGAAATACCTTATTTAAAGAATTGAAGAAAATAAAATTAAAATAAGATATAATGATATGTCACAAAGAATAATAGGTTTATTATAACTTTTAAATTCTAATTGGATTGAATACAATTTAAATCTGCAAACAAATTAAAACATTTTAAAAAGAAGAGATAATAAGATAATAAATCAATATCTAGCATAGAAGTATTTATTTCACATTAAGNACCTTTTAGAGATAGATCTAATAATTTAAGAGTCATAGAAAATAAAATTATATAAAACGGATTAATATTTCCAGATTTCATTTCCACTGAAGCCAAGGATATTATTTAACTATTATTAAATAAAGATCCACATTAACGCTTAGGTATCTTTAAATAATAATATTATTAGGAAGCAGATCTACAGATTAGATTAAAAACCATTTATTTTTTTCTTAGATTAATTGGGATGACATTTTTAATTTAAGAATTAAATCTCCAATTTTAGATGGTGTGACTAAAATTTTAGAATAATAACAAACAGAAAACTAAATTTTACCAAAAAAAATATTCGAAACTCCCTAATCCTAAATTGGATAAACTGATGGTTAGTTTGAAGGCTTTTCAGTTGATCGTGATGAATTTTGAAAATTTATGTAAAGTTTTTTAATTATCCCTTCGTTCTTCATCAGATAAGCAATCTAATTCGAATAATTAAATATAATTATTCTTTTTAAACTATTTCTAATTTCAAATAGAAAGAGTGTGGGATTAATTTTATATACTATTATGCTATTTATTTATAAGTATTATTATAATGACTAATTAAATATAAAGATTCATTCAGGTATTCTAATTGACTTTTGTGAGTGAAATTATTTATGAATAGTTAGTATGGGTAATTTAGTTATTGAACAATCCTCAGGTATGTTTTCATAAAATGGTACAGTGCTTTCTCTTAATTTTTTTTTCGTTTATTCGATAATGGATTTAGAAGATTTAAAAGAGATAATTTATTTCTCGTGCTTTTGAATATATCCAATAATATATTCTTATAAAGCTAATATGATTTCTCTATGGGTTTTGAGAATCTTCTTATTGAATTGGGCATGCGTGACATCTTGATTTTCATAATATTACACATAAGCTTCACTACCAGGATGATTCTCAGCATAACTCGTCAAATTATATACAGTTTTCTTATACGCATATAAGGAAAGTTGATTTTTTCTTGCATAGTGTTGCATTTCTTTCAAATCATTAAAATAAACATATTGATTCATTATTTGTAATTAATATTAATTAAATACAGTATAAAAACTCCTGCATAAATAGCAATTTTGATTTATTTACTTGAAGCATAATATAAACATTAATATATATTCGTTTAGAAGAATTTTAAAGATATTATCTTATTTTGTATTAAAAATTTTATTTTTCCCTCAAAATTGAATGTCCAATTTTTTAAAATAAAGAGAATTTTAATATGAAGAAGACTTATAAAAGTTTATATAATCTATTTCTAGATTTGTGGTAAGATTGTTTATTAATTAATATTTAGCCAACTCAAAAGAATTTAGATACAGCATAAAAAGTATATTTTAAAAGTATAATTTTCATATTCATATTTAATAAGCATTTTGATCAAACTTGACGTAATGAGTAAACTAGATACTGCAAATTGTTGAAATACCTTATTTAAAGAATTGAAGAAAATAAAATTAAAATAAGATATAATGATATGTCACAAAGAATAATAGGTTTATTATAACTTTTAAATTCTAATTGGATTGAATACAATTTAAATCTGCAAACAAATTAAAACATTTTAAAAAGAAGAGATAATAAGATAATAAATCAATATCTAGCATAGAAGTATTTATTTCACATTAAGTTTACAGTCATTAAAAATATTTGTTATTTGAAACTTCTTAAGAAAAAGTAGATGAAGAAAACATAAATAAGAAGAAATAAAAATTTAAAAAAATAAAATGAAATTAAAAGAGAGATCAGAGAAATGGCTTAATAAAAATAAAATCTTACCTCCTCAAAAAATAACTACCGAATACATTACGGCATTTAAGTTTTGATACAAAAAAGTCTTTTAATGAATTTTTAAATATCTGATGGTTCAATTATTAAGATTTTTGGAATTATTTGAATCTGAAAACTAAAAAAAATCATAAGAAATTCTTAAATAGTAAAAGATTTTAATGTTACAAATATATTTTAGATTAGCCTAATCACAATTGAAAGAGATGTAGTTTTTACTTTTTTGTGTAGTTTTTAGATTTGCAGAGTTAATTATTAAAATTTTTTCCAAGTTAATATTAGTTAAGGGAAGCCTTTTAAGTTGAACATAAAAGGTTTTGCAAAATTTCTAATTTCCTCTTTATATCAACTCTTTAAGTGCAAACTGATTTATTTTGGACAAAGTCAATAAAAGGAAAAAGCTTCTCATATAGAGAATCGCAACTTTTATCTTAAAAATCTCTGATAAAATATTTCTCAATTAAAAAGTAAAGCTTAATTTAATTTATTACTCAAAATCAATTTTAGATGCTAGATACAAAGCAATTGATACAGTCTAGAATTATCTGTAATAAATAGATCTAATTTAGTTCATTAAATCGCTAAAAATATTGAAATTATCAAAATTGATAGTTAATTTAAAAAGATACAAGATTCGTTTTATCAACAAATATCTGCTACAATATTTCTATTTGATCATTACACTCAAAGATTTACTCACGCTCCTGAAAGTGAAAAATTTTTTTGTCATTTTAGTTATCAAATATACTTTGAAGGTTAATTATTTGACTAGATAATTGTTTTAGTAAGTAAAATAATTATTTATAAATAACCAAAAGTATTTTTTCTTAATTTTAATAATATTAATTCAAGTCATGTGATATAGTAATCAAAAAAATTTAATGATTTTTTTAAAATAAAAAATGAAGAGTTGNAAGAAAATAAAATTAAAATAAGATATAATGATATGTCACAAAGAATAATAGGTTTATTATAACTTTTAAATTCTAATTGGATTGAATACAATTTAAATCTGCAAACAAATTAAAACATTTTAAAAAGAAGAGATAATAAGATAATAAATCAATATCTAGCATAGAAGTATTTATTTCACATTAAGTTTACAGTCATTAAAAATATTTGTTATTTGAAACTTCTTAAGAAAAAGTAGATGAAGAAAACATAAATAAGAAGAAATAAAAATTTAAAAAAATAAAATGAAATTAAAAGAGAGATCAGAGAAATGGCTTAATAAAAATAAAATCTTACCTCCTCAAAAAATAACTACCGAATACATTACGGCATTTAAGTTTTGATACAAAAAAGTCTTTTAATGAATTTTTAAATATCTGATGGTTCAATTATTAAGATTTTTGGAATTATTTGAATCTGAAAACTAAAAAAAATCATAAGAAATTCTTAAATAGTAAAAGATTTTAATGTTACAAATATATTTTAGATTAGCCTAATCACAATTGAAAGAGATGTAGTTTTTACTTTTTTGTGTAGTTTTTAGATTTGCAGAGTTAATTATTAAAATTTTTTCCAAGTTAATATTAGTTAAGGGAAGCCTTTTAAGTTGAACATAAAAGGTTTTGCAAAATTTCTAATTTCCTCTTTATATCAACTCTTTAAGTGCAAACTGATTTATTTTGGACAAAGTCAATAAAAGGAAAAAGCTTCTCATATAGAGAATCGCAACTTTTATCTTAAAAATCTCTGATAAAATATTTCTCAATTAAAAAGTAAAGCTTAATTTAATTTATTACTCAAAATCAATTTTAGATGCTAGATACAAAGCAATTGATACAGTCTAGAATTATCTGTAATAAATAGATCTAATTTAGTTCATTAAATCGCTAAAAATATTGAAATTATCAAAATTGATAGTTAATTTAAAAAGATACAAGATTCGTTTTATCAACAAATATCTGCTACAATATTTCTATTTGATCATTACACTCAAAGATTTACTCACGCTCCTGAAAGTGAAAAATTTTTTTGTCATTTTAGTTATCAAATATACTTTGAAGGTTAATTATTTGACTAGATAATTGTTTTAGTAAGTAAAATAATTATTTATAAATAACCAAAAGTATTTTTTCTTAATTTTAATAATATTAATTCAAGTCATGTGATATAGTAATCAAAAAAATTTAATGATTTTTTTAAAATAAAAAATGAAGAGTTGATTATTGGAAAGTATTAATAAAAATGGATAATAAAGAGAATGAGAAGTAAGCTAAATTAAAGGAATTTCAAAGAAGATTTCCAAACTATATGAATGGTAAGAAAGTGATATTTCCAATAATGGATGAGATAATAGTTCAATTTTCACAAATATTTCCATAGAGTAATTAATTCGGTAAAATGAGAGAGGGGAATGTAATAAAGACATTTTCCCCAATTCCTTTGAATCAATAAATAGAAATAACAACATTTATAAATGCTTTTCCTTATAATTAGTAATTTGCAGCAATGTCTGATAGTTAAAATTAGTTTTAATTACTTCTTTCACCTTTGTTGAAATTAACTGGACATTTAATAAAAGACTTTCATACAAATGCTACATTTTCAAATAGTTATTAATATTCAACATTTGATACATAGGAACAATCTGATCGTATTAATTTTAAATTGACTGCATTTATTATAGAGGATATATTTAAGTATAAAATGGGTTTATTAAAACCAATAGATATAGTAAAGTAAAGATAAGTTAAAGATGAGATAAAAAAGAAGGGAAACAAGCCATAAAAAATAAGTTTATTATCTATGGTTGAAAAATAATAGTAAGAAGAAGAGAAAGATTTAAATTAAGATTTAGCAATATAGAGTTAGAAATATGAATTTGAGAATTATTTGGATCCTACTTGTTAATTTTTTTGGAAGATAGCTTATGAATCATTTAATAAGATAATAAAAAAATCTTAGAGAACAAAATTATAGGATATGGATCTTGAATAGGAATCAGATGAATAACCAGATACAACTTAGAATGTGAATACAAATAAAGGAACATTAAATTAAGATAATATTGAGATGAGAAGATAGTAAATAATTAATAAATACTAATAACTTAGTAAGTTGAAGGATTAGAATAAGAAGAAAAGTAAAATAACAAAACAATACTCTTAGATTAAATCATTTAAGATAAAAGATAAATATACAGATATAGAAATGATAAGATTCAATAATCTATTTAAGTTTTTGATTCAGAATTGGCCATCAATGTTATTGTAATCAATTAAATTGCCTTATGTTTAATCATTATTTTCAGATTAGGAATTGAGAAACATAAAGAGTATTGGTTAGAATGAATTAGGTTATTTTGGATTAAAGGCCAAATAGAGAGCAGATATAACTAGCAATTTAATAGAGGGAGTACGTGAGACTGATAGTTTTAAAATAATAATTGAATATAGATAAGAAGTTACTGAAGCAGTTGGATTAGTATTAGAAAATGTTTAAGATGAATTAAATAATATCAATCAGTAATTATAAAAGAAAGATAGTTAATTTACATAATAATAGTAATAACAATATCGAAAAATATATAAATAATATCTTTAATTAGTTGAATTTAGTAGACTTTTTATTAATGGATGTTTATATTTAGGATCTGATATTCATGGATTTGATTACCATATATTTTCAAATGATATTGATCATATATATTAAAATAATGGTTCTGAATGGAGAGTATTAGATGAAAATTAAGTTTAATAATTATTTAAAACATTAAATGTTTGTGGTGTTAAAGAAAGAGAATTATAAACAAATATTTAGAAATTAATGGCATGCGAGTTATTTAATGATTAAGATACAAAAGAATTGATTAATATTAAAAATGTTGATTAAACATAATTATAGGCTGGTAATAGAAGTCCAAAATAATTAATTGTTAAAATATTATTAGAAGTTGTTTAAAAATATACTGATATTTTAATGGTAAGAAAATTAAGATGGGAATCATTTAAAATAAGAGAGAAATTTTAAAATACTATTAAAACACTTGAAAATCCTTTAGATATGGTTGATTTTATGAAGATTTTGATTGAATAATTTGAAACTGCATAAGTATTAGTAATAGATTAATAAAAAATGTAAAATGGAAGTTAATATGATTAAAAAGTTTTAAAAGAGTTTTAATAAAGAATAAGAGTATATGAAAATAAATTATAAGGACTAAAGGAACCTGAAAAAATATTGTTTTATGATAGTTAATTATTTTAAATGATGGAATCAAAGGAACACATTAAACCTAATGGAGTTAAATTTAATACAAAATTTTGGTAATAAAGTTTAGGAGTAGAAGTAAAAGAAGCATTAATGAATTTTGCAAATAAAGTTGATAAAGATCATTAATAATATGATGTTGTATTTATGGCTAGTATTTTATTATTGGCAGTTTAGGAATATGAACTTTCAAGTTCTATTCAAGATAATGAAGATGATGAATTACTTAAATAAATAGTAAAAGAAGTTAAATTTGATAGTCAGAACTTTTCATAAAAAAATGATAATCATTAAAACAATAATTAAATTATAGAATTAGATTGATTTTTTAATTGTTAAATCTATTAAATAAATAAATAATTTAATATAATTCTATAATTATAAAATTGTTCATTAATACAATCTACATCTGTGTAAAGAATATCTAAAAATCTAATTTAATTAAATAATATAACATTTCAACGACAGTTTTGTTTTCTGCCAAATTTAATATCATAAAATTCTTCTTCACTTTCTTCTTCAGGTTCAGCAAAGATAATGGTTCTTTCACTTGGATACTTTTTATCATTGACTGTAATTCTCCCTCTAACTGTTTTTAATTTGGTATTCTTTTTTAAGAATGACTATTATTTCGGTTAGGATATAGGATTTATATTTAAAAAGACCTTATATTCCATTTCTTATTAAACATCAACAGCATCAGAATACATTTTATATTTCTAACAATTATCATCTTCAAAGAAATAATTATAAACATATAGTTTTTAATTTTCTTTGATTGTTGGTTATAGCCAATAATCAGGAAATAATTGATCATCTCTTGTTATTTAACCTTGACTTATACATTTTAAATCAAACATAAATGAAATACAATTTAATAACAAATGGAAATTCTTTTTTGTTATTTTTTAAGTTACTGTTGAATAGAGTGAAGTAATGTCTTCTCCATCATAATCAATACTTATCATTAATAAAATAGACATTAGATCTGACATAAATTTTAATTTGTTTGTGAAAGTATCATCTGAAGGCAAAACCTTACATTGTAATACACGAGATATAGCAGAACCTGGAACTCTAATTAATCTTTTTCTATATTCTGTTTTTTTCTATACAAATACTTAGATTCCTGTTTCTATTGCTGTTTTAAATGAACGATACATTCTACTTTAGAACTTTTTAGATTAAATTCTAAAGATATCATAACATTTTACTATATTCCAGAAGTTTTCTGAAAATCAGGCAAAGCCTACTTAATTATAGCTGAATGTTTGATTACAGTAGTAACCAATAATCTATGCTATTACTTATCTAAATCAACATTTGGACTTATTATTGATTAATAAGCAGGCTTTAATAAACAAGGTTTAGATATAGTAATATTAAACATATTTTCCAAGACTTTAGCTATTTCTGGCCATCTTATTACTCTATCTTTTCCACATTCAACTAATTATTTTAAAGTTTCTGCAAATTTTGGATTTTCATTCACATAAGTGAGCATTAATGATAATTTTATGAAATAGTAGATAATTAAAAATTCCTTTAAATAATATGATCAATCAATTTTAAAATTGATAATTTTTTCATTGAAATCTTATCCCAATTTAAATTAATTTTATTTAGAAATATAAATAAATTTCAAAGCGATTTAAGATAAAATTTAGTAGTTTCTATAATTAATGATTCTAATTTACTTGAAATTATACTTTGTTATGAAATTATACTATGTTAATTCTTATAAATAATTGATGAGGGATACATAGAAAGAAAGAAATAATTAAAAATTAAGGAGAATAGATAGAATATGAAGATATAAAATATTTTAATAACAGAGTTAAGTTAATCACAAAAGTTAATTTTATTGTAATGGTTAATCATTTCCAAGTATAGCATCAAAATTGATTACAAACTACTAATTGACATCTTGAATTTATGGTTGATTGATTTATTATTATTGTTGTTATTATTATTATAATTGTTATTATTATTGTTGTTATTATTATTATAATTGTTATTATTATTGTTGTTATTATTATTATAATTGTTATTATTATTGTTATTATTATTATTATTGTTGTTGTTGTTATTATTATTGTTATTATTATTATTATTATTATTATTATTGTTGTTGTTAAAGTATATGATCCTAAGCTATTAAATTAGGAACTTATTCAGGAATATTCTCAATATCCTCTTAATTTAATAAATTATTTAATAATACATAATTTTTATCTACAAGTGCTAGATTTTAAAGTTAGAAATATCTAAATTTAAGTTATATTATAAATACCTTCTTCCACAAAGAGGGTAAAACATAGTCCATAAAGATGGAATATCATTAATCCAATTCATATTGAAAATTGGACTGTAATATACCCTAGGCCTATCAAATGAAGGTGTATATGGAGATATTGTTGACCAATTAAGAGCTGGTATTTCAAAATAAAGAAAAAAAAAGGATACTATTGATAACTATGAAAAAATGCAAATTTAAAAGGCCAGATTGTAATATCCATAAGTTGTACTTTGAAAATAAAATATGAATAGTAAGTATGTAAGAACTATGTATTTAGGAACAAAATAAAGGGATGATCTAGTTCTTAAAAATATAATACTCATAAATTCATTTAATAGGAATGATCTAATTAATTTATATACTTACGATAAAAAGTTTTCATTTAATCCTATTGGGTAACTTTTAGCAAATAACTATATTGAACCACTATAGCCACTAAATTAAAAAAAGTAAAGCAAGTAAAATAAAATTAACATTTAAATAAAAGAATTAAGCAATTCTTATTTCAATTTGTTATTTCTATTTAAAATATTCAAATATTATCCTACCCAAGGAAATGCACCAATTAATACTTATGCTTAGATATCTTCATTTTGACAGATTTACATACAAGTGACTTATATCATATATTAGAAACAAATACCCATATATATAATTAAAATAGGAGCACAAATGATTGACATTTTCATATAAATTGAAGCTATAATTGATTATAGAAATATTCCTAAAATACATTTAACTAATATAGTTATTGTTGTATAAATTCTTTAATTGAAAGGAAGTACATTTTTTTCTAATGTAAATAATAATATTTAACTTTCAAATTGTTCCACATTCCAACTCCAAGTTTCATTTGTATTTTGATTTAAAAGTTGTATATCAGTCTTCTAATAAAAATCAATAAAATCAATTATAAACATTGTTTCTAAATTTGTTGCTAAAAAAAAAATAGAATTAAATCCGCTCATGTAGAAATCCACATCAATAAAATTAGTTACAACAGAGAAATTGTATTTCTATTGAAATTCATTATTCATATATAGAAATGTCTTATTAATTGTAAATTTCATTGAGAGGAATGATTCATTTTTTTCTTTTAATTCAGAATTTGTGATATTGAAAATGTAGATAGTTTCATCATTAAATTACTCTATACTATAATTTGACAAATACCCTATTTTTCTTTGTCTAAAAAGTCATTATATTATTCCCTGAATTATAATAAGAAAATGAATAAGAGACCCAAAACTGTTAATATTGGGAAAAGATAGGTTCCAACTTTAACAGCTTTTCTTAGACCTAATCCTGATAGTATTCTTTCATGAATTCTGTGTAATTACTTTTCGAATTCCATTATAAATTTTAATTAATATCATTCATTTTCAACATTTTCAACATTTTCGACATGTTCTTCATCTTCAAGGATTTAATGGAATTGAATCTAATTTCTGTCCACATAGGTCAAATGCTATCTATCAAAATATCTTGAGATAATAATTATATATATATTTTTACTTTCTTCCACATAATCCATAAAAGATAGTCCATATTTAAGGAATATCACTAATCCATTCTATTTAAAAAAGGGGCATATAATAACATCTTGGTCTCAATTCTGATGGAGTATAATAAGATTGTCTTTGCCAAGTCAATGCAGGAATTTCATAAAAATATAAAAATGCCATAAATGTTGCCTGACTCATTAGGAAAACTATCATCAATCCAATAAAATAGAATCCATAACCGAAATTTAATTAATAATTATACTTGTTTTTTCTAAGTAAAATAAATAGGTAACATAATAACAACAAATATATTTAGGTACAAAATATATTGAAGATCTTGTTCTTAAAAATAAAACTCCTTCAATTTCATTTATAAATACTATCCTAATATTTTCGACTATTTTTACATTATAAAATAGATTTTCAATCCATTAGGAATACTTTTTCCAAAAATAAATTAAGTTGCTTAATCTAATCCTTCTTTATAAATTATTGTATAAAAAATAATCATTGCCAAAAAGGCAAATCCAATATAATATTTTGTTTTGTTATTTCTTTCTAATAACCTTAAATAAATTCCAATCCAATTCTCATGATTCTCTTGATTATTGATTTATTATTATTGTTATCTTAATAATATTCTAATTAAATTTTCTATTAATAGTTATAAATCAATTTACTTGTAATTAAAGTAATTACAGGGATAGATATTAATAATAAACGGATTATAATTGATGAGGAACAAGAAACAAAAAAAAGGCATAATAAAATTTATTGACACATAAAAAAATTTCTTATCATTTTAATGTAAAATGATTTACCTTAAGCATTTTTTAAAGAAATGCTTGTCCAATACCAAAATTCTTTAGTATTTAAATTCTAAATTATGATATCTTTTTCACTATCTATAAAATATTATGTAAAATCAACTAAAAACATAGTTTCTATGTCAACAAAATTTAAGAAAAAAAGATCAAAACCTGATTAATAATTTTTAGCTTCTACTTATAGATTCTCCTAAGTAATTTAATGAGAATTTGAAATATTTTATTTAAGTGTTAATAGGTATCTATTAAATGAAAATTTCATTTATAATAAAGGCTATTAAGAATTCTGATTAGGTATATTAACTGTATAAATAACAGTGTCGTTAAATTAAGAAATTACATTGTCGCTTTAAAAAAATTATAATTTCCTTTCTTCTTGTCGAATGCAAAGTGATACATATATACCTAGTAGTATTACTGAAATTCCAAGAAATCCTAAAAATAGAATCTTTGCAAAAGCTCTTGCATATTTCCATGAAGTCAAACAATAGTGGAATTTGTAAATTTGTTTCTCTAATTCCATTATTTTATTTTAATTAAATGCAAGAAAATAATGAATAAGCGTTAGATGATCTGAGTAAAGAATTATTGGTTTCTTAATTGAAAGATAAAGTATATAATACAAAATAAATCATAAGATAAAGGAAAATAAAACAATTACTAAAAAATTAGATAAATTATCCGAGAAATATGTTTCGACATACAAAGAGTATAAACTAATAGCAAAAGATAGAGAAACTTTGTATTAAACTATTTCATTAGTTTTAAATGATGAAATCAATAAATTTGAACAAAAACCTTTGGGTTATATATATTCATAAAAATAGGTTAATTTGATCAAAATTAAATTCTTGATTTATTCAAACAAAAAGATGAAGAAAAATCGAAGGCTTTAACAAATTTAATTAAGGAGACAAATAATGAAAAGTTTTAATTAGAGGAAAAATATCGTTAAATGATTGAGAAATAAAGTTAAAATACTGATCAAAAGACTTAATAAATAATTAAACAATTAAAATAATAAATAAATGATCTGGATATTAATAATACAAGATTGGCAAAAGAGATAATAGAACTAAATGACATTATACAGATTAAAAATTAACAATTACAAACACTTAATTAATTAGAAGAAGAGAATGCAAATTTAAAAACATAACTAATGGTTTAAGAACTTTAATTATAATAACCAGATCGAATGAATAAAATAAATTCTTCAGATCTCATGAATGAATAACTAAAGTATAAATAATAGATTGACAGACTATTAGAATAGATTCAAAAGCAAAATATAAAAATTTAAGAATTAGAATAAGAACTAGAATCTAAAAAATAAATAGACATAAATTAGGTATAAAAGAAAAATGAAGAAACTCCTACTCCTGATTATGATGAAATAAACCCATTTGAGCAAGAGTCCACATTAAAATAACAAGAAATCACTCCAAATAAATAGATATCAAATAAATAAATTTAAACAGATCAAATATTATAGAATAAAGAAGAAATAGATAATAAAAACCCAAATTTTGAGTATTTAAAGAATGTAGTTTACAAATACTTTTTGTATTAAGAAACTAGAAATTATAAAGAAGCATCTATATTAATGAATGCTATTATGACAATTTTGAAAATGTCTAATGAAGAAAAGAGAAGAATTGATTAAGCTAGAGAGAGAGGATTTATAAAGAATGCAAAAAATCTAATAAGTGATAGTTTTGCCTGTCTTAAGTAACCACAATTAAATGATATGAATTTGGATAGACCAATTAGTAGAGTTGAGTAAATGAATAAACATATGATGAATTGATTTTATTTTAATTATTTATATGGCTTCATAATAAGTTATGGAGTTGTTATAAAGTCATGGTAATCTAAGAATTAATGAAATGAAATTAATAGAACAAGAGCAATATTATATCAGTCTAATAAAAGAGTAAAGAGAAAAAGTAAAAATGAATTATTTATTAATGATAGATGGAAATATTAAAAAATGAATTTTTAAAAAAGGATTAAATAATAATTGATTTGTAAAGCTAAATAAATGAATTATTAGAAGAAAATTAACAGTTGAAAGAGGTTTATTAAGAATCAATATAGAGAAAGGAATAAGAATTTTATAAAATGAATAAATTACAATTAGAAAAAGATAATTTGATAAAAGATATTTTTGAATTGAAGGGTGTGATAGATCATTTGAAATAAGAAAATGATACATTGAATGTATAAATAAATGATTAGAAATTAATAGTCTTTGTATATAAATAATGATGAGTAATAAAGATAATTGAAAGAATAATTAATTTATTTTGGAGAAGAAAATAGTATATTGAAAACAGAAATATAAAAATTAGATGAGATTTTATTTTAGAATGCACCTTTGAAAACTGAAAATGAGAAGTTAAAAGAGAAATTGAAATATTATAAATTAGAAAAGAGTAGAATTCTTTAGGATATGAAATAAAGCAAATAAGAGATTAATAATCAGATAGAAGAATTTAAGTAAGTAATATCAAAAGATTTTTAAAATGAAATGGAAAGATTATAAGAGTACAAAGAGAACTATTAATAGTTAAATTAAAAAGTGTAGGATTTAGAAGAAAGGTGTATGAGTTTAAGTGAAGAAAATAATGAATTAAAATAAGAAATATAATCATTATATCAAAAAGAGGAAAGTGAAATAAAAATGAAGTCTGAAATAGATAGAGTAAATAATTGGTTTATTTGAAAAGGTTAGATAAGATCTTATGTAAGTTAGAGAATATGAAACATAAAAGTTGAATGAACTATTTAATGGTATGATAAGTTAGGGCAGTTTAGCCAACTCATAGGAATAATTTTATTGAATATATATTTTATTGAATGTTATTTTTGTTAGCATTACTATCAAATATAAATTGCTCAATTTATGATAAGATAAAATACATAGAAAATTAAATAGATTTAGCATAGAATGTAGAATATTTTGAAGCAAGAAAAAGATTTCTAGATGGAGTGAAAATAAAAAACATATTTGAAATGGATAAAGATCTAATAGACATACATTTATTCCATTTAAAACAATTACATTATCCATCATCATAATTGCTTGTTTGTAAATCAAGTGATAATGAAATAATGATAATAAATTAATTAGGATCAATTATTGCATAATACAATCATTCAAGTAATATATTGATGACTGATATTTTACATAATGTAGATGAATTTTATATAGGATTATATGATGCAGATAAAAATTTAACTATATTAAACATGACAATAATCGATAAAAATATTAAAGAGGAACCTATTGATGATATTCGTAGAATTGATAAAAATGGATATTATCATGAAATTGATTTAACTTGGGCATCAAGTTTTTAATTAAATTACAAGGCAACTTCTATTTTAGTTAATTCTGGTAGAAACACAAGAGTTTTTTTAGTTGGTGATGAAAATGGAGCAATTTCTTATTATTTTTAAAATGGTACTTTGAAAAATAAAAATACTATATCTTCAACTCCCATAATGAATTTGTTAAGAAGACATCCACATATAATGTTTTAAACAGAAAAAATAATTGGTTTTCTAAATTCAGTATCATTAACTGTAGTAACACCAAAATGTGATCAACCTGCTGCTTCAATAGTTTCAATTTATTAAGAGAATATTTATAGTCAGAATATTTATGTATTGCTATCTAATTAGGATATTTTAATATATTAAATAAAATCAGGAAAGCATCATGAATGTTCAAGTATTTATTAAACAAATTAAATTTAGTTTCTTATAAGATTCCCACTTTATAAAAACTTAAGAATATAAGAGTAATTAATTCTTATTTAATTGGATATGATAGAACTTTGTAGATTTATAATACATCTTTATATAAATCACTATATTAAGATGAAGTTCTATATTTAACATCTTTAGATGATCAAAGATTATGGTATTAATATTATTCGATTCGCTCGCATAAAATAAATGCATAAACTAGTAATGCTTATGAGTTTTACACATCAAATAATAAAACTACAATAAGATAAATTGAATTAACTCATATTCCTATGCCATAAAGTTCTTCTTTCTCATTAATGGAATCTTTCAGGTTCCCTATGATTTTAGTAGCAATCTTCATTGTTTTTATCTTCTAATTTTGGTAAAAAAAGAAAAAAACAGATCATGAAAGTGATGAATTAAGTGCAGAAACTAAAAAGAAAATAGATGACATGGTTAAATAGTATAAAAAATATGATAAACCTGAATGAAATGTTTATAATTATATCTACAAATATTCTAATAAATATTATCAATATGTTTATACTATTTTAATTTAGTTTTAAGAATAAGGAAGTAAGATTAATTCAAAATAATTATCTCAAAAGTATATTGTAAAAATACAAAAAGATTGCATAGAGAATATGCTTAAGAATAATTCTTAAAAATGATGCAATTCATTCAATATTTGAATATTAATGTACGAATGATGATGTTTATCAATCAAATAAGCCTCCCATATCAACATCTTCTTCAGGTTCTTCGACTTTCTTAACTTCCTTAACAGGTTCAGGAGCTTTAGCTTATTAAGTGGTTGGTGCTGCGGTATTTGTAGTGGCCTAAGCAGTAGGTGCACTTCCACTGCTTCCATGTAATAAATCTCCTACTCTCTTTCCTTTGAGTGCCTTTTCAAATACTTTTGTCCAAATTGGCTCAACTCTTAAATTAGCAGCTTTAAGGATTTATGCTAATTTGGCTGCATTGATCTTTTCTTAATAATTGTTTTTACTTCTTGATTGTCTTCATATAAGATGAGAGCAGCATATGTACAGGCTGCTTCTGATGTATTTTAATCTGCAATTGGTCTTGTGTCTTTTTATGCTCTTGCCATTTAAAATTAAAATTAAAAGATTTAATATTTTTATGTTCTTTCACATCTCTCTATTCTAAGCAATTATTATTAAATTCAAAACAATAAATATTTATACATATAAAAGTAATCGTTAAACAATTCTTTGTATAATTTTAGATTCATAAATGTGTATAACTTATTTAATAAGATGTTCAAAAATTTTATTATTTGTTATTTTTAATTAATATATAATTAGAAAATTAAAATAAATGGAAGAATTAAATTTACATACAAATAAAATATCAGAAAATTAAATGAACATTGTCATTTGTATCATCTAGAAATGGATGAGAGTATATTTCATCTAAAGTAGCTCTTGATGTAGTATCTGGTTGTAAAAATTATTCCAAGAAATTTTATGTAAGTGGGTCAATTTAAAGCTTAGACAATTTCTAAACTAGAGTCCAATATTAAGGCCATTTTTTTTGTTGTATAAGTTTCCATAATTTACAATTAGCAGTTGGTTTTGTTGAAGTAAATGGCTGAAATCCTAAAATGACTTAAAAAACTGTAACTCCAAGTGAGAATACATCAGATTTTATTAGGATTTGAGTATTTATGTTCTCACTATTTATTCCACCTAATACTGATTCCTAATGTAATTCTGGAGGCATATAATTTAAAGTACCCACAGTTCTTTTGACTGCACAATTAGATAACAACTCAGCGAATCCAAAATCACATAAAACTAGTTTTCCATTTTTATCAATTAAAATATTCTCTAATTTTATATCACGATGGACCACCTACATCTTATGAGTTTAGTTTATTATTCTTATCAAAGTTTTACAAGTTTCTTTTATTTGTTTATGATCTAGACTTTGTGATTTTATTATTTCAAATAAATCATAAGATTATAGTCTTTCTAATATTAAATAATTATCCGTAAAGGTAATCAATTTTACTATGTGATCACTTCGAATAATCTCTAAAATTTATGCTTCCTTTAATCTCATTTATACAGGGTACATTGTTTTATATTCTTTCATAACATAATTTGGATCCTCCGTAAGGAACACATTTGATGATGATCCTTCACTCAAAAGAATGGTTTTGATATGCATATGCTTTTAAGAATGTATTGATTTATTATTTTAAAAGAATAAATTAGCTTTGTATTTATATTCACTCTCTAATTCATCCCGATAAAGTCTTTTATCATCAAAAAATCACTTTACTACGTTACAAATATTATTTTAAGATACAAATACATTACATTCAATCAAATGTAAATATCCAATACATAATAATCAAAAATGAAAAGAATTATAAATTAAAAATACTCCCTATACTTCTCTATCTTATTGAAAAGCTTGTTTTATAAGCTTTTACAATTATTTAGATCATCTTAAAAAAATTGTTTTTCTTAATTTTTGTAACATTAATAAAAAATATTTATAATAATTTATAGTATTACTTATAAATCAAAATTAATGTATAAATTATTCCCATCTCTCAACAAATTCAAATCCAAATGCTTTTTAAGGAGAAGTTCTTTCATTTATTTCTTAAACTTCATTTCTGAATTAAATAAAAGTTATCTTATTGTTATTTTATTAATTTAATTGATTTTCATAATTATTTATTTTTCTATTTTTTTAATTAAGTTGAGATACATAATTAACTATTTAATTTCAGATTTGATTTCAAAATAATTGAAAGATTCTTTGCAATTGTTATTTGATTAACTAAGAATGTGATTTCATTATTCTTCCAGATAAGAGTTCTTGAAAGCAATGTCTCTTAAATAAAACAAATTTTAAGTATAATTCTTTGAACTTTTTGTTACACAACTAAAATAAAATGCTTAGTATTTTTTCAATTTATATTATAAATCCAACAATATATTAATATATTGATTGAAATATAATTAATGTATATCAATCAATTTTATGTGATTTATTACCTTCATATGAAGTTTTATGATAAAGAATCTTTTAATGCTAGTTAAGCAACAGAAAAAGGATAAAAGAAGAAGATTTAACAAATCTAAAGAATATGAATAAGTGATTTTATATATATTTCTCGGTATAATCAATCAATGCTAGTTAAGCAATTTTTTTACTTTATAACTACATATGAAATATTAAGATTTCTAATTTCCTAATAGGTTTAAAGATACAAAATCTAAATACTGATATTAATAAAATATGAATGATAATCATATCATCCCATAATTACTTTGAAATCTGTAGGATTGATAATTACTTAATCAATTGATTTAACTTATTTTTACAAAGAAACTTCTAAAAGTCTTTAAAAATTATTGTTTTTTACCTAAATTGATTTTAACTAAAAGCAGGAATATTTATCTTTTCAATAGAAAAAATATATAAATATAGTTTTTAAGTTGAAAAGCCTTAACTTATTAAATTAAGCTTATCATCTAATCTAATTGATTAACTAATTATTCCAAGTTTAAAATGATTATTGATTATACAGATATTATTGATTTGATTGGTAGATTGATAATAAAATTCATAATTTTGATAAACAAGAAAGTTATTCTAAAGACATTTATCACTATAAATTAACCTATATCTGTTAAATAATTTTTATTAATTATACTAATCAGATATCATAGTTTGTTCTGAATCCTATCTGTATTTCTAATGAACTAGTATCTGATTCAAGTTAAATGATATTATCCTTAATATAAATTTTGTCATCCTCTAATAATGAGATTTATTTGTTAAGACTTGTATAAGTAATAGATGTTGTAATTTATTACTTCTTCAAATCATTTTTTTATTTATTTAGCTTAATATAATATAATATAGATACATCTGATAAAAGAGTTTTGGTGATACGATCTTCTTCTTGATATTGATTAGATTTGATTTTTTATAAATCTTCTTTTATTAGATTCATATCCTCGCGACTAATCCTTAAATCTTCCTTAATAGATTTAAGAGTGTTCTAAAATAGAACAAATTGTATGATACAGAAAGTTTATCAATATGTTCTTTGATATTCATTGACATAGAATTGTCAAAAATATGTTATTGAACTAATTGATTTTGAATTTCTAAATTATCATTCTATAAATTTTAAAATTTTCTGGGTGACTATATTTATTAGTCAATCTGGAACCTCTTACCTAATTTATTCATAAAATTGAACTTATTAATAATATGAATGAAATGAATGTATAAAATCAATTAATGAATATAATAACTCTAAATTACAAGAATATAATAATAGTTATATAATAAGAACATTAGTGTTAAGTATGTAAATAAATTGACAAAGTATAATAAAATCAATCTTGAATAATTGATCTCTAACTTTTCATAGAAAACTTGCTTTTTCTTGCTTTTTATCTAGATAATTTTGACATAGGTTCTTCAGATTCACTTCCATCATCATTCTTAACTTATACTATTTCAGAGAACTGAACTTTTTTACCAATTATTTTTTCTGATTGAGTTTTTTAATGTAACAATTAAAGAGATGATGAGCTATATCTATCAGTTAATTTTCCTAACATAAAATCGATACTATCAAATCCCATATCAGTTGTTTCTGTTTTCATTTTATTTTATGGACTAATTAAATATTTTTCAGGTAGACTAAAAGGATCAGAAAAGAAATCCCATTTTTTTAAGGACTCTTCCCCAACTTTACACAGACTCATTTTTGGTTCTTGTACATCTCGAAAATACTATCCTAATAAAGGTTGACTAGAATTGTGTTTATGTTATGATCTATGATAAATTGGCTTTTAAGGAGTTTGAAATTCAGATTTAGGATAACCAAAATTCATTAAATTATTTAAATTTTATGTCATCTTTTTATCTCTTAAAGCGTTCTATGCTATATATATAATTACTTTGTAATTATCAAGAATTTATAATTTCTCAAAAAAAATGATTTCTTTTTAATTTTTTATCTTCCCTTCATATTCATATATAGCAAGTTTATTAAAGGATTTAATTTTTATAGAAACTTTATTAGTAAAGGTTCTTTTTTATTTTAGGAATTCTAAAAACAAACATACGCAAATATAAGACTCTTAAAAATCTTATTCTTGATTTATATAAATCTAATTAAATTGATATTTCGTATGATAACATGATCTCAATAATTAATGATGTACAAGAAAAAACATTTTTATTAGTATTTTATTTTGGTTAGAATTATAAAATCATCTAATTTCGGTTCATTTTATTATATTTTTATAAATGTCAGTAAATAGTTTTTTTTTGTATTACTAAATTACATTTTAATAGATCATTTAGATTGGTTTTATTTTAAGAATGACATGCCAATATTTTGATTTGATTTAATTTTTAGAATTAAACAATATATTTTTGTATCATTTTCATAAATTTTGAAATAAAATAATTTTTTTTTTGGAATTATTATGATTTTGAATAGATATATGTAGAAATAAATAAGACAAGACAATAAATAGTGAATAAAAAAATTAGGTTAAATATAAGAGAGAAGATAAAAATATAAAAAAATAAGAATTAGATAAATAAATGATTAAGGAATGAGTAAGAATATTGGATTATAGGAAAAATAATGTGATTGAGGAATAAAAAAAATTTAAAAATTTAGATATTATTTTTTTAATGGTAAACCTTAGATTGTAAAAGAGATTAGCTGCAACATAATTAAAGGTTGGTGTTAATAGAGTTTGGTTAGACCCAAATGAAGCAAGTGAAATAAGTCTAGCAAATTCAAGAATGTCAATTAGAAAATTAATAAAAGATGGTTTAATAATGAGAAGATTGAGAACAATTCATTCAAGAGCAAGAGCAAGAAGATTCCTTGAAGCAAAAAGAAGAGGTAGACATACAGGTACTGGTAAAAGAAGAGGTACAAGAGAAGCAAGAATGCCAACTAAAGTTCTTTGGATTAGAAGATAAAGAGTATTAAGAAGATTATTAAGAAAATATAGAGCATCAAAGAAAATAGATAGATAATAGTATATAATATAAATAAATATATATAGATATCATGAATTTTATTTAGCTTCAAAAGGTAATCAATACAAGAATAAGAAAGTTTTGATTGAGGCAATTCATGAAACAAAATAAGAAAAAGTTAGAGTAGATAAAATTGAGAAAGAATAAAATGATAGAAGAGAAAAAAATAAAGCTTAGAGAACAAAGAAAACTCAAAATAAATTTGCTACAGAATGATTTATACATATTTAGTACAATAAAAATGTTGTTTATAATCATTTAATACATCGAGGACATAAATATTTATCAATTTTATTAATATCTTAATCTTGAAGTAATACACAATCTAAATGATACCAATTATCACATTCATCACATTAAATCATTTATAGATCAGGATTTTATGGTAATTAACAAACACAACTCTTTTTCCATAATTTTATATTTGGTCTAGGTTCCATAGATTAAAGATCAATTGCAGCTCTACTAAAAAATATAGTTTCTTCTTCAAATTCAAGTTCAGAATATTCTTCAAAAGTTAATATTTTTATTCCTACTTAAATTTTGTTGGCAGGTAAATACTCTGAATGAGTAGAAAAAAAGAGTTCTTTATCAGAAATACATTGAATAAGTTTTTAATCTATTTTAAGATCTTATTTAGAATAATACCTAATAATTTAAGAATGATTATAATACCATTATACTTATATAATAGGAATAAAAGTATTTGAAGGATCTTTAATACAATAGATCTTAATTAATTTAGCTGAATATATTTCATCATTAAGAGCACAAACAGCTACATCTTAATTTACATGATAAATTTAATTAGATTTTTGAATAGTATTATATTTTTTGATTCTATAATATGATGGAATAGATTAATTACTTTGCAGGATCTTTTTTAAGATAGAGTTAAATTAAATGACCATATTTATCATTTTTGACTAATTCATTAACAGTGTTTGAGGTTATTTGATTGACTTTCTCTTCTTCGCTCATTTATTTATAAATTAATTATTGAGTATGAAGTCCTTGAATTGTTTTTAGAGAGTGTCTATATAAATTAAATAATTGCAGGATTTCTATTTTTTATATTAAAAAGATTTAAATTATTTTTTAGACAATGGTAACAATAACAATTAAATTAAGGCTGATAAATAAGAATAACCTGTTCAATAATAAAAAGGAAAGAAGGGAAAGAAAACTGGAGAGGAAACAACATAATAAGTAGTAGCTACTTTAGGACCAAATGTAGCAGGAAATGAATTAGTATTTGGAGTAGCTCATATCTTGTCTACATGGAATGACACATTCATTCATATAACTGATTTAACAGGTAGAGAAACATTGGCAAGAGTTACAGGTGGAATGAAAGTGAAATCAGATAGAGAAGAATCATCACCATATGCAGCTATGCAAGCAGCTAAAGATGTTTATGAGAAATTGAAAACACTTAAAATTAATGCTTTGCATATTAAATTAAGAGCTAGAGGAGGTATAAATTATTTATCTCATATTCTAAGGTGTTGATACTAGATAACCAGGACCTGGTGCTTAAGCTGCATTAAGAGCTTTGGCTCGTTTGGGACTTAAAATTGGAAGAATTGAAGATGTTACTCCAATCCCAACAGATTCTACAAGAAGACCTGGAGGTAGAAGAGGAAGAAGGTTATGAAAAGTCTAAACACACATACATTATATTATACATGTACATTTATTAATTAAAATATGATTTTTGATCTTTAACCACCATCTCCATCTGTATCTCCCAACTCCAGAGTTAGATACTATTAGGAATAGTTAGATAAAGCTCATGAAATTATAGACTAACTAGAAATTTTACTTCATGAAAAAGAACTACAAAAATCTTAATCTAATAATTCTTCTTTTTGCTAAACTACTATCCCTCCTCTTCAATTTCATTCCAAATCTCCTAGTATTATTAGTGAAAGATCAAAAAGTTATGTTGCCACTCCATAATAATACTCTACTCCAAGAGATCTAAGGAATAGAATGTCTATGGGAAATTCTAATTCTATCAAATATATTGAAGAAATGAAAACAAGACATACTGAACTTGTCTTATAATTCAAAGAAGATAACTCATAAAGAGAATTAAAAAATAAAGAAATCAATGATCATATCTAAGAACTAAAAACAGAATTAATTTATTGTTAATAAAAACAAAATATCACTAAAAAAGAAAAAACATAATCTTAGTAATAATTAGAACATCTCTAAAATGAAATTGAAAACATTCAATTACATTTGCATAAATCTAAACAGTAAGGATTACTTTTAATACAAAAACTTCAACAATTTAAATAAGATACTAAACAAATTGAATTACTTTAACAAGAATCAGAAATTATTTCAAAATTTGCAACTCCTCAACGACATTAAAATCAAAATTTCTAAAATTCTACTAGTCACAAAAAACTTATGTAAAATTTATAACAATAAATTGAATAACTAGAAGCTTAAAAACAATAATATTTTAACACTTCTGTTTCAAATTTTTAAGAAAAAGAAATTGAAACCAATCATATCAATAATGATGAGATTGTAACTAAATTTAATATTATTTTTTTAGATTTAAACTTAATAAAACCCAAGAATTGATACTTTAGATGATATTAGATTAGTAACAGAATCTTGTTATAAATTAAACACCTAAATAGATTAAGATAATGAATCAGTAAGGTCTTTTAAAATCAAAAAATAGAAACCCAGAAGTTGTGAATTATGTGTCATTTTCTGATTTTAGTATTTAATCTTAATTAAATTCTTTTTTTTTAATTTTTCAATTCAGATCAATTAAAGTAAATAGCTGCTTTTATGGCATTTGATTTAAATATAAATCACGAAAAAAAGATGTTTAAAGAAAAAGAAGAACTAAAAAAAAATATTTAATACTTTATTTAAAGCTATATGTATAAGTAGGTATTAAGATGCCCTCTAATTGCTTAATAATTAGAAATATATCAATTTTATAAAAATTGATATACTATTTGAATTAAAATAGATTTACCAAGATTGCTGCTTTCCTAAGGAGAAAAAGAATCAAATAATTTAAAAATTTGATGCAAACAATAATTGATTTTTATTTAATTAAGGATTAATGAATTTTGAAATACTTTTAAATTATCCTTTATTTCACTTGTTAAGTATTTTAATTTATATAACTCTAATAATTTCTTGCTATCATTTAACCAGCACAGTATTTGTTAGGAATGCAATAAAAAAAATAAAAGATTGGAGATTTACCAGTTTTTATATTCTTAAAATGATGAATCGAATTTGCCTTAAATTTAAAAAATATGAACATTCTGATATCGATTAAATTGTTATAATAGTTTTATTTAAATCGAATAGCATTATTGATAAAATTTAATAAAGATTAAGAATTCATAATGAGTAGAATTTTTATTATTATAAAGAATGATTAGAATTGGGTAATATAAATTGATATATAAATGAAATAGAATTTTAAATTGATAGATCAATTGTAAATTGTGATAGTTGGAGAAAAGAATAAAATACAAGATTTGTTCAATTTGAAAATATAATAAAATATTTTTAAATTAACATATCATCTCTTGTAAAGCAATATGGATTCAATATTGTTAAAATTAAATTTGAAATAAAATCAATTAAGAAATAGTAATTCTCTATTTATCAATTTTCTGATAAGTTTTTATTTTGTCATCTTTTTTTAGAAGCTAAAATTACTTAGCTCAAGATAATTTAGATTATTTATTTAATATTTATTTCAAACTCTTATCATTTTTATTTTTTACTATGGTAAAAGAATTTTAAAAGATTTAAAATGATTCGCAAAACTAAGTTTCCTTTAAGAGATTTATCAGATAACTGGTTTAATAATATTTTAGAGTGATTTGTTTCAATAAAAAAATAAATAATTTTAAATATATATAACTAATCAATGTGTAAATAATCTCAAAATTTAACAATAATATCTCATAAAGTACAATTATATTCTGTGTTTTATTGGTAATTTAACTTTTTTATTATTTGCTTATTATTCAGTTTGAGGCAGTTTATCATAAAATTTTTATCTTCTGAAGCAAACCTTCATCAATTATATTAATATTATAGATAATATTGAAAAAGGCAATAATAATGGAGCAAAATCTATAAGTATTTTTTAAGTGACATTAGATTAAACTATTCCATCTGCATAATTTTTAATTGATGTTAAGATATCTTAACATGAACCAAAACAAATCAAAACTAAGAGCATCCATAATTTTATCATTCACTCAAAACACGTTTTAATTATTTTAATATAAATAATATTAATTTTTGTTCATTTTATTCAATAACCATTAATTTATTATATTATTGCAGATCTTTATAACATAAGTGACTATAAAAATTTTCTTTTCTCTTAAATTTAAAATTTATTGAGTGAAAAGTTTTCATTTAATTCTCTCTCTAATTATCTATAATTAAATAATAAATTGATTATACTTAATTTTTAATTCAAGATTCTATAATTCAATTTTCAACTATCCTACATCAACATATTATTATTATTATTAAGTTTATTCTTATATTATTTTATTTTATTCATATTATCTTTATTATCTTGTTTCCTCTACAAGCATTTATGAAGATGTAGATGATTTACCACTCTAAATTATTTATCTTTATTTTGTAGTTGATTCTTAAGACATGTTAGATTAATTATTTATTACAGAATCATCAATAACAATAGGTGAAATCTTAGGTGGTATTTAATTTAAAGGATGTTTTTTAGCTAAATAATCTAAAATATGAACAGTTCCTTTGTCAATTATTTATCTGCTAATTAATTTTGTTGGGTTACCATCAATTTATAATGTTTTTAAAGACATGAATCCTAAAATTGTAGGAAATGTTCTCATATTATTATTTTATAAATTTAAATGCTATAAATTTGGCATTTTAAAATAGATATCCTATATTAAAATATAAATCTTACATCACTTAATTAATCTATTGAATTATTGCTAATATCTAACACCTCTATAATTGAATCTTTTAATAATAAACTCTAGATTGAATCTATTTAGTTATAAGCTAATAATAATCTTCTAAGTTTCAATAAATCTGGTATAAAATTAGGAATTTTCTAAAGTTAATTCTTACCCAAATCAAGATGAATTACTATAATATTATATAATATATATACAATTAGGTAAATAGACTTATTCTTTTGAAGGTAGGAATTAAATTTTATTTTATCTTAATTCTAATTCCACTAGATCTCTTAAATTGAATAAACATAATGAAATCTGAGTAATCTTATTCTCATTAAAACAAACTTTTTTTAGATTTTATAATTATTAAATTGAATCTGGTATAATTTCAATGTTATTTTATGAAAAATCTATGATAATCAAATTAGTTAATCGAAATACACAATTATCTATTTAGTTGATATTTTTTTATCTTATAGCTAATTCATCTTTATGTAAGAAATTTCTTAAATATTCTTCCCATATATTATTAGATTAATATAATTATTATTTTAGTTTTGGATCTGCTTAAACTTCTAATTTAGCTGCATCATCAGTTCTTTATTAAAGGTATTTTTTTAATTAAAGAGCACCTGCACTTCTAATATTAGATCTTATACATTTTAATGGATTACCCTCAAGTTGAATTCTTACTAATTAAGCTAAAAATCCTAATTAAGATGGTAAATCTCCCAAATCATTATTTGATATATCTAGGGTTTTTAAATTTTTTAAATTAATTATCTCTTGATGTAATTCCTTTATTTTATTGTTATTTAATAAAAGTACAGATATATTTTATATTCCTTCATAACAATTATAAACTTCTAATTAATTAAATGATAGTTGGATTGAATCTAAACATTCGTGATTTGTTCCAAGTTAACCTTAAGTAAAATATTTAAGTTTATTCTCTTTTAAATCTAATATCTTTAATTGAATAAGATTATTAAATGCTCCTTCTTCTATAAATGCAATTTAATTTTTAGATAATTATATATCTTCCAATTTTTTACATTCTATTAAATCTTGTTATTTAATTATCTATATTTTATTTCCGATTGCAGATATTTTTTTAATTAAAGGAGGAAGATGTGATGGAAGTTATGAAAATTAATTATTTGAAATATCAAGTAATTCTAAATTTGGAAAATAAAGATTATCAATTGCTGTTAATTTATTATCAGCTAAATTTAATTCAACTATTGAATCAAGTCTGCATGAAAATTCTATTAATTGATTATTTTGAAGTGTTAATGATTTCAAATTTTAAAATTACTTTGTCAAATCAAAATGAAATCTGCTTATTTTATTATTTCCTAATCTTAATACTTATAAATCTTATAGTCTAAGTATACTATAATATCTTACGTATCATAAATTGGTATTTCTTAAATATTATTATTTGTTAAATCCAATTTTGTTAATGGACATTTTTACCACCATTCTTCTCCCTCTAAATTTATAGTATCAATATTAATGATTTCATCTGGAAAATCTTATAAATCATAATGTACTAAAGCCAAATTTCCAGTTTACCAAGCTTTCTTTATACCTGCTACAAATGCTTTATTATTAAGCAAATTTGATTTTCTTTTATTTGTTGCTTATACAGGAACAACAAAATTTGCTGGTCCTTTCTCTTCTTTAATATCTTATTTTTATTAAAGATGAGCAAATGGCTTTTATTCTCGCAAAGGAACTCTATTTTTCATTTAATTATTTTTTGAAATATTTATACAAGTATTTAAATTTCTTTTATAATCAATATAATTAGATTTTTAGAAATAAATTATATCTTAATTGTTCCAAGATATATTTTTTAAAATTGACTATCTTATTTTTTGATTATTTTAAAAGAAATTTAATAATATTATATTTTAAGTAGAATAAAAAGAATAAGTAGAAAATATAAATAATAAGTAGATAATATAAAGATTAAGTAGAAAATATAAAGATAGTTTTAATAAAATTTTTAGAATAAATAATTTTAAATATTTTGATTTGGTAAATACATAATAATTAAATTAAAGTGTTTGTTTGAATATTGAAGAGTTAATATTTTTTCCAAGTAAAATATTTTGTATGCTTTTTTTTTTTAATATTCCAATATTTTGCAGGTAAGTAGTGTTTCAATTGCGAAATCTAATAATAAAATTAAAATAATGCNGGAGGAAGATGTGATGGAAGTTATGAAAATTAATTATTTGAAATATCAAGTAATTCTAAATTTGGAAAATAAAGATTATCAATTGCTGTTAATTTATTATCAGCTAAATTTAATTCAACTATTGAATCAAGTCTGCATGAAAATTCTATTAATTGATTATTTTGAAGTGTTAATGATTTCAAATTTTAAAATTACTTTGTCAAATCAAAATGAAATCTGCTTATTTTATTATTTCCTAATCTTAATACTTATAAATCTTATAGTCTAAGTATACTATAATATCTTACGTATCATAAATTGGTATTTCTTAAATATTATTATTTGTTAAATCCAATTTTGTTAATGGACATTTTTACCACCATTCTTCTCCCTCTAAATTTATAGTATCAATATTAATGATTTCATCTGGAAAATCTTATAAATCATAATGTACTAAAGCCAAATTTCCAGTTTACCAAGCTTTCTTTATACCTGCTACAAATGCTTTATTATTAAGCAAATTTGATTTTCTTTTATTTGTTGCTTATACAGGAACAACAAAATTTGCTGGTCCTTTCTCTTCTTTAATATCTTATTTTTATTAAAGATGAGCAAATGGCTTTTATTCTCGCAAAGGAACTCTATTTTTCATTTAATTATTTTTTGAAATATTTATACAAGTATTTAAATTTCTTTTATAATCAATATAATTAGATTTTTAGAAATAAATTATATCTTAATTGTTCCAAGATATATTTTTTAAAATTGACTATCTTATTTTTTGATTATTTTAAAAGAAATTTAATAATATTATATTTTAAGTAGAATAAAAAGAATAAGTAGAAAATATAAATAATAAGTAGATAATATAAAGATTAAGTAGAAAATATAAAGATAGTTTTAATAAAATTTTTAGAATAAATAATTTTAAATATTTTGATTTGGTAAATACATAATAATTAAATTAAAGTGTTTGTTTGAATATTGAAGAGTTAATATTTTTTCCAAGTAAAATATTTTGTATGCTTTTTTTTTTTAATATTCCAATATTTTGCAGGTAAGTAGTGTTTCAATTGCGAAATCTAATAATAAAATTAAAATAATGCTAAAAAAGTGTACAGACAATCCGAAAATAGCAGAAACATTAAAATAACTTGTTTAAGAACGTGGATAAAAGAGATGGCCAGAAATAGCAAAAGTGTTAGAGTCAATGTATGATATAAAAATTGAAATTCCATTTACTTTAAAAGCTATATATTAAGATATAATGAATCCAAGACCTGGTTTGAATACAGAATAATTAAAATTATTGGTTACTACAGCAATGAAATATAGATCTGTAATTAGATTAGCATTACCAGAGTTCTAAAAAGTGTCAGGAATAGGGTTTAAATATTTAAATATATTTTTTAGTATTTCTAGACACAAATTTGTAAGTAGATTATACAGATTTTATAAAAACACAATTTTAGCAGGAATTCAAATTTTCATAAGAAATAAAATGGATTATCGTAGAAGATTAGCTAAATTTCCAGGTTAATCAATAGGGAGAATATTATAATGTAAAGAATTGACAGGAGATGATGAATTTACAATAAGATTAAAAATGATGGCAGATCAATTAGAAATATTATTAAATTGTTATTTATAATTAGAAGATGAGAGAGATTATTCTTAATTATATGATATTTTAACTCCAAAAATGAATAAGAAAACATTTTTTTTATTATTGAATTGCATTTCATTTATGGATGATTTAAGATGTATTTAATAAAATGTAGTTAAATCAGATGATGAATTAATGCCTGATTATTGGTTATAACCAACAATAAAAGAGAATAAGGAACTTTTGGTTTATAAAAAATTATTTTTAGATGATATGGAATATAAATTTAGAATTTATACAGATTCTTAAGATGTTTAGACAGAAATAGATTTTAAATTCTTTTTAAATAATGCTTATATGAAACCAAAATCAGTAGTAACATAAAGATCTGCAAAATTAAAAACTGTAAGAGGTAAAATAACAGTAAATGATAAAAAATATCCAAGTGATAAAACTATTATATTTGATTAACCAGAAGAAGAGAGTGAATAAGAAGGTTATGAAATAGATTTTAAGAAACATAGATTATTAAATAAGGATTGATATTAATTATAAAATATGATATTAATATTAATAATAATAATTATTATTATTGTTAAATTTAATTATATAAATTTCTTGATTAATAGAGACATCTTAAAAATAAGATAACTATCTAATAATAAAATTGAGAATTCTATATATTTGATTAAGGAGTTAAAAAGAATTTCCATAAAATTCTTGATAATTAAATCCTAATAAAGTAGTATATAAATCCGATTCAATATTCGGATCTTGAATTATAAATATTTAAATAAAAAAATGTTCGGCTTTGCTAAGAAGGGTGGAGGTGATAAAAAGGGAGCATCAGCTCCTGTTCCAGATTCAAAATTAAAATATGAAAAAACACTTCACGATCTTAGATCAAACAGAGATAAAATCTAAGACAATATTGATAGGATAGATTCTAAAGTTACAGCCTTAGATCAAGAAATCAGATCATTACTTAGTTAAGGAAAAAAACAATAAGCCAAAAATAAAATAGCAGGTATATATTTCATATAAGAATTATAGAAATGAAGGCTTTACAAAAATAAATTGAATAAATGCAAACTAAATATAATGTCTTAACTTAAATGACTATTTAAATTGAAACACTAGAATCAGATTAAGGAATAGCTTAAGCAGTATAGGATGCAGCCGATTTAGGAAAAATGTAGTAAGAAACTAATGATAAATTATAAGATGCTATGATGGATTGGAAGTATTGATTAATTTTATTTTTTTAGTGAATTCTAAACATCCTAATAAGAAACCTCAGAATTATGGAAATAAATGTCCAATATGGGTGTTGATAATGAAGAAATTGATGCAGAATTTGATAAATACCTTTAAGAGAATGAATAATAATAAGCACTTAATATGAAACAATAACTTAATACTGTTCCTGCTAATTAAATTCCTGCATAATAAAATTATTAGCAATAAAACAAAACTAATATGGATAAAGAGTTAGCTGCCTTATTGGAATGATTATTATATCATTAAAAAAATTAAGTATTTTGAATAATTATTATTTTTTATGAGATATCATATCTTATTTATATAAATAATAAATAGAATTAAATTAATTATAAGTTTTAAATCTTTATAGTTCTAAAATCATGTGAAATTTTAAAATTAATTTAAGTGTTTGAATAAATATTATAATATTCAGATACTTAATATATATAACTCACTAAACACGTGTGTAAGGAATAATATATAAAATAGTTAAGTGTTTTAGTATCAAATAAGGAGGATCAACAATTTTAATTAGAATAACAATAAATAATATAATTTAATTATTAATGTTCGGTGATTAAAAAAAAAATTTAATAATAGGAACTTTTAGTATTGTAGCTTTAGGTGCTATGATATGGAAGGTATTTGATAAGAAACAATAACCTAAACTTACATAAACTGTAAGTGATGAGAATTTAATAAAGTTTATTAAGGATTTAAGAGCTTAATCATTTCCACATTTTTTTTTGGTATCAGGCATTGTTTAATAAGTGAAATAAGGAAAAAAGAATGAGATCTAAGAAATTTTAATAAAAATTAAATAAGAAGTAGAGCTTCTTTTTGAAAAGAAATAAATAATGATTCTTTGTAAATTAGAATTAGATAAATAAGAGGTAGAATAAAGTCTTTTATTGAGTTAAAATAGTGAAGTGAAGTAATTGTATGATTAATTTTAATAATTATATGAAGATGCTTTAGATGGTATAGAACCAGAAATAAAATTAAATGATTAGACTCTATAAAAATTTAATTAAGAGAAATTACTTAAAATTATGGGGAATGTATTAGCAGTATCTGTTAATGTGATCTGTTTAGCTACAGAAGATTTATTGTAAAGATCTGATTGTCCAAATGAATTTAAATTAGATTAACCAATATTTATGAAAGCATTAATAAGGAATGGTTTGACTGATAAAAAATTAGAATTGTTATCCTCATTTAAATTAAATGAATTTGAACCTTAAGAGTAATGTCCTATAGAGTTATTTTCAAAAATGATTTAATATTAGAAATTGGCTAATCCAAAGTTTAAATAATGTGTAGAGGATATTGAGAATTTTTATGAGAATATCATTCAAAAAATATTAAAGAAAGAAATAGATTCTGAGAGTGCAAGAAGTGCATCAGCTAAAATAGATATAGATGAAATAATAAAAAAACTTACATGAATTTCATAGATCTTATTCTTCATTCTATAATTCCTTTTATTTTTATTCTTCTTAATCCACAACTCTTTCATGTATTTCATTACTTAATTACTATTGTAATTCTGATAATACAAGAGATGGAGGAAATGGGGCACTTCCTTCAGCTGTCAATCTAAAATATATAAATCACTTGACAAACTTAGCAGGAGGTGTTTCAACATATGGTAATTCTCTTGAATCAACACTAGGTTCTAATTAATCTTAGTAATTTGAGACTCTTCTAAAATCTATTCTTTCTATAAACCATTTAAAAATTATTGTTTTTTCTAATTTTTCAATAGTCTTATTATTAGATAATTTATACAGCAAGTTGTAAAGAAAATATATCTAATAATATATTATAAAGAATTGCAATTAAGGATGAACTAATGAATGTTAAAGATTATTGGATTAAAGTAAAAAGAGCAACAAATATTAAAGGATAATATTTATTTTTAAGTTACAGTGGAAAAATCAAGAATTGACTTTATCCATTTGGTAGCACAAGACATCTTAAAATAATAAATACATAATACTCTTGAATAATAAAGAATATGCCATAATTCCATAAACTATAAGCTGGGACTTAATAGAAAGGATTATAAATGTAAGAAAAGATAAATTATAAAAGAAGACATAGTGACTAAAATTATATTTGTTTTAATACTTAAGTGATAAAACCTAAACTAGTGATGGTGATAATGAAAGCTACTGTCCCTAGTTTTATTTCAAAGTCTTTGAATTTATTATTGATACATATAATAGCCAAGATTAAATCTAGGTTGTAATCTAAATTATAAAATAAATTCGATTGATACAATGAATAAATGGAGCAAAAATTAATCTTTAGATTTAAAAAGGCATTGTTTAATCAGGTGAATTACTAAAGATGTTAAAAGCAAAATGTGTAAATATATCAATAAATCCAAAAATAGCTGAAATAATTAAGATAATTTTAGTTCCAAAATAATGTGAATACCACCATATTTTAAGAAAGGAAATAAATCCTGGCTGTTTATGTACATTATTATCTAATTATTATGGATTCATTATATATTAATATTTTATATATTCTAATAATTAATCACTTGAATACAACTGCATAAGTGTTGTTTTATTAAGTGAATTCAATATTAAATGATGTAGCATTCTACCAACTACTCAATTTCAACTGTTTAATCTACTCAGTTGTGAGTACTTTTAATTATTATATGTCTGCTTAATTTACAAATGTTATCGGTTTCATATTGTTTTTATTTGTCTATTTACTTAAGTCTTTGTTCCATTTATTTAATTAGTCTCCATTATATTTCCAAGCAATTATTGTTAATTTATTATCAGAAACATAGGTAAATTCATCAACTTATCCATTTTATTTTTTTTATCCCTTATTGATTGCTTCTTGTGTATATAATTNCTCTTCTAAAATCTATTCTTTCTATAAACCATTTAAAAATTATTGTTTTTTCTAATTTTTCAATAGTCTTATTATTAGATAATTTATACAGCAAGTTGTAAAGAAAATATATCTAATAATATATTATAAAGAATTGCAATTAAGGATGAACTAATGAATGTTAAAGATTATTGGATTAAAGTAAAAAGAGCAACAAATATTAAAGGATAATATTTATTTTTAAGTTACAGTGGAAAAATCAAGAATTGACTTTATCCATTTGGTAGCACAAGACATCTTAAAATAATAAATACATAATACTCTTGAATAATAAAGAATATGCCATAATTCCATAAACTATAAGCTGGGACTTAATAGAAAGGATTATAAATGTAAGAAAAGATAAATTATAAAAGAAGACATAGTGACTAAAATTATATTTGTTTTAATACTTAAGTGATAAAACCTAAACTAGTGATGGTGATAATGAAAGCTACTGTCCCTAGTTTTATTTCAAAGTCTTTGAATTTATTATTGATACATATAATAGCCAAGATTAAATCTAGGTTGTAATCTAAATTATAAAATAAATTCGATTGATACAATGAATAAATGGAGCAAAAATTAATCTTTAGATTTAAAAAGGCATTGTTTAATCAGGTGAATTACTAAAGATGTTAAAAGCAAAATGTGTAAATATATCAATAAATCCAAAAATAGCTGAAATAATTAAGATAATTTTAGTTCCAAAATAATGTGAATACCACCATATTTTAAGAAAGGAAATAAATCCTGGCTGTTTATGTACATTATTATCTAATTATTATGGATTCATTATATATTAATATTTTATATATTCTAATAATTAATCACTTGAATACAACTGCATAAGTGTTGTTTTATTAAGTGAATTCAATATTAAATGATGTAGCATTCTACCAACTACTCAATTTCAACTGTTTAATCTACTCAGTTGTGAGTACTTTTAATTATTATATGTCTGCTTAATTTACAAATGTTATCGGTTTCATATTGTTTTTATTTGTCTATTTACTTAAGTCTTTGTTCCATTTATTTAATTAGTCTCCATTATATTTCCAAGCAATTATTGTTAATTTATTATCAGAAACATAGGTAAATTCATCAACTTATCCATTTTATTTTTTTTATCCCTTATTGATTGCTTCTTGTGTATATAATTAAGCTAATAAATTAGGTTGTGATCTATAATTAATTCTATTGATTTCAATAGATTAATTTCCATAGAATGTTAAAGTACTATCATATAATTATTCATTTAAGAAATCTAAAAGGATCACAATAGTATATTTTCCTCTTTATAAATTAACATTAACAATTAGAGTTTTAAATTATCCATAATCTTATGCAATTAATTATTATTGTGCATCAAAAACTAATAATCTAGCATAAGAATAATCATATTTTTTGGAGATATTATTTCTAAAGTATCTTTCATCTCTTTAATGTAATCTAAAGGTAGCAACAGTATTTTATTGTACATCTAAATAAAAAGATGAATAGGCATCATTATTTGCTTTTAAATTATAACTGACATGATAATAATTAGGAACATATTTAGCAATAGTTATTTATTTACCAATAATATTTTTGATAGGTATTTTGAATTCTCCTTCAGGTTAAGTATTATTAGGTAGATTATTATTCCAACCCCATGGATTACGTAAAGTAATATCTTTACCATCTTAATTTAAATATGTATAAATTCCATCTGATAAATGAACTAAAGCAATATCACTTTAAGTAAGAGATTTTAATAAATTTTCATTGATTTATTGAACAGATGTTGGTGCTCCTGTAGTTTCTTATAGAAAATCAGCAACAGTAGCATTTTTAAATGCATCTTCATAACTTCCATATTCTTTAGCAAATGCCTTTTCAATAATAAATGGCCATATTTCAGATTAAAAACCTGGATTAGATTTTTATAATTATCTAAAATATTGAATATAAATAATAATACTTTAATTTATTATTATCAACAGTGGTTGTTGATCCCACAGGTTATCCCTTAAAATAACCAAGTAAATCATCTACTAATATATATTTCCATACTCCTGCAATACATAAACGAGCATAATAAAATCCAAATTAATTTATAATTTAATCTTCCATAATTCTAGTGATTAATTATGGTTATTCTGCAATGGCTGCTAAAACTTACATAAGAGTTCCTGATTATTATCCAGGTACAATATCATTTGGATCTACTACTTAATGAGTGTCTTATTCTCTTCCAAGATTAAATCTTTTAAAATCCACTTAACCATGTCCAAATACTTAAAATACCTAAAGATCATTAGGAGGAAAGGTTGGATCTATATACTCTTTTTAAGGTGCAAATTTTAATGATAATTTTTTACTTACTTCAATATTATTTTTAGGTTCTAAAGCTATTATTCTATCTTCAGGTATTATTTTAATATTTTTAACAATATCTTTAACAGCTTAAGTATTCTTTCCTCTTCTAACAAAATTAGGTCTATTTTCAGATACTTATGGTGGTTATTAATTTTATTAATTATCTTAATCAATTCTATTTTATTAAGGTTATTATTATTTCTCTTAATTTATTTTTTAGGATTATTAATCATTCTTAGGCGGTTATTCATTTTTATTAGGTTATTCAACTTTTGAAGGTTGCTGATCAAATTTACTTGTTGGAGGTTATTAATTTTTTTGTTCATCTTTTTTAGCTGATGGCTTATTTGAAATTGATTTAGTAGGATCAATAATATCTTTAGATGGAGGAGCAGGTGTTTACTTTTAGTTTTATTATGCTTTATTAGTAACTGGAGTTTGTGATTATGCAGGTTATTATTAAGAAGTTTTTGTTTGTTAAGGTATTTTAGTTTATTAGGGAGTTTATGATTATTAAGGTTATGATTGTTAAGGTTATTATTATTAAGGTGTCTTTGTTTATTATGGTTATTATATAGGAGTCTTTTATTATGTTTATTATTATTTAGGATCTGGTGTTTAAAATGGTTGAGTTGTATTAGGTTTAGCAGGAGTTTGTTATTGTTATTATTATTATTACTTTTATTATTATTATTATGATGGTGTATTCTTATTTCCAGTATTATTTTATGTTTATGCTTATCCTTTCTTAGGATCAGTATTTGATATCTCTTAATCACTCTTTTTACTTGTACTTTAAGGTGGAGGTGTACTTGGTATTATTGAACTATTGTTCGACTTTAATAATACTCTTTAAATATACTTTATCCACTTTTGAATCATTTCTACTCTTCTTTCTTAAAAGACTATCCAGAAAATCTGGATCACTATTTTGATTTTTGAATTTCTCATCATCATCATCAACTTTACTTCTTGCAAAACTTGAAATACCAGGATCATCATCATCATCATCTTAGATGTCTCTTGCCCTACCAGTTAATTATCTCATATTTGGCCGACGGTTAATTAGTTAACTTTGCTAATACATAATATAAATTTAATTATGTGTTTTCAAGATTCAATTTTAATATTATTTACTCAATCTTTTTATATCCTAAAACTTAAAAATTTTATTAATATTTCTAATATAACATTCTCTCTCATCTCATAATTTTTATTCCATCGTATTATTTCTATTTATTCAAAATTATATCATATATATCTTAAAAAGTTATTATGAATATGAATTTTCATTTTTATACTCAAGATCTAAAGAAACATAACCAACAATAATTATTTATATATAAATTATCAAGTATCAAGTATCAAGATTTTTTCTATCTATTAAATCCGTTTTTAAAAATTTATTAATATCATTATAATTATCCTTAGTTAACTCTTTTATTTGCATTCATTTCATTATCCAATTAATCTGCTATATGAAAATTATTATATATTCATCTTTTAATATCTTTTTTATAGTTCTTTTTTTACTTTCTCCGTGAATTTTTATATTTTATATTATTCTTAATCTTCAATCACATTTTTTTTCTATAATTAATCATATTAGATTCTCATTATCCTAAAGTATATATTCTTTTAGTATATTAATCTTATCAAAATTTTTAAATCAAATTAATTATATCCTCAATTTTATACATAAATTTATGTCTATTAGTAACTTTTTTGTTAATTTTACTCAAAACTAACATAATAAGAAAGACAATTAAGGGAATTAGTTATGCGTCTTCAAAATAACAAATAATCAGTGACTTAATAATTTGATGTCCGTTATTAAGATGAATACTAAATATTAAATATTGGCAAAATACTCTTTAGAGAATGAATAGATTAAATTTTTCTCTTAGAAACTTTCTTTACTTATTAATTATCATCGTCTCTTAATTTTTCATATATAAATTAATTTTTTCTGCAAATAACCTTTCTAAAAATAGTTAAATTATTTCTGAACAATAATTTAAATTATCCAAATCCTCTAACTTACTACAAAAATCAGCTATACACTCTGGTCTGGTCTTGGATTTTCTTTAAATAATTTATTTATTATATTTATTCAAAGAAGATGTAAGACTTCAAAAAAAGCATTTTATTGGATGAAATACCAAATGCCTTATATTTAGATTATGTTTATCTATATATGGCATTATTTTTATTAAAACAATATAAAAACTTATTTAATGATTTATTTCAATTTTTCTCAAATTAATTTTCAATTTGCTTCTACAGTTAAAATGTACTAGTAAGTAAATTTGAATAAAAAAAGCTTCATTTATATAGAAATTATCAGTCATTTCTTTTTCAATAAAACTAAGTTAAATTATTTATATTTTTTACTAAGTAATATTTTTGACTTATTTTTATCTTCAATTTTATTTTATATTAAATTATTATAACTGGTTAAATACTTTGTATTTTTTATATTGCTTTTCTTGAAAACACTTAGTATATTAAATTATTTGACACAAGTAGGCTAATCATTTGGAATTTTAAATAATTTTAGTACTACTTAAACATAATAAAGTTGATTAAACAAATATTTTGTAATATTAGTAAGGTTTAAGCAATAAATTAGAAGAAGGATAGTTTGAAAATAAATAATAAAATCAAAAATTGAAGAATAATTTGATAAGTTAAATGTTTTTGAATATGTATATCTGAAGCAATAGTTTGATTAAATATTAAATAAAAATAAAGTAATGGAATTATTTGAGATGAAAATATAGTATTTTTTGAGTATTGAGGTAGTAAATAATATAAATTATAAGTTGAATTGTATAATAAATTTAAATGGGAGTATAAATTTCTAGATTATGTAAATATTTTAGAGGAAGTGATTCAAAAGTTTATTAATAAGAGAATTCAGGATCAATTTCTTAAAATAGATCAAAAGTATTTGTATGGGATAACTTTGATGGGTATGATATAGAACCAAAAAAGCATTTTCATCATGCTGAGTCAATAGTAAAAATAGAATGGAAGAAAGGAGAATTGATAGGATAAGGATCTTTTGGTAGAGTTTATAAATGTATGGATATAAAGACAGGAAGAATATTAGCTGTAAAACAGATTGAATTAGGTTATGTTGATAAAGAAAGTTTGGAGTCGTTTCATTAAGAAATAAAAATACTTAGTCGATTGAATCATAATAACATAGTAAAATATTATGGGTGTGACGAAGATAAAAATAATTTGAGCATTTTATTAGAATATGTAGGAGGTACTAGTGCATTATAAAATCAGGTGGCTCGATTACCCACATGATGAAGAAATTTAAGTTCAATCTAAAAGAACCAGTGATTCAGAAATATGTAACAGATATTCTCCAAGGTCTTGTTTATTTACATGATGAGGGGATCATCCATAGAGATATCAAGGGAGCAAATATTATAGTTGATACTAAAGGAATCTGTAAATTAGCAGACTTTGGATGTAGTATAATAGGATCGAATGCATATTCATTAAAGGGCACTCCCAATTGGATGGCACCAGAAGTAATCAATTCATAAGAAACAGGCAGATATTCAGATATATGGAGTCTAGGATGTACCATCATTGAAATATTGACTGGTGAACCACCTTGGGGAAAATTCTAATCTCCAATGTAGGCCTTATTAACGATATCATCTAAATAATGTTCACCCCCCATTCCTATTAATATATCTTCAAATCTAAAAGACTTTTTAGATAAATGTCTATAAATTGATCATAAAAAAAGATGGTAAGCTAAAAAATTATTAAATCATCCATTCATATCCACCATTACTAAAAAAATATCTTCCAAAAATGAATTTTTTGTATATCAATAAAAATCAACTTAAGAACATTTAAATTTCGATCTTCATGTTGCACCATAATTAGGAGATATCAAAAAAGATGAAGAAGATTTAGGTAAAGATTCTTATCAAATGGTCTTTTCTAAATAATCTTCATAAATTAGCGATGATAAACATTTATAGTATTGATTTTACATCTAATTTACATTTATAATTACTTAAAATATTTAACTTTATTGCATATCAGTCATATTTACTAATATCTCTTATATCTCTAATAATTAATTCTATTTTTAATTTTAGAAAATAAAAATCAAAATTTAATTTTAAATTTAAGTAATTATCTAAAAAATTTAAAATATAATTTATTAAAGATTAAAATAAGAACTATTATGTGAAAATTGAAAATTTATTTATGATATATGTTAAGTATTCTTTTTTTATCATTATTTACAATATTTATTTGCTTTTAGCTTTTACAAATTCCGTTTTACCTAGAATGTCATTATTTAAATTTACATTCATCGTCATAGCATGCATAGTACCTAAATGTATATCTAATATAGTTATAGCAAATATGTAACAATTTTCAGCAGCAAATAAATTACCATTTTAATGTAATGCACATCCTAAATTATTAAATGTTATGGCATTCTCAATATTCTCATCCCCTATTGAGCTTTCTCTTATCATTCTTGCTTTCATAAATGCTCTAACTGCTAATTCATATTCCTGCATATGATATAATACTGAACCAATACCACAATAAGGTCTAAAATAATTATTATATTTTATACAAAGCTTTATCTGGATGTTCTGCCTATAATTTGTCAGTATGAAATTTAACTCTAAGAAATTTATTTAAAGCTGCTTCATCCTATCCTGCTATTTCATATATCTATCCACCAAAATATTCAAAAAACACCATCTCTGAATCATGCAATTCTGTTAAAGATTACCATAATTCTTATGCTTAATTCAAATTTTGCATTGCTAAGAAATAATTTTATTATGTAAATGACATTAAAGATGCTTCTATCATTGTTCTTACCTATTTTGGAGGATCATGTGGATAAAGACATTCTGGTAACATAACTGGAGCAACTGTTATATGACTTAATGTGCTTAACTCATTTAAATCTCTAAGAGGATTTGTTTATTTAGTTTTTTTCACAAAATCAATAAAATATTGATATGTAAATATTCTTGGAGGCTATACTAAAGGTTCCCATTCTAAATATTTAATTATTAATCAATACAATATTTCATTGGTTACTCTCCTTTTTTCAATTACTATTTAGGTTAAGGTTTATTCTTGTTTTTCTTATCTTCCTCTAATTTCCTTGCTAATTCTTCTCTTTTCTCTTTCTCTTTTACTTATTTTATAAAATCCTAAGCCAAATCAACCTATGATTTTAATTCTGGAAATTATGGTAAATCTTATTAAAAAAATTACCATATCTCTTTAATATCTAATTAATCTGGTTTACGAGTCAGAAATTAATAATTCTATTATTTCATGTCCTATTCTTCAGATTAAGAATTTATTTGCTCTTAAATAATATCATCTGATTTATCTAACATTTCATAAAATTTCTTGATTTGAATCAAGTGTTTTGATTTCTCTTCATGTACTCTATTCCCATTTAATTATAGATCAATCATTTTTGTAAAGAATTTTATTATTAAAGGAGAAATCTCTTTCTTTGAATCTTGTTAAGTCTCTCTATTTGCAATTTCTGCTGCCATTTTACAAATCAAGAATTAAAATTCCAAATATGAAATTTTTGGATCTCCTGAATAATGTGATGGTTTAAATTTTCCACTGTTGATCATATCACATATTTATTAAATACTATTAGATTAATAAAATTAGTTTTCTTTTGGCGTTATTGCAGGTATAATTCTCATACATACATCTTCAATATTTTCATAATTGTAATGAGTAGGATGAATATTCATATCTTGAAGCATCTAAATGAATGAGTATATAGGAATTCTTAGATTCATTAATTTAATTTCCTTCCATGTTAACATGAGTTCATTTTTATAATAATTTTCAGGTAAATACATCGTAAAGAGTGCTTGAATATCTTCTTCATATGCAATAATCGTTTTAACAACCTATTCATGAAGTAACTTTCTATTTGGATCATCAAGTATAAGCATTCTAATTTATGTTTTTTTTTTATTATCAATGAAAATATCCTTCAAAATAAGATCCAAATATTTCTTTTATCCTTAGTATAGAGTCTTACCTAAAACATCGATCATTCTTAAAAATTTTGTTCTGCTAAATTTTGGAGTATCATCCTTTATTATATTTATAGGTTCTTTTGTTCCTTTTTTTGGAGCTTAAGTAACTTTTTAAACTATTTCTTCTAAAGCAAAATGTTATTAGTATAAATTAAAGTAGAAATTAAAGTTGAACTTTGCAGTTATCAATTCTCTTTCCAATAGAAAAGTCAAGAACTCATGAAATTTCATGTTGTTGCTTTCAGCTTTACAAATTACTTGATTAAATAAATCATCTAATCGTTTTTAGTCTTCTAAACACATTCCTGCAACAATTTATTGTTCTTACATTTATAAAATAATGTAATAATATAGCGCTTATGCCTTGTAATTGAATTGAATCTATATATCAGACTATAAGAGTTCAAGAAACTAAGTGAGTTAGATTTAATATCGATTAAGAATGAATTCTAAAAGGATTCTACTTATGTAATAGAAGTGTTAGCAAATGAATTCAAATTCAGTCAAGATGTATTTATTGAAAATCCATTTTATCAACAAAATTTATTGACAGAAAATTCATTTCTATAAATTATCAAAAAAGATTAAGTAGACACTTAAATAGGTATATTTTGTGAAATTATTTTTTAAAGCCACAATGGGGACACCTTATGCAATTAAAATGAATGAAAAGAATTTTAAAAATTAAGATCATCTTTATAAATATATAGTTAGAAACTTGGATACTGCTTTTACAATTTAAGAGATAAGACATAATTCTTATACAGTTAGTGTAAGTTTTTGTGAAGTTTTAAAATCATTTATAATTTCATCTAGTGGATAAACAATAATTTGTTAAGATAAAAATGACATTCAAAACTATGAAAGAGTAGGGAAAGTAGCTCAACTATTCTTTGAAATTTATCATAAATTGAATCATGCCCAATAATTGAATTTAGCATAAGATCTTATACATAGAAGTCTTGTTGGATATAGAAATTAATTCAATTTTATTGAGTGGTATTCAATTATGGAACATTATGGATAATAAAGAATATTGCCACCTGATATTGTTAAGAAATTTCTTAATCATTACAATTTAGAACCTGCTAAATCAATAGAATATTAAGTCAATCTATAAATGTTTCCTACAATTTGTGATTCAATATATAATTAATTAATAGATTACTACCATGATTATTTTTAAGGAAAAACAATATATTTTTGGAAAGATAATAATTATTTAGGAAACTGTTTTATTCCTTCAAAACATTTTGAACTTTTAAAAAAAATGAAAAAATTATTGATTCATTCTAAATTTTAAGAAAACTAAAGGGATTCTAATAGTTTACTATAATAATTTAAATTAAATGAAGTTGAATATGATTTTTACTAAAAGTTCTTAAATATTATGTTTAGTATTCCAAATAAACAAAGAAATAGTTAAAATTTTTATAATTTATCAAATATGGTTTTTACTTGTATCTATAAAAAATTAGATTATGTACCATAAAAATAAGATTAAAAAGTGACTCTTGCTTAATGTTTATAAAAAATACCAAAAGTAGTAGTTTTGATTCCTGTAGGTATTAATGGAATGGGTTATGATGAGATGAGTTAAATAATTTTTAGAATGTATGAAGATGTACAAATAATGAGTAAATTAAATTAGGTTAACGATAATAAATAGCTTTATTTATATGATAAGGTATGTTCACTTAAAAATTTAAAATTAATAAATGATTAATTAAAATAACTTCCTTATGATGTAAAAACAGTAGCATTATATCCATAATGTTCAAATTATTATTTATCAGAAAAATAATCTAAATTTCCATTTTCTTCTAAATTTATAATGTTCTGTCTATTATCAGTATTGGATGATAGAAACAAAGTTAATGAGATATTTAATTAATTGGATGAATTTGAAAATCAGAATTTGAATCATTTGCCTACTGATTTTTAAATTAGTTGTTAATACATGCCATAAACAAAGGAGACAGATAATGTTTATAGTGAGATAATAGAATAGGATTTGAAAGCAGCATTTTAAGGGAATTCACAGACTAATTAGTATTTGATAGAAAATTTATCTTAATATAAAGATTTTGTTGGTAGAGTGCCAGAAATGCATATGTGGGATTAATCAAGAAAGATAGTAAATATAATAGAAGAGAAAGCTAAAATAATAATATCTAAAAAGAAACAATAATAATAAATGCAATTATAAGTAAATAAAATAATGGATAATTACTATGGTTTGTATATTAAGAATCCAAATTGGGATGAGATAGATAATTTTATTTTTGATTGTCTTGAGATAATAATAAAGAATTATCCAAGAGAGAGTGATGTCAATAGAATGTATCATTAATTAAAAGAATAATTATTTAAAGAGAAGAATATGTAAATATATTAAAGAGAGAGGCATCCATATATGTTATCAATAAAATAAGAATAAAAATATTGGTAAACTTAGGTGGAAGTGGCTGTGATTGTAGTGGATGGAATTATAATGTTATAACCATAAAGTTTAGGTTTAAATCTTTTATAAGATATACCAATATATTCTAATAATATTGAGGTTATAAAATCAGGAGAAATAGCAGAAATAGTAAAAAAAGAAGTGGAGAAACTATAGAATAAAAGTGAGAAGGAAGAATCTTTAATAAAATTAAATCTTGAATTAAATCATAGGAATTGGAATTTATACGTTGTTAAATGGAAAGCTATAAAAATAGAATTGGTTGAGAGTTTGGTTAATTGAAATATTTTATTATTTAATTTTTTATTAAATGGGTTCTGAAAAGTAAATTATGATTTATATATAAGACACAAGAAAGAGAAAAAAGAGAAGAAAGAAAAAAAGGAGAAGAAAGAGAAGAAAGAAAAGAAAGAGAAGAAAGAAAAAAAGGATAAGAAAGTAATTAAATTTTAAATATGGAATATAGGAATCAGATGTAGGGAAAAAGAGATCTAGAAATGTAAGTAAAGAGAAAGAAAAAAAAAGAGAAGAATTTTAAAAACCAAAGATGCCTGTTAAACCACCTGCAGAATAATCAAGAGGGTAAATAATAATATAATTTTAAGATTTCGTTTTGATTCTCCACCAAAAGATCCTTTATAAAATACTCCATTCTCAAGTTTTAAGAGTAAATTAATAGAACAAGTATCTTTGGGAGAATTTGAAAGTAATTAATTAAGAGATAAATTTAGCAATACTTCCTGCGAATCCTCTTCAAAATCCTTTAGCATCTTTAGAAGCTTTATAGGCAATGACACCATTAATTTAGATGCAAAGATTATAATAATTAAGAGCTTAAGCAGATGTGAAAGCTGATAGAAAATTATATGTGGGTAATTTACCACCTAATAGTTAACCTAAGGAAGTATAATTATTTATTGAATTTAGCTTTAAGATTTCTTAAATTAAACATTACTTAAAATGGGTGTAAGTTCTGAACATGCAGGTTCTATTTGTAATTGTTGGATTGATTCAAATGGTTTATTTTACTATTAATTATATATAGGACATTTTGGTTTTATTGAATTTAGATCACCTGAAGAAGCTACATAAGGATTTATTTTGAAAGATGTTATTTTTAAAGGACATTAATTAAAAATTGGTAGACCAAAATCATTTTTGACTTCTTTGGCAGCAGTGAATTAATAAATGATGAGTGAATAAGCATGTAATAAATTATATGTGAAATTAAGTTAATCCTTTAAGTACTATGAAAGGAAATGATAAAGACCCATCTTCACTTATTAGTTTTAGACCACTCAAGTTAATGGCCAGATATGTGTAAATACCTACTAATATTTTAGTTATTAAGAATGTCCTCACTTTTGAAGATGTTTAATATTTATAAAATTATATAGGTTACCATAGATGAAGAATATAATGATATAATGGATGATATTCGAGAAGAATGCTCTAAATTTGGGACAGTCAAAAATGTTATAATTCCCAGACCTGAATTTGGAAAGATTATTGTTGGAGTAGGCAAAATATTTGTGGAATATGAAAAGACTTAAGAAGCCAGAACTGCTAGAAGATATTTAGCTGGTAGAATGTATGGAGATAAAACTGTTGAATGTGAATATTTATCTAGAGATAAATGGGCTAAAAGATAATTTACAGATCTAAATGAAGACATCTTAAGAGACAGAGAAGAATAATAAAGATTGGATTAGCTTGAATAAGAAAGAATTAAAAAATAAATGTAAGAAGAAATGTTTCAAGGGAATTGATTTAAATATACAGTCAAAAATGTTAATATTAAGTTTTATATCACTACCATATATTCATTTATTCTCTCTCTTTTCTATTTTTTATCTTTATTTTTATTCTATCTTATCTTACTACATTTTTTTTTACTCTAATAAGTTGAGCATCAATACTCCTCCAAGTATTATTAAAGATGCTATTGCAATCAATATTGCTAAAAACATTGTGTGTATCAGTTTAAATTCTTATTCATTTTACTAATTATTATTAAATGATTAGACATACCTTGAATGGAAATAGCCAACTTAAATCACCAATATAAGTATAAATAATAGATTCTCTATTTATTGACATCTTGTATAACAATTGAATTCCCTTTGCTAAAATACTTGCAATAAATATGTAAAGTGGAGTGACAAACACCAATAACCATATAAATATAACTTATTAGGAAATGAAGGTATATATTTATCCTATATTCATATATTAATTTATTTGTTAATATTTATGTTAAGTATATTTTATATATTCATATCACTCTACTTTTGAGTAAATTAAATCTACAAAAGCTTTAAATTCATTTTAAAGATTTGCAAATCCAGGAGAATCTATGACAGGTTTCAAAATTGTTTCATTATATAGTCCAAGTATTGGAGATTAATCAGTCACTTAAAATTTTGGATCTCTATCATTGATTACCTATTTAATATCTGCTACATTTCGTTTTGTGAAATCCAATATTGAAACTTATTAATTCTTAATTATAAAACCATTTTTACATTATATTACATATCTTTTGAAATTATCTACAAATTCTTAAATTTATCTATAAATAAATATTATAATAATGAGACAAAAATCTTTAATGGTTCTGCAAATGGTTTTAATAATTCTTGCCAACCATTAACAGAGAATATTTATTAGTCTAATAGTTTTTATATATAAGTATATTCTAAAAAAACCATTTTTTATTATTCAACAGAAGTGAATCTAAAATATAAATTAAAAAGTACTTTAGTTTTCTTTTGTAATTTAATTTTAATCTTTAAGTCACAAAAGCTGAATGTGTTGGAAATAAATAACCCTAGTTAGTAGTAAATGCTCTAATGTATGATAAATGTTTTTGATCAAACTTAATAGTTTAAGTTACTAAATTTAATTTTTTAAGAAAAATGTCTGTAACTTAGATTAAATTTGTTATACGATTTGGAACATCTTTTTTTTCAGTAAACACCCAAGATTTTTTGAATATGGAAACTCTTTAACCTTCTTTAACAAATAGTTACATGACATTATCAAATAACTAATATAATTAAGCTTTTTACAAATTAGTCATCATACTGTCCTTCTTCATCATTGAATCTATTATTTGCCTTTTTCTCCATTATATAAAAATATATGTTTTTATAAAATATCACCATCCATGTACAATATTTAAACTTTTTTTTTAACAGTTTTAATCTCTCTGGTGTTGGTTTGACTCTGAGTGGAGGTTGGAGCTTATTTTTAGATAATTAATTTGGTGATGGTAATTATTGTTCTTAAGGTTTTTTATGTTATTTTTTATGTGATTCTTTAGGTTCAATATGTTATTTTTTATGTGATATTTTAGCTAATGTTTATGGTGATTTTTTTTCTACTGGTTATGGTGATTGTTCATCAAATCTGGAACTTTTACTAAATTAAAAATCAGAAACATTTTTTTTAGATTTATGTTTAACTTTTAAATTTCTTCTAAATTTTTAATTTTAATGATGATCATTATCTGGATCATTTTATTATTTTTTTAATAATTACAACATGATCTAATTTAATTGTTGTTCTTCTTTTTTTTTAGCTAAACCTTTCAATATTTAACTAATACTTTTCTCTTCTTTTTAAGGTGGTTGGAAAAGCATATTCTAGAATGGATAATTCTAATAATAAGGATTTTGATTTTATATAGGATAAGGCATAGGCATTTGATTAATTAATTGATGATAACTATAGGGATATTATTATACAGGTAAGAATGGAGGTATAAATGGAGGTTAAGGAAGTCTTGGACCACTTTCAATCTGTTTAAGATGTTTTTTAAGATTCTTTATTTCATCAAGCAATTGACTATTAAATCTTTCACTTTCAATAGAATGTTTATATCTATCATGTGGTACATATATTTATTATTATGAATTTGAAACAATTTTCATTAAAGCATTTACTTACTACTGCTGTTCATTTAGTCTTTTTTCTAGTTTATTAATTTCACTAAGATCCTCTTCAGTTTCCTTTGTTAATAAATCAAGTGAATTTAAAGGCTTCATATTACCATAATATCCTTTATATTAAGGGATATTTAGATTCATTAAAATAAAATTTGTTAAAAACAGTTCATTTATAAATCGAAATGCTATTAAAAAATTAGAACTGAGTAAAATATCAATTTAAATAGACAAAGTTTTAATATAATAAGAATCAACATTATTAAATCACTTCTTCTAAAACTTATTTAGCAGGACATAGTTATTTATATTTTGGATCAAATTCCTTAAAATATTGACTATTGTATTGTCCTTAATAAGATGGATTCAATTTTATTTAAGTTGATTCTTTTAAATTATTAGATTTATCTGTTAGATAAGGTTAATATGAAGATTTAGTAACTGAAATTCCATTAAACTATATATTTGGTGGCTACAAAGGTGATCTCTCTTAAATTATAGTATTTATTTATTACAGTATAAACCTTTAGTACTTTAAACAGGTTAAACTTATGTTCCTTAATAACATTCTTTATAATTTGTTCTCCCAAAAAATGGAAGATCTCTAATTACTGTTGGACTCTTTTAAGATAATAATGGAACAGTATCACCATTTCCCCAATTTAAAAACATATTATTATAAGTTGATAAACCATAAAATGGTCCACTTCGAATCATTGATTAAGGGGAATTACTTTTAAATCTAAAATTTGATTATTTACCCAAAAAATCATGCTAAAAGATTCTAATGATAATACCTTATATATTGATATATTTCCTACATCACCTTCCTATTTAGGATTATCAAAAAAGTTTTAATTATAATGAGAACTCTAATCTGGAGATTTATGAATGAATTCCCTTTAATAAATACTTTTACTCCCAGACATTGATGGTTTATTCTTACATTATTTTCCTTCACATTAATGCTTTCCACAATTACAAATAGAACATAAACATTATCCTATCATTTCTAATCTTCAATACCTCTTAAATGTTCAAAATATTATTGAAATTATTCCTCTTCTTTATTTCCTCTATCTTTTTATCTACTCATTAATCTCTCAATTAACTTGCTTATAATATATTTATTTACTTTAGTTTAACTATTTGTTAGTTCACCTCGAGGAGACGATAATTTAGATCCTTATTTATTACTTCGAGATCTTATTATTATTTTTTACTGTGGCATTTTTAACTAATAATTTATAATTATTAATTTCTATCATTTTATATGATTATTACATAGAATCTTAATCAAACATACTATCTTATCATTAATTTTTTGTAGAAAAACATATTACCACTTTTTAAATATCTGAGTTGTTTAAAAATTATTTTAATTAAATATTGATTGTATATCAATTTATTCTTATTATTTTCATTCAAGTATTTAACTTTATAATATATTTATTATTTGATTTATGACTTCTAACAAAACCAATCCTAATTATTAAAATTACCAAAAAATTCATCAAATTTTGAATAACCAAGCTTAATCATCGCCTTTTCAGCATTTTAGATAAAATTCCCATAACATCAAGTTATGCCACTCACCTGAACATAATTAAGAAACTCCATTAAATCTTACAAAAAAAACTAATAATTTAAATAATATTAATAAAAATCTAACCTAATTTAAACTTTGTCATCATAAACATGAATCTCTCAATTTTGAGCCTTTTCAATTTAATGTATTAAGTCTATTGATATATTTAGAATGACATCAAACTTTAAAAATTTACTTAAATCAAAAGCTCAAGATCTAGTAAAATTAATCATTTTGATTTAAGCAAACAAATTAATAAGATTAATAACTGTAAACAAGAAAATATAACTGAAACCATTTAAACACATACTTAATTTTAAAATAAAGAAAGATATGATGAAAAAATCTTGGATTTATTATTACTTGATACAATAGAGTTAAAAAAAATATTGACAGTAAATAAAGAAGAACCTTTAAAAAAATAGAGGTTTAAACCAAAAATTACATATATTTCTAATACTAAAGCTTTGCCTCATGATTTTTTTTTCACATAATGATATTAAATTTTGAGTATTTGCAATTATTACATATATTAAATTTTATCGATTCATATACATAGATTATTAAATATCTAATTTCTTATTTAAATAATGACGATTCTATCTTAAAATTTAAAATTGATACACTTAAAAAATCTTGAAGTGAATCAATCTCCTTGAAATAATAATTTATTTATAATGGTAGAGTATCATTGTTCATTTATAATTCAATAGAAATAATAGTTAATTAATAAATAATTGATATAATATTAAGAATGGAACCGTTTGCAATTCTCACAAATATAATTAAACCAGAATATTTAAACTATTATAAAGATTGGATACACATAGCTAGTGAAAAAGAAGCCAGAGGACTTTAATTAATTGGAGCAATTTATAAACATAAAGGAAGAAAATTATTTAGGTAACATCTAAGTTTATTTAATAGAGCTAAACCTCCTACAGTCCAATTACAAGAATTAACTGATCAATAGGAATTAGAGTAATAACTTAGTTTAATTTTTGAATAGTTTTAAGAAAGCTGAAGAAATGCATAGAAAAAATTAAACTTCTACAACATATGGTACAGAATTCGGCTATTTACAAAAATTGCTAAAGCCTTAAAATAATGTATTTAAATTCAAGAAATGCTCTGAACTTGAATTTGCTTAACCATTAAATGATTTGGCAAAATTATTTTTAGATAATTGGATTGAGATGAATGATGAATTAGAATTTTAAGAATTGGTATTGAATTGTTTAAGAGCTCTTTTCAGTAGATTTAAAGCATAATTAGTACCAAAAACAGAAATGAAGTATATTTATAATATTAAAATAGAGTAAAATATGAATATAAACCAGATTGGAAACTTTCAAACCCTATAAGAGTAGATAAAGCAGGAACTGAAATTAAGTAATTTAATTTAAAATAAATAGTGCTTACAAAACAAATTATAATGCAATTTTTAAATAGAGACTCAAATAAGAATAGATTAAATAAAAAATTGCTGAATTAGATGGAACTGATTTCGCAAAGGCTTTAACAATACATAAATCATTCAAAATAACATGATTTATAATATTAATAAATATATAAAAGGATAGTCTATATTATCTTAGTTTTTTATATGTATTTTTAATGAATCATATCTGAATATTAATTTTCTTTTTTGCTAATTCCGCTTTATATTTATCAGGTATTGTATTATCATTTAGTCCTTTTAATTTTTAATCTTTAATATTTTCTAATAGTTTCTTTTCATTAATCATTTTATCTCTAATTTTTTTTCCTTCTTCAAGTCTTTTGATAATAAAAATTCTAATACTTATCTCTTTCTTCTTATTTTCTTTTTTCTTCATTCATAGAAATTTATTTTCTCAATTCTTCTGCATGTTTTTTAACCATTTATTCTTTCTCTTATTATAATCTTAGTTCATTTTCTCTTTCTTGCTTTTATTTTTAAATAACTCTTTAGAATTCATCTCTTTCAAGTCTAGCCTTAATTGATAAAATAAAAAATATTACTTATTCTTCTAATTTATCTTATTTTTCATTTTATTAGACTTTTCTTGCTTAATACAATTCTGAATTTAATTTTTATCTTAATTCTGCTTCTTTTCTTTCTTTTTCTCTAGCATCTCTTTCATTTTATTCCATAGCTCTTTTAGCTCTTAATAAATCTAATTCAGCTTATCTATCTTATGCTTTTTCTTGCATTTCTCTTAATCTTTAAACATCTCTCTCTTTTTCTTCTTTGATTCTTCTTTATTCTTCTACTATTTCAGCTTCTTTTTGTGCTTTTTCTAAATTATATTTAGCAATTTTTTCTTCTTCTTCTTTTTCTTCTAATCTTCTTTTTTCTTTAACAACAATAGCTTTTGAATTAGCTTCTAATATTTCATCTTATAATTTCTTTTGCATTTCTTTTCTTTTTAGATTTTTTTATTGATCTTCAATTTGTACTTATTTAATTTATTTAATCATAATTTATCCTTCTTTTTCTTATTCTTCCTTTTCTTTTAGTCTTATTAATTCTCTTTCTTTAATTTAATCTACAATAATTCCATGACCTATTTTTAATTCATGTTTATGTTCAACATCTTTTTCCTCATAATATTTAACTGATTTCAATCTTTCAATTTCCATCATTAAATCTTTTCTTTTTTCTTAATTTTTAAATTCTTCTTTCAATTATTACTTTTCTTATAATTATTTATCTCTGATAGTGACACATTTAGCATACATAACCATTTTATTCATTTCTTTAACATCATCTAATTATTCATTTAAAATTTCTGCAGCCTAATATTTATTTATATATATTGATTAATACTCTAGCATTAAGACTATCTTTAACAACTTTATCTTCTTATTATTGGGCTGTTAAAGGTATTTATTTTTTTTTCTCTTCTTCTAATTATATCATCTTTTGTTTCTTAGCTTTTGCAGCTGTCATTTACTTTTCTTTTTGTTCTTCTAGTAATTTCTTTTAATGTAATTGTTCATCCTTAGTTTTTACTATAGCATTATTCTACAAATAAAGATGAAATCAACTTTCATTCTCTATAATTCTGCTTCTCCTATTAAAACAACATCTGGATTTGATGTATCTCCTTTTCTAACACTCTAAATCACCTTAGCAGTTTTTACATCATTTCTTTTATTACTTCCTATTTAATAATAATCTCAACTTATTTTTACCAAAAAGAGATTCATCTACTTCACTCTTTCTGCTTTTACAAGATGCTGGTCTACTCATTTTACTCTTAGACATAATAAATATGTATATATACCATTGATTTAAAATTTTTATAATATAAATATCAAATAAGTTAGCATGGGCAATTACAATTCTAGTTTATTTATAATTAAAAATTATTTCGCAGAGTATCAACTAAATCTAGAATTAAATAATATACCTTTATCTCTAAACATATTCATATCCATTGATTAATTTCGAAATTAATTCCAATTTGAAATCGTACCCAAAGCTGAATTTACAATTTCTAATAAATGCTATGCTGATATTTGCTTATTAATTTAATCAAATTTTTAGTTCATTGCTATTGTTTAGTCATCTTTTTCTACAATGAATCTACTTAGAAACTCTTATAATAATTCTAAATTATCTGCTAATAACTAAGCTTAATATAAACTAATCATAGATTTATATAAATAATATTACTAGCTTGGAGCATATATTTCTGCAAGTGGAGCGAGAGTATTCAAAAATCTTTCATTATTAAAATGATCTAGAATAATGTCTATGTTTCTGATTATTAATTAAATATATTGAGTGCCTAAATCATCATAATTGTTAGGATGATTATCCCGAAATCTTTCTACATTCCAAAATTAATACATTAAACAACTAATTTCTTTATTTTTATTCAAAAATAAAAATCAATAATTTATATTTTTTATATAAAAATATTTAATAAGAATAAAACTGACATAATTTATTTGTATACTTATAAAAATAACAAAAAATAAAACTAAATCAAACTATTTAACTTTATCTTAAAATCATTTAAAGATTTTCAGTAGATCTAACAGAATTAATTTATTTAGTAAATTCTGCCAAAGATTTTTTCTCTGGTTTTTATTAATTAAATTCACCTCTACTCCCAAATCCAGATTATAATTCATATTTTAATTATTTAGATTCAGGAGTAATATAATTATTCTATGGAGTTACATTCCTCAAACATTAAGGACTAACAGAATCTTCATTCTTTCCTTAATCTCTAAATATTCTTTTAGATAATTTTTATTATTAAATCCTTTATGAATGATCAGAACGATCACGTCCTCTTTAGTGTAATTAAAATTATTTGAATAATCCAGTCGGAGAATTTTAATCTAACCAATCTAATTGAGAGATTTCCATAACATTAGAATCCTTACAATTTAAAACATTACTAATGCATAATTCTTTCTTTTTTGTACAATCATTTTTTTATTTAAGAGATACAATACAACCCCCACCTCCTACTTATTCAGGTTTATTATTTTCTTTATCTAATTATTATGATTATTTCTTTTTCTTAGGTTTTACTTCCATTATTTAAGTCTCTTACTGTTATTATAAATTTTCACATTGCTATTCCAAATCAGAAAGTTCATTCTCCTAAACTTAAGATTATTCTTAGATCTTAAGTTCTAATTATTCTAAATAGTTCTTTAAGTATCGATTCTCTTTCTCCAACTAACATAAAACAGTTGTGTTTCTATTTTTAGATTCTATCAGCTCTTGAGAATATTATTCCAAAGTCTACTATAATTGTTTATAAACTAAACTCTACAAGTATAGGACTTTAACTTTACATTCTATTTATTCACATCATTTTGCATTGAATTATAAGCATTGAGAATTGTTTCATTAAATATTTTATATGAGTCTTCTCTCTCCTTTAATTCTTATAACTATAACTCTAACAATTCATTCTACTATTCAAGTAAAGCCTTTTCAGTCTTCTAATCCATTATATAATTTAAAATTTAACGACTATTAATTTATATTATTAATCAATTCAACCCTTATCTCAAACATTTCATACTACAGAACTCTTTTCCCAACTTCTTAAATCTCTCTTCATTCTCTCCTTACTCTTTTTTACAACTATTCTTTAATTCAATTTCATTACATAGGACATTTCCACATTTTTATTTCCACTATCTTTATCACTTAACTAGACCATTTCAATAGATCAAACAATCCTTCTGTATTTTTATTCAAAATCTCAAATCCTTTACCTCCGAACATTTTTAAATGTGTCTTAAACTTTATTCCTACTGTAAAATAAACAGGCATTAAACTATATAATTCATAATCAATCTCATTCTTATTATATACTATTTTTTATTTTAAATCTATTGAATTTATGTTTATTTCCTTTTTTATACAATAGTTTGTTTTTGTATAATTCACTTCTAAATATGGATTCAATATTATAAATTTAGCATTTCTCTAATTATATTTTTATTATATCGCCTTAAATTCTAATTTTTAACGATGATCAACTACTATTGGTATTCCACAATTTTCAGAACATATTATATAGCTCTCTATTATATTTATCCAAATTTAATTATTGAAATCTATTTCTTCAAAATTAATTATTCCTATAAATGCAGGCTTTAAATTATTAGTCCCTATTGTTATTTCCATTTCTAATTTCTTTATTAGATTATCAACTGAATATAGAGGTAGATTATTTAATTATTTTGAAATATTGTGTTAATATCCAATTGCTATGTCAATCTGATTACAATATTAAAGTAATCGATTCAATTTCTCTAAATCATTACATGATGTGCATATAAGACATTATGGTAAATTTTAAAATTCATGAACAATCTATGATACATCATTAATCACTAAATTATCCATTATACATTAAGGATCTTATCTTAATTATTCAAAATTCTAAAGACTAATTACACCCATTTTATTTGAGCTCAAATGGCTTTTATCAAAAAACAAATCTTCAAATAAAACTGGCATATAGTCTGTAACAGATCCTCTTAAAGTGTTTATATGATAATTAATCATCTGTTTAAATAAAATAGAAGTCTATTTTTATTATTATTACAAATTCAAGAATTTATATTGAACATATTATAGACTGAATTGAAGAATTTAAGAATACTAAAATTAAAAGAGGACAACGTATTAGAAAGAACTAAGTGTAACAAAATTCATCTTTCCACATACTTCCAAAAATTAGCGTAATTTTCATTTATAAATTTCTAGAGGATGTCTCATCATCAAATCTTAAAAATCATTTGCAAGAAGAAAAATAAATCATTATTTGTGCTTTATTATATATTTGATTTATAATCTACTCTAAAAATTAATAAACAATATAACTATAAATTCTAATTTTAAAATTTGAAAGATAGTTTCTACTCAAAGAAATTTTATAAACTATTTCAATGATATTACGGCAGTCATTTATTCTATTGGATATTGATCTTAATAAATTCTAAATTTATTTTCTAATGTTAGAAAAAATTTACCAATCAAAATAATGAATTATTTTTAAAATTTATCAAGATGTCAAAATACTATTCTAGGATTAAATTATTCAAAAAAATTCAACAAAAAAATAATGAAACAATTTATTATCTTATCTCTACTTTAAAAAATGAAAATGAAAATATAAAATATTCATTTTTAGTGCTTATTTTCCATTTTTTAAATTTATAAAGTATTCCAGTCCTTTTTTTTATTATTGTTATTGGTGTAGAACATTAAATTGTTTTTAAACGATTTTTATAATAAACACATTGTAACATTTCAATTAATTTGATAATTATGTGTTCGAATATTAATAATAATTAATGGCTCTTTAACTACCAATTGAGTAAAGAATTGATAAATCTTACATACTTTATTAAGAGAAAATTATTATTGAATATCTCAAAGATGAATGTGGACTCTTGCGCACTCCACAAGGTGAAGAAATCTTAAAAAAACTCAGGCAAATTTAAATGGCGGTTGATTAGCAATTAAAATAAAAAGTTGAGTTTTAAAAATTTGAGAAAAATTAAGAGAGAGAAGATTTGTAATAATTACAACATAAATTGCAAGAATTAAAGCAAAAGTAGAAAGATGAATTTGCAGTCTTAGGTGATTTGCAAAGTTAATTAAAACAAAAAGTACAAAACACAATAAAAATATAAAAATTCAAATAATTATTAAGTGATATTGAGAATTAGGATTGTAAGAGTTTTTTTTATATTAAATAGTCAGAGAAATCATGATTGATGATAAGACAATAGAAGAAAGTTTGAATTCAATATTTTTAGAACATTTTACTAAAAATTAAGCATTATTAAAAGAATAAGCAGAGCAGATAAAATATGCAAAGGAAGTTTATGAATAATAATATCGTGAACAATAATAATTAAAAGAAAGATTATATTTGTTATAGAAAGTGCATTTGAGTGATGCTTAAGAAATTTGAAAAAAATTGAATAAAATAATTTTTATTTATTTATATATAAATTAATTATCATTTATTGTTTGTTTTTTTGATTTTTTTACTAACTCCTGGAATTTGTTATTCATCTTTAAGTTTTTTTAGATAATCATCAATACTGCGTTCTAATTCATTAGCACATTTGTAGTAAATTGTATCAGGTTGATTGTAATTTCTACAATTGATAAATATCCTTTTAACATCTTTAATAAAAAGATCTTTGGATGTATATTAATTGGACTATAATTTCTTTTCAATAGTTTTGATATCAATAGGATCTGTAATAACATCATAATAATCAGGAACATCATCTTTATTGACTGGATCTAAGAAAGGCCAAGCAGATTTATGTTTTCTCATTGTATCTATAATTTATTAACAGGAAATCATAAAAGTTTTTTCCTTTTACTTTTTGAGTTCATTATAATCATCAATAGTCCAGCCACTTTCTAGGATACCTTATATACTTTCAGGTTTGACAGCAGGTTTATCAGAATTAGAATTTTCAACTTTATAATTTTATTTATCTAATCCAGGATATACTCTATCATTTAAGGTCAATTTCTTAATAATATCTATCATTTACTAATATTAAATTAAATATTACCTGCTTTTATTCTCTAATTAAATCACTGATGTTTCCATAATCTATAGTAGGATGTACATAACATTCCATTAAAGTTCCTCCATCATAATCTTTAATAAATCCTTTCCATCGATCTGATTACATTTTAATTTCTTAATAAAATCCTTATTTTCTAAAATATCCTATAGCATAATTATCTGCATAAGTAAGTAAATATTCAACATCTTGTTTTTAGATATGTTCTTTGAATTTATTCATTAGTCTAGTTCCATAACCTTTAACTTAGAGTGTTGCTGTAATAGCTAAGAATGCTATTTCAGCAAATCTTTAAGATGGATATTTTCTATAACAAATTCCTCCAATAACTTTGATGTTATCCTAAATATATTATTGTAATGGAATATACTTTAATTATACACATAGATTCATGATTTCGATCAAATACTAATCTAACAATGTATTCTTTAGGCATTTTTGGTAATTATCTAGCAAAGATGTTTTTAAGATCAATGAGCATCTTCATACTATCATGAGTTCCATCATTTGTTATTATTTTAAAGTCAATCAAACCTTGATCTTCTTCAACTTTTGCACCTTAATCTCTATTAGTGAAACCAAGACCTGTCTATTCTCCATTAATTCCCACAAATTATTGAGACATAATAAATAAATATCAGACAAATTAAATCATTCTTCTATCTAATTCCCGCATTTCACTTTGATCCAAAAATTTGGTACCAACTTTATTTAATACATCTCGTTCCCTTTTTACTCTTGCTCTACATATCAATCTCTCTCCTTCTTCACTACTAAATTCCATTTATTTAAATTTTAACTATGGCAAACCTATCCCTTATAGGACTTTATCATATATCTCAAAATAATTAAATACTGATGTCAATATTAATAAAATAGGCAATGAATAACTAAAAGTAATACCTAAAACTGAACTTGCATCCATATTCCCTACTACATCTTCAAAAGGAGTTTCTGATATCTATATCATTTATAAAAAATTAAATGTAAGAGGAAATGATACTCTTGATAAATTACTAACTTCAAATATTATATTCTTACATTGATCCAAACATTAAACTTGGAGCATCAGTTTATTAATGATTATAAAAACCATACATTCCTGCGAAATTTATATGAAATAAGCCATAAAATCCACAAAATGATATATACATCAAAGGTATCAATATTGATATTTATGTCTAAAAGAAACCATTTATGTTTATCATTCTTTTCAAAATATTTACATCAAATTAAGTAAAGCAAGATATTTCTGATAATATCACGATTGTTGATAAAATCCAAAATATTACACTCAAAGATAATAAATAAATCTTCTTAATCTTTGTATACCATAACCATTATAACATGTCCATATAATGACCCATCATACCTTATCTTTCATATCTTAAAGTTGATCTTATCTTATAATGAACGCTAAATTCATTATCTATCATATCTTCCAACTAAAAACATTCTCCACATATATGTTCCCATTTTGTCTTAGCTCTTTTATATTCTGCTGCTTTCTTTTTTACTCTCTTATTTACATCTGCCCATGGTTTCAATTTCTAATTTCTCTCCTAATATTTGAATTAAGCCTCCTCTATAATTTCATATGGTATCTATCCGTTTCTCAAAAGATGTTCTCCAATCAATATCAATAAGTACATGCTAAATCAGAATCTTAATTCTTATATTATATCACTTCAATAGTCAAATCTATCAATTAATTATATAAATCTTGTATTGCATGATGTACTTAGGCTGCCTCTAAATATAATGACTTTAAGCACTTTTCATATTAAGACTTTCTCCAATATTCCCGCGGAATTGCCACTAAACCATGGCCCAATAAAATAACAACTAAAAGTATGCCACTTTTATTAAATATACTTATACAATCCATAAGCCAAAGCTACTAATAATTTCAAAATTGAATCAAAATCCAATTTATTGAATATAGCCAAATACCCAATAAAAATTAATCCTAAAACTATAAAATATCCATATGCTATAAGATTGTTTTTACAAGATCTTATCAATTTATCCTTAATTGTGATTTCTCCTGCATCTTCATATTCCTAACATATTGGTAAAATTAACCTAAAACAATTTATAAAAAATTAATCTCACCAACTCAAAACAAAATTTCCCCAATAAATCCATTTCCATATAATCACTGTATAATCATATCCTTCACCATTATCATTTAATGTATAGTATATATCATGTGGAATTATAAATACAATCCCAAAAGATAAGATCCATGATATATAAGTTAATAGTTTTACATAAAAGGGTACTTATTACTATGAATATTCATGTACTAATATCCCTACATATATTAGCAATAGTAATCCTTCCATCATACTTAATACATTCATTTATTATAAAATACTAAATGTATTATTTTTAGAGATGTAATTTATATTTAATTTATTAGAAAAATTATATTATTTATTTGTATTTTTTATGGAATTTAATTCACTAATAACTTAATACTTGTAAATCTTTTTGTAGTTCCTTAGAAGTATTTTTATTATATTGAGAATTATTGAGCAGAATATTGAATAGGACTTGCTCAATTTATAAATTAATTTATTAATTATAAAATATGGATTATAATATACAAATGGTCCAAGTATGCACAAATGATGAGATCCTTATTTAATGCAATGACATGATTCTAAGTTCAGATGGATTTTATCCACCTTTCATTAAATTGAAGTTCATCAAAAAAATATTCTTAGATCCTAATTGTAAATAGAAAATATGATTTTTCATATATTTCCAGTTTAATTTGATAATGATGATATTCAAATAGTCAACCAATAGGAAATTATCCAGTACTCACAAGATATAGTAATACAACTAGCTAAATCTAATAAATTTATTTGTGTTATTGTGCATAATGACAAATATATACTCTCTTTAACCAATGTAATCGATAGAACAACACTATTCAGAATATAACCTTGTTACAAATCATAAATTTAAGTAATTGATTGTTTAATATTAAAGAATTCGAATAAGGTTTCTTTTGATGATGATATATTTTTGATGTATTCTCCTGAAAATATTACATTGTAAAATTTCGAATAATAATCAGATTTATATGTAAATATTAATGAAAATATGCAATAAACTTCTGATTTTATTGTCTAAACGATAAAGTAGACAACATTCAAATTTAAAAAACATTTTAAAGAAAGTTAACCTATTTCTTATTGTTATGGAAGTCTAATTAAAATAAAATAAATCGAAAAAGATTCATATCTAGAATTAACTACTTTTGAAAATATTTAATAAAATCCTCATAACAATAATTTACATATGACAGATGTGTAGACTCAATATTAGCGCATCTATTCTAAAAATAGAACTGTTTGTTGGAGATCTGGTGAAAGAAATTAATAACATATAGATTTATTAATCTATGATATATGGAGATTATATCATCCTTAAAAAATCAATACTTAGATTTAATAAGGAGATTAATTTTATTTATAAAGTTTATCTGGCAATTTTTTTTTGAATGGTGATTAAATTTGTTAAAATTATTAAGATGCTTCGTTCTTTTAATTCTTAGAAGAAGAATCTAGTAATAGTAAATTATTTTATANTATCATTTTTAGAGATGTAATTTATATTTAATTTATTAGAAAAATTATATTATTTATTTGTATTTTTTATGGAATTTAATTCACTAATAACTTAATACTTGTAAATCTTTTTGTAGTTCCTTAGAAGTATTTTTATTATATTGAGAATTATTGAGCAGAATATTGAATAGGACTTGCTCAATTTATAAATTAATTTATTAATTATAAAATATGGATTATAATATACAAATGGTCCAAGTATGCACAAATGATGAGATCCTTATTTAATGCAATGACATGATTCTAAGTTCAGATGGATTTTATCCACCTTTCATTAAATTGAAGTTCATCAAAAAAATATTCTTAGATCCTAATTGTAAATAGAAAATATGATTTTTCATATATTTCCAGTTTAATTTGATAATGATGATATTCAAATAGTCAACCAATAGGAAATTATCCAGTACTCACAAGATATAGTAATACAACTAGCTAAATCTAATAAATTTATTTGTGTTATTGTGCATAATGACAAATATATACTCTCTTTAACCAATGTAATCGATAGAACAACACTATTCAGAATATAACCTTGTTACAAATCATAAATTTAAGTAATTGATTGTTTAATATTAAAGAATTCGAATAAGGTTTCTTTTGATGATGATATATTTTTGATGTATTCTCCTGAAAATATTACATTGTAAAATTTCGAATAATAATCAGATTTATATGTAAATATTAATGAAAATATGCAATAAACTTCTGATTTTATTGTCTAAACGATAAAGTAGACAACATTCAAATTTAAAAAACATTTTAAAGAAAGTTAACCTATTTCTTATTGTTATGGAAGTCTAATTAAAATAAAATAAATCGAAAAAGATTCATATCTAGAATTAACTACTTTTGAAAATATTTAATAAAATCCTCATAACAATAATTTACATATGACAGATGTGTAGACTCAATATTAGCGCATCTATTCTAAAAATAGAACTGTTTGTTGGAGATCTGGTGAAAGAAATTAATAACATATAGATTTATTAATCTATGATATATGGAGATTATATCATCCTTAAAAAATCAATACTTAGATTTAATAAGGAGATTAATTTTATTTATAAAGTTTATCTGGCAATTTTTTTTTGAATGGTGATTAAATTTGTTAAAATTATTAAGATGCTTCGTTCTTTTAATTCTTAGAAGAAGAATCTAGTAATAGTAAATTATTTTATATTGTTTTGAATGATCAATATTTAAGTTATAAGATTGTGAATGAAAATAATTTTAATTAAATTTAAGAGAAATTATAGGTTGAATATAAAAGTAAAAAATCAAAATTAGATTTATTACAATTTGATCTAATTTCTAATGTAAACTTCATTCATTAAAATTGGTTAGATAACATTGTTTAATTAATTTATTAAATAAATCTTAAATATTCATTACATTATGATGATATAAACTTATTTATTAAAAATTAATCAATAAGTGATGCAAAATTTGATGAACTCTTCTTTTAATTGTAATAATTGGAAATTGCACTAAATGATTTGACAATTTTTTGTGTTGCTGATGAAGAAAAGCCTAAAATAATTGATAAAAATGCAATATATTATTTAAAAATGAATTAATATAATTAGGATTTACTAAGAAAAAAAGTTATTATTTAATCACTTATTGACTTTATTGAAATAGTAAAGTGGTCCTATGAATATACTTAGATAATCGATTAAAATAAATTTGAATCTAATAATGATATACCAATTTAAGACCAAAATATATAATTCTTATTATAATTAAATACTTTACTAAACTAAATTTTTCTTTTTTTTGAAGCTTTTAGTTCTAACAATGATTATAATAGTTAAATGATATTTTTAGCTTATTTTAAATTAAAATAATATTTAGGATATAATATTGGAGCATTTTATTGTTTAATTCGATTATTTGAGAATAATTCAAATTTGATACCTGTTGCAGGTATTATGCCATTTATAGGAGAATCTGAAAAGGAGTTTGATATTTCTTTAATTAAAAGATCTACAAGAATTAATACTATTTTAACCAAATAACAAAATTAAATAAAATCTTAAACTTTAATTGATGAAATTTTTGAAAGAGCAAATTATTGTCTTTAAATACTTAAGAAAAGGTTTTGGGGTAATATTATGAAAATATTAAGTGTTTTATGTTTGTAAAATGATAAAGCATGTTTTAATAATTAAATAAATATAGGTAAGCATATAATTTAAGGTCCAAAAATATTATTATAATTTGTTATTAAAGATAATAATCTACTTTATGTTTAAATAGATGAAAATTTATATGAATTTAATGAAATTTATGTATAGAGTAGTAAAGCTAATAAAGACTTTATGAAAGATATTATTGAATGTAAGAACTTCTTAGATTCTCAATTGAATCTTATAGGATTACTTTGTTAAGAAAGAAATTACGAAAATATTTAGTTTTATAGAACTAAATTACCATAAAAAACTTTGATCAATTATATTAGTTATTCTGGAAATGCTGAATCATTAAGATGTAGATTAATTATAATTTTAATGAATTTATATGTTGATTGTTACCCTTATTAACCTAAGCAAATTCCTAAATAAATATTTAATTTAAACAAAATATACGGTTCTCAACAACAATAATAACTGAATGGTTTTAATTTAGAATAATCATAATTAGAAATGTAAGATTATTAGAAAAAATCTCTTCATAAATAATTAACAAGATAATTTACTATGAATGATACAAAAGCTATAGAAAAATTATTAACTATTACTTAAGAATTGGTTAAATTAAATTTGATTTAATAAAATTAAATTAATCTTAGTCTTAGTGTTTGTAAAATTTTACAAATGTTTTACAAATTATATACTTTCAATCTTCCATAAAATAAGGAATTTCATGAAAAATATTTTGATGTTAATTTGTTAATATAAGCTTATACCTTATTACCTTAATCATTAGAATAAATTTAACCTTTATAAGAATAAGTTTAATAATTTTAGCAATTTTAAGAATAGAAGGAAATTTTTAATTAAATGGCAGTCATATTAATTGATTTTTTGCTACTTTATTTTTAGTAAACTGAAACTAAAATTTTAGTTTAAACTATTAAAATATCTTAATTATTTGAAAACCTAGACTTTTCTTAATAATACAATTATTCACGCTATGATAAAATTAAAGAAAATACATTTCTTTTACTTAAGCATAAATAAGCTTAAAGTGAAACATAATTAAAAGCTTTTACTTTAATGGAATCTTTATATTAACCAAAAAGAAATATTATTAAACGTTTATAAAAATGTTTGTTTTTGGAAAATTAGGATGATGTGTCCCATTACTAATTTATAAAATAAATGATTTTATAATTAAAAGAGTTAGAAAGTGCTGATGAAAAATAATAATTATATTAAAGTTGTATTAATTCTTTAATAAATTTGAATCAACTGCTAAAAAAGTCAGATAACTTATTATTATTTTAAAAAATTTTGAGAATTTTGAACATAGATTTTATTTTATTGGATTTTCTAGAAAGTTATTAGTAAATTTGTTAATTGATTTCTTAAAAATTTATTAAGAGCAATAATGATAATAGATATGTTTTAGAAATTAATAATGAAGAGGAATCAATTCTATAATTTTGTACATAAGCATTCATTGTTTTAAAATATTAATGTTAAGGAAATAATTGTAATAAATAAAGAATACTTAGTAAATTTAATTAATTTGATGAATTTTTAAAATGTATAGATATAGGATAATATGATTTACTTTAAGAAATTTATTGTGAATCATATGAAAATATTGAATCAGCTAGTAGTAGGATAATTTATTTACTATTAGATAATTTAAATTTAGGATCTTTAAAAGTTTTAGAATCTTTAGTTATTTAATAGAATATATCAAGTAGCAAAAATATATTTGAAATCATATAGTAATTATAAAATACAAAAAAATTTAAATTGTAAATGGGATTTTTAGATCATCCTCTTGAAACAATTTTGTAATAAAATAAATTTTAAACATTTTAAAAATAATTTTTAATTGGAAATCTTCCTTACATTTTTTAGATTTAAGGAATTTAATTTATATTGTATATACTCAAACATTCTAGTTCTCAAGGATGTAAAGTAATTGCTGATGCATTTCCTTTGTAATAAATAATTAAAAACTGTATTTAATTAAAGGATATATTTAAGCCTAATTTTGAAGATTTAAATATAGCTATATTAAATACAATTTTAAAGTCATATTTAATTAAATTATTTAATGTACTTATAAATTATAAGGAAATTATTAAATATGATGATGAAATTTAATAAACAATAGTATAATTTATAGATAAGGAAACAAAGATTTTATAAAGCAAAATAGTAGTTTTAGATCAATAAATGAAATCAACAAATGATACATAAAAAAAATATGATTACATTAATATAAATTTTAATTTTAAAGTACAAAAATAGAATTAAAAACAAAGTTAATAATAATTATTTTAATAGATATAATCAGGATCAGAGAATGAAAGTGATAATGATAAAAAAGAAGAAGATTAAACATCTGAATGTTTAAAACAGATGGCATGCTATTAATTATAATATAGTTTTGATTGTCTGTATTTTAATAATTATGCGATGTTATTACTTGATGTTTTTCTTAATTTAGCCTAATTAATATAAGAATAAATAGAATGTTTAGAAGAATCATAATAAAAATCTGTAGGTCGAGCTTCATCAAGTTTGGCAAGATAAATGAGTTTATCGTAAGCTTTTGCAGAAAATGTTGCCAATGATATGAATCAAAGTGTAAAATTAAAACCTTTTCATAATTTGAAGACTAAAGTTGATCTATTTTTAAAATAAATAGAAGAATATTTAAAATTAAATTTAACTAAATGGGAAATAATATAAAATGGTCATTTTTTAATAGATAAATCATAATAATTGAAAATACTTTTTTTAAGGAAATTAGAATTTTAGAATTGTAATCTTGATTTAATAGAATAAAAGAAAAAAGATTATGTAGTAGATTAATACTGTTCACCAATTTATTGTCATGATAATAGAATACATGAATTAGTATTGTTAAAAAATAAATCTGAAAATTAATTTATAGGAAAATAAATTAATAGTTTTTTTATTACTGAACGTATATTAGCTACTGAAAATTTTGATATGTACTTATAAATCTATAGATAATAATTATTCATTAATGAAGATTTTGAAATAATAAGTCAAAATCTCTCTAAAACTATTATACCATTAATTAATTGTTTTTAGTCAAGTATGAATAATTTAAATAAGAATTATAAGTTTGTTAAGAAAATATTAAAGTTTTTATGGCACATGTTAGATTTACATACTTATATTAGAGAAGATTACAATTAAACAATTAAGATTTATGAAATGAATAAAAAGGGGAAATATCATTCGAAAAGTGAATAGATACTTTAAATTAAAGCTATTAAGGATTTTTAAAATTTACTTGTGAATTAAGGTTTCTTTGAAATCTATTTGTAATTTTGTAATTAATATGATAAAATAAAAATTATATAATAATCAGAATTACTTATAGTAAATAAGAAAAAGAAGGAAAAGTTATTATATTAATTTATGTTAACATCAATGAGATTGGTTAGAGGAATAGAATCTGCTAATTAATTTGCTTAATAAAAATTAATGCAAGAAATTTTGAAAACTAAAAGTAATTATATGTTAAAAATATTTTCAAATATTTTTGAGAGACATTAATAATAAGATGAAGTATTGAAATTAAGATTCTTAATGTAACATGATATAAATAGAGTATATTTTGCATATGAATACAATGAAGTTCATAGATTAGAGTAAAAAAAGAATGCAATGAAATTAGGAATATTGTAAGTGTAAATGAAATTAATTTAATTATTAGCTGAAGATCATTTTAGACCTTTCTAAGATTTTTTTAGAGAATAAATAGGATTTGCTTAGAACTATGATATTATTTAACATCTGATGAATATATTATTGAATTTTTTCAATTAAGAATCTTTTTATGCTTTAAGTTAGGATGATTATATTTTAATTTTAAACTGTTTTGATTGCCTTAAAGAATATATTTAAGGACCTTGTCCTCAAAATTAAGAGAAGTTATGTTAAGCATAATTTTTAAGATTATGTGGTAAATTATTAGGATTTGATGATTCTTAAATAAAATTTTTAAGTCTTTACTAAAGATTTAGTAAAATTGATTAAGCTTTATTAATTTAAGAAAAAGAGAGATCAAGATTATAAACATAAGAATAAGCTAGAAAAACAAATAATATATAGGATAAGACAACTATTTAATAATAGATTATTTAATATTATATATAAGCACCTATTTATTGTAAATAGTTAGTAACTTCATTTAGAAAAAGCAATTCGCTTAATTATAAATTATTTATGCTTTCTGAAATAAAATATAGATGTGCAACGACATTAGAATCATTAACTGATAATGAATAAAATGAATCAGATATTTTAAAGAGGATTTCAATGATTATAAATGAGAAGATACTTATTCGAAATATTACAATATAATATGAAAAATATAAAATTATACATGGATCTGGTAAGAATTATACTAATTTGGTATTTTCTCATTTATTAGGTGAAGATTCAAAAATAATTGAATAGGAGAAGGAAAGAAAGAAAAATAAATAAAGAAAAAAAGTATAAATAAAGGATAGCAATAATTATTGGTATTAAGTAGAATAGGAAGTAACAATGGAGTTAGCAGTAAAAGATTTTTGGGATTCTTTTATTATAGAGACAGGATTTTCTTTATTTAATCTTTTAGCTTAAGTATATTAGATGAAAGATTAAGATGTTTTGGAAAGAATTTATGAATAAATAGATAATACAAAGAAATAGAAAAAGAAATATAAATCTATAATATTTTATAATCTTTACAAAGCAATATTTTCAGCATCATAATTAACAAAGTAAATTAAAAATATAATATAAATAGAAATATTAGAGAATTATAAGAAAGTACATAATTAAGTGATAAAGTGTTTAATCCATATAAATTAAAGAAAGCATCAGGAGAATAAGAAGCTTAATAGAAGAAATTAGGTTATAGAGCTTTAAGGTTTTTTGCAACTAGAACAGGATCTATAGAGATATTATTACCATCAAAATTATTGAAAAAAATAATGTTTCCACTTGTTCCTCATTGTTTTGCTCTTAATAATGAAATTAAAGAGAAGTTTGCTTCTGATATTGATAGATTATCACAATAAAGGAAAGTGGAATCAGTTTTATCAAATTCATCTCATATAATTTAGAAATTAAAAACAGAGTATAAATTTTAAACTTTATACAAAAAGAATTTTATAATAAATTTATTGGCAAGCAATTAAAAACTTTGGAAATAAATAATATTTTTAGTAATTGTGTTAGAGAATTTAATGATATTATTTTCAAGTGATTCAAATTTAGAAAAAGTATTTGGAGATATTTTATTTGGATTAACAATAACATAAATAATATTATAATTTTTATGTTTTTTTATATTTATAGTAAAGAAGTTACCTTACTTAAAGATAAAATCTTAAGAAATAGTATTTGAGAAATAAATAAATAGGATTAGATAGAGAGAAATAAAATATAAATATTTAGATAATTCATAAAGTATAGTACTTCAAGAAGATTTTGTATTAGAAAAGACAGATTCTTTTTTATTGGAGTAAAATAAATGGAGAAGACTTTATTATAATATAACAGATGCTTTAACATTATATAAATGTATTTTATTAGATTATGAAATGATTTACTTTTTGATTTTTACAACTTTAGCTTTTATTGGATTATACATAAATATAGTATTGGCATTATTATTATTGGATGTATTTTGGAGATTCCCAACATTGACATCAATAGTGAATGTAATTATAATTATTTAATATATTTAGGCAATTTGGAGACCTAGTGGATCAATATTATTAGTATTGTCATTATATATAATAATGCAATATTATTATTCTTTGATTGTTTATCATTATTATGCTGATTAATATACACCTTATTGTGAAAATTTATTATAGTGTTTTTCATTTATATTGGATGTTACATTTAAAACAGATGGTGGATCTGTTGGTTTTGTATCATCAAGTGATATTTATGCTGATGAAAATTATAGATATAGTATTCTTAATTTTTGGGAATTTATTTATGTGTTTGTAGTAATCAGTTTATTATATTCAATAATTACTGGTATCATAATAGATTCTTTTGGAGTTTTAAGAGATGAAGCAGAAGAATTAGATAATGACATAAAAGGATTTTGTTTAATTTGTGGAATTGATAGAGGAACTTTGGAAAAGAAAGCTAAACATAAAAAAGGATTTAGATTTCATGTTAAATATGAACATTGTGTATGGAATTATATATTTTATATTTCATATTTGGAGGATAAAAAGAAATCAGATTATAATGGAATAGAGAGTTAAGTTGATTCTGATTTGAAAAGAGAAAGCATTAATTGGTTTCCTATCAATAAATCATTATCTATACCAGATGAAGAGGAAGAATAGGAAGTAATTATATATATTTGATGATTAATTAGGAATTGTCTAATTTAAAATAGATTATAGATGATAAATTAATAGAAATTGGTAATAAAATTGATTAGCTAAAAAGTTGATGTGTTTTTTTCTTATCAAGAAATATATAAACTTATTATAAAATATATAAAAATAATTTAATAGCAATACTTATTTGCAAAATAAATATTTCTGTTTTATCTGATTTTTATAATATAACATATTTTAAAATGTAAAAATTCAAAGAGTGGCTTAAACCTATATCTGATTATTTTATCAATGGTTTTTCTGACACTTTTTAATTATTACTTGATAATTTCCTTGGAGATTATCTTGAAGATCCAAAATAACTCAATATGACTACTTTATTGAAAGGAGTAGAAATGTTACAATTAAATAAAACATTCATCAATTAACTCTTAGGTTAAAGTCTTTTTAAACTTGAAGAGGCTTACATAAGTAATTATAAGATTTATAATAAAAAGAGTCTATTAAAGTTGCTAATTTAAAATTATAAGCAAGTGGTGTTAAATTAGTTTTTGCACTTGTAAAAGAAATCAATATAAATGAATTAAAAGAATATTTAGATAAAGCAGAAGAGATAAAATAAAAAGAAATATAAAAACTTGCTTAATTTGCACAATTAAGAGAAGAAGTTTATAAACATTCAGAATTAGAATAGAGTATGGATCTAAATAGATCTTCAAATCCTTAGACAGGACTTATATAATTTTTAGGTTTAGTTGATACTTTATTAAGTAATTCATCAATTACAATTGAGAATATTGAAATAATTTTAATTGCAGAAGAAGGAAAATAATACAAATTTTAAATACAATAAACTAATATCAATTTTTAGAAACAAAATTTAAAGTATATTACTATTAAATAATTAGCAATTTGCTTTTTATAAGTTTTGGAATAGATATGATTTCGTTATTATTAAAGGATGAGTAAATAGCCTAAATAGAAAAAGCATTAAAACTTGAAATGATTGTAGAAACTAGAAATTGTAGAGTAAATACAAAAGTAGATGGAAGAATTTCATCTTTAGATGTTGTAATCAATTATAAATAGTATTAAAATATATTATCTACGATTTCAAAATTTTTAGCACTTACAGATGAATTAAATAAAATTATCATTGAATTAAAAGGAGAATAATTAGTAGAATTTGATAATGATGAAGAAGATTTATAAGAACTTGAAAAAACAGATAATTCAATTATAGGTTCATAGACATAAAATTAATTAAAGAAAATCAAAATTGTTCCAAATTTATAATATATGGATACACTTAATAATAATTTATAGTAATCATTAGCTTTACATCCAATACCTTAGTAATAAGAAAAATAATTTATTGAATTTTCTTAAAGCATTTTTAATTCTTCATAAGATTATTTAGATTTTGGAAAATAGAGTTTAAAAAATTAAGCAGAAACATTTAAATGTTAATTTGATGGTATTAGAATTGCTATTTGTGATAATTCTTAATAATTTCCAAAATTAAAGGGTAGATTCTTTTAAGAACTTGAAAGTCATTATTTTATTGAGATTATTATGATTTAAGGAAGTTATTAAAAAGATCATATTTTATTTTAAATAAAAAGTATAGGTGTTCATAAAGTTAGAGCTGATTCTAATAATAATATATTATAAAGTTAAGAATTATTTAAAAGTTGTTTAGAGAATCCTAAATTTTAATTTTATGTTACTCCAATGATTATGATGGGATTGGGAGAATAAGGAAGAATTGAATAAGATTATGCTATATATTTATTTGATAAATTATAAGAATAATGTAAAATGAATAAAGCATTAGAATTGTCTGTTTAAATTTATCATGGTAAAAACAGAGAAAAATATTATATGGCAAATATTTAATTATCAGATTTTATTGCTTCACTTAATCATGAATTTTGTATTAATCTTTTATAAGGATTACCTTAAAAAGAAGTTTAATAATTACCAATATAAGAAATTAAAAAACCATGTTTGTATGGATTTGACATTAAAATTCCATATGTTAATTTAAATTATTTTATCAATAATAAACCTTTGTAATTTAGAATTAAAGATATTAAATTTAAATAAAATCCTGTTAAAAAATTCCCACATAAATTAGGATCTTTAGAACCATTTGAAGGTATTCCTAAAAATGAAGATCCATTATAATTTATTTGCATATCATTTTTCTCTATTTGGATTGAATTTTCTGGATAAAACATAGTAACTATAGGTTAAAATGTAATAAAAGATTTGTAAATTTTTCCATTAATTTATATAAGTTTTTAAGAAAAAAAAGATATAAAAAAAGAAGGTAAAAAGGAATTAAAAGATTCTATTTAGTTTAAATAATAAAAAAGTTAAACTCTTATAAGAGGATCACTCCCTTTAGTTGATATTCATCTAACTTAAGATTTAATTTATTGGTTAATCTCGTTATAATAATATCTTGATAAGGAGTCGAATAATTCTAAAAATAAACCAAAACCTTAACGTTTTTCAAAAGAAGAATCACTTACTTATATTTAATTATCTATAGAATCTTCATCTATAAATATTTTAGATAATTAAAATAAGGATTTATTATAATTAGATTTAGAAAAACTCACTTTAATATCTGCTAAATCAATAATTGTGCTTTTTCAAAACATATTAGTTATTGATCATTAATGTCCTTTAGTGAAATATAATAGAAATTAAATTTAATAATAAATTAAAAAATATTCATCTCATTAAATTATGATGTATAGAGTATGCTCTAAATTAAAAAATTAATAGATAATTTCAGTTGCATCAAAAAAATTATATTCAAAACCTATTGAAGTAGATTTTGATGATTTTATTTTTAAATTATAACTTGGTAAAAAAATAAAAATATAAATTCAGAAAATTTGTTTAAGAATTCCTGATTTTAAATTCACTACTTTTAAAAAGTTATATCCCATTATAAAAAACTTTGAAGCAAATTAAGAAAAAAAATAAGATGTTTAATAGATTTAGTAAGAAAAAGATATGTAAATACAAATCTAAATTCTAAATAATATATATTTAGATATTTTCCTAATTAATGAAGTTGAAGAACTATCTAATGAAGGATTATAAACAATCAAAGAGTTTTCAAATAGCAGAGCTTTAATATTAATTGAAGATTTAATTTATGATAAAATGCTTTATTTATCTAAAGTAGTTCTATTTGTTTGTAGATAAAATGGATTAGAATTTCAATGTCCATTAATTCTTGAAAATTATTTTGATAAATTAAGTGCATTTTAGTTCATATAAGCAATTTCAATAAAAAATGTCAATTTTTCATAAAATTGTTTTAAAATAGATTTAATTTAAGGCAATTTCAAATTTGATATTATTTAAACAATTTTGGAAATAATAGAAGAATTATAGCCATACATTCCTTAATCTAAACCTATAGAGGCCACAAAATAAGAATATTTTATTTAATAGGATCTCTCAAAACCACTAATAGGTGAAGAAAAATTAGATAATTAAATTATGATAAATATAGGTCAGTTTCTTTTAAATTTAGAAGAAGGACATACATTTTATTAAATGCCACTCTATTTCGAAAATAATTGTGATTAAAATAAAAGATTTGAAAATGAGTTATAATAATATGTCAAAAATTGTGATGTAACCTAAAAAAATTAATTAGATACAGTTAGCTTAAATTTTACAAATATTCATTTAGTGATAGAATCATATGCTTAAGGATAAACAGGGATAAAATTTTAATCTCATTTTGAAATTGAAGATTAAATTTAAGATTCTAAATTTAAACTAATTTTGAGTCCAGATACTGAATCATTTCCTAAAGATTATAAAAGTGTTCCAATATAAATTGCTTTAATTGTAGAAAATTAAACTTATACAGCATCAATTGCAATAGATCCTATAAGAATATGTATTTCTGGTGCATTTCTTTAATTTATTTTCAATTTTTAAAATAATTAAAGTTGGATTTAAAAAACTGTTTATGAAGATTAAATATAGATTTTTAATTCTGTAGAAAAATAATCTTAAATTTGGTTGAAGAGTTTATAAATTTATGAAACAAACCTTAATTTTTCATATGACTCATAAGGATTATAGATGAATGATATATTCAAAGGAATATTAAAAATTAGTTCATTTTATGATTTATAGATACCAATAAAATATATGGAATCAAAAATTAAAGGAACTCCTGAAGATGTTATAGATTATATTATAACATAATTCTAAACTAATTTAGGTTCTAAGTTAAAGATTGCTGGTAAAGCAATTACTAGTTTAGAAGCCTTTTCAACAGTTACAAATTTAGTTAAAGGAACTTTAAGTTTATTATTAAAACCATTAGAGGAGGGTTTTGTTAAGGGAACTAAAAAAGGAGTTAAAGAATTTTCTAATTCTTTAGTATTTGCCTTACTTAAAACTTTAAAGGTTCCTTCATCTGTTATAATAGCAGGAGGAGAAACAGTAGGATTACAATCATTAATGATGCCATTTAGATTTGTTAATGAAAAAAGCAATTAAATTTTGGATAAAATTAGTCCTTCAAATATACCAAAAAGATTCTTAAAAAGATACTGATACATTAAAGAATTATTATAAATAATATTAATATTAAAAATTTTTATTTCATTTAATATTATTTAGAAAACAAAAAAAAATATTTTTCCATCAAAATGAATTTCATATAATTATTGGTTTATCTATTACTTTTAAATAGGATGGCTCTAATTAAGATTGATCTGAATAAATTCTAAAAAAAAATTTATTCCTAAAAGTTCCATCTTCTTATTTTTCATCTTATTCTATATATATTGTATTGAATGGACCAAGACAATCTAACAAACATGTTGTAACTTCTTAAATTATATAGTTTTCATCCTATTCTATTCTTTAATTAAATTATAAATTATTTATGATTTATAAATTTAGGATTTATGAACTTTCAACATTAAATTAAAATTGAATTAATTTAAAATCTATTATTTGTTTTGATGCATTTTAAGAATCTTCTACTTTTCTTCTTGTTTCTACAACTTGATCATTCAAAGTAAATTCTTCTATTATTTTGAGAGTTACGTTATTTATATAACATGATTATTTAGTAATCTATTCAAATATATTAATTAGTATTTATGTTAAGTATTTCGTATTTACATTAATTTAGCAATTTTTTTCAACATAATTAAAGAATTTAAATTATACCTAATAATATGATGCTATAGATTCAAAATATTATTAAATTGTTAAAAGATAACTATGAATTTAAAATTTGTCATAAATTTGTAATTGGGTAGTAATTTTATTCTTTTAAAAAAAGAATATATAATTTCTAATATAGTTAATTATAGATAAGTTCAAACATTTTAAACTCATTATTTACTGTTATTCTTGTTTATTTATTAATTTAGTTTTTTTTATTTCTCTATAAAGGTTTTCTTATTGTAATACAATTGAAGTAGAAAAATTAATAATTAATTTTTAATGTTCTTTTATTTATTTTTCATGTTCTCCAATTAAATTTGATACTTGTTCAGATTTAATAATTCCAATTAAGATAGGTTTACCAAAATTCATTTACTTAATTTGAATTTTCATGTTAATCATTTAATCAGTAATTTAATTATGATATATTATTTCAATTAGATTGTCAATATCTGACTAAATTGGTTCTAATTCAGACTTAATTTTTCGGAATAAAAACTCTTCTAATTTAATTCCTTTTAATAAACCTTTCTCAATTAATCTTTTTTGACTTTCTTAAGTTTTTATAACTAAATAAGATTATCTAAGAAAATTTTTCATCTGTTCAGTCTCTTTGATATTCATGCTTTCTTCAAATTTTTTATTTTAGAATTCTAAAATAAATTATCTAGTTCTTGAATCTAAACTGATTGCAAACATAGCATCATTTACATATTCATTAATAAGCTCTCTATAATTAATTGATTACTTTACTTTTATTTGTTGGCAATTAAATTCAGTGAAAATGCCAACCTTGCTGTATATTCTTGCATATATGTCCAAATTCCGATACAAACAACACAAGCTATTGTCTAAAATACAAAATGGGTTTAATCTGCTTAATAATTATCAAAAACTGCTAACATTATAAAAGGAGTAATAATTGTATAAATCACTTTTAATCTGTTATCGCTATATTACATTGTACCTATAGCAAAACAACAGGTATTAAATCCTAAAACATAATTAGGTCTAACTTATGATTAAGGATTACATATTTAATCCACTAAAAGCTATTATTATATTTGTAGATTAGCTCCAAACATAATAAAATGAAAATATTTGCTTTAGGTGTGGCTCTATTCTTTTGCTAATCAACAACATAAAAAAACAACCACTTACTACTCCTATCATTACTATTATTAATTGAATTGGCTGCTATTAAATTACAAATGTTATTAAGCAAATTAATGCTGCTACTGAAACCAAAAGGTTTATCATCTGAAATGATATAAGTCTAATTTTGTTTTAATGAACTTCAAATTCATTCTCAAAGTTAGGATCAAAAAAATTCAACTTCCATTTATCAAATGGCAAACTAATCATTTAATAACTTAGATAAATAATAAAAATGTAAAGCTTGCTAAAAAAAACAATTCATATGCTTAATTTTTAACAGATTTTTAATTGAGAGCGAAAAACAAATAAATAAAATAAATTTTTACCTTTGTATTTATAAATATATATATTAAAATTTATTTACCCAAAAAGATGGAATTTGAGAAGTACATGTATAAAACACATTCCTTCTTTTTATCATTTTATTTGATTAGACTTTTTGTAAAATTGGGTTCATTAATATTCCCAATTTTAAGTATTTTAGGATTTTGTGCTTTATTATCACTACACTTTAATCAATTTTTCACAGAGTCTAAATTATAAGAGATTGACTTAAGTATTCTTAATTATTGATCTTAGAAAATTTTGATAATGAAACTGTGTACATTTTTACAATTACAAATTTTAATAATGAAAATCTCAATGAATTTTATAAATACACTTAGTCCTAAAGTCTGTTGTTATTGTAAGAAGAATTTTTAAACAAATATAATTTTTCTTAAAAAACTATATTGATAGATGGAGATTCATATTTAAGTGGATTGAATTCAATTTTGTCATTTGCAACAAATATTGAGAGTTTTTTTTTGATTGATCTCTTATAACATATGAATTATTCTACTATGTAGATTATGAATATGTAAACTAATGTTTCATATATTTGGGAGGAAGCTTATTTTGAAGGTTTTTTTTTAAATTATAAAAGAATATTATGCAAATACATTCTTAAAAAGAATTTATTATACAATTTTGAGAATATGCAAATGCACTATTGGATTGTTTTACTAATCTATAACAGCCTCTATTTATTTTAGAATGCTATTTATATATGTACCTGCTTTTTCAATAATTATAAGTAATGTTTTAAAAAATAATTATCTTAGTAGGTATGATAACTTGTAGAAATGATGAAGAATTATAATAATAAGTATTGGCTAGAGGTTATCCTTGGATTAATAATTATTATTATATCTTGGTAAGTAATAATAAATTTACAAATCATGTTTTTGAATCCTATTAATAAACTTTTTATATGTTTTTATTTATTTTCTGTTTTGCTTGGGATTAATTAAATTCCATATAATTTAAGATGTATCATTCTTATAATTTAATAGAAAATATTATTAAGTATTTAATATAAATGTTTTAGGCATACTTTATTTTTTGAATACTTAAGTATACATTTTCTCAGAACAAGATCATCTTTGTATTTTGTTGCAAAATATTGCTTTATCATCAGATTTTTCATGTAATATTATATGTAATCTACTTTATTTGGGCATTATAAATTGGTTTAATACATTAGTTTATTTGGCTAATTAGGAGTTTTTTGTTACTTTATTCATAAATTTGAAATACCAGCATTAAATTGGTCTGATCAATCACCTTACACACCAACAATTAATAGGCCAAGAGCATATTATATACCTTTGTTTACAATTAATATGATTTATGACACACCTCAATTGTGGACAATTTTTTATCCACTTCATGGAAGGAGGTAGCTCTTTTTATAATTTATAGATACTTTTAATTATAGAATTTGGCTTTAGTAGATTAGAATTTCCCTCTATTAAATTAAATTTTATAGTAAGATATTTAATAAGAATTTTAAATCCAATAAGATTAAGAAATTCAAATTAATATAAATTAATAAATTTAGCCTCCAGCTCTCAATCCCCAAAATTAAATTATTGATCAATAATAATAATAATAATAATAATAATAATAATAATAATAATAATAATAATAATAATAATAATAATAATAATAATAATAATAATAACTTAATTAAAATGATTAAGCTTAAGTTGTACTTTAGATTTAAGAAACTTAACAGTTTAATTAAGAGTAGCATATTATAAAACTGTATGAATGAATATTATTAATTTTATATAATTTATTAAAATTTATTTCAAAAGTCTATTGTTTAGAGTTCATAAGTCACTTTTATAATTTTAGTAAACTAAACAAATATAAAATATTTTATTTTCAGGTTTACAATTTTTATATATTTAATATATTTCATTGTGCTCAATTCAATTAAAATATCAAAAAAATAAAGCTCGAAATACCATTGGTATTTAATTGATCTTATTTCAAAATATTTATTCATGATTAAGATGAAATTAATGAAACTTAAAAAAGCATAAAAAAATCACCAATTTACAGTCTACCAGAAAAATACTCTAAAAATACTATTACTCAAATGATGAAAACAGAATTGATAAGAAATGTTACTACTTTTCTTTCGGATTGAATCAGATTAGATGAATCTTTAGCTTTTAATTCTTAAATACGAGAGAAAAAAGATTATAGTTTCTAAAGTTAAAAAATGCCCATATAAATTTGAATTTTATAGATCTATATTTTTAAAATTCTAAAACTAATATTTTTATAAATATTAATTAAATTCATTTTATATAAACTATATAATTGATTAATAATGATCATAATAAGTTATTTAATTCAATTCATTAATTCTTACATCTTTTTCATAATGGCTTCCATTTTCATTAAAGTTTAATCAATATCAAGGGAATCTTTGCATTTCATTGAGTTTAAAAGTTCAACAACCAAATTTCTTCCTTTTTATTAATTTAAACTATCAATTGAATTACAATATTCTCCTAACCTTTTTAATACTGTCAATAAAAGAGTATTATCTGTTAATAAAAGTGCTAAGAATATTTATATCAATATTTACAATCTTGTAAGAAGTATTAGTAATTTTAAGTTAAATTTTTGATTTCATCTCTTTTAAAATTAAGTTATTCTATAGATGAATCTAATTTATCTAATTCTTTTTTTCGAAATTCTATTTATCTTTTGATTGTTTCTGGATCTCTTTTTTTAAATGAGCCAAACCTTGAATCACATGAATTTATTGATCTTTTGCTTTTTTTAGCAGATGTATGATTTTGACTAACAATACAATTAGCTATTAAAGAATCATTATGAAAAGAGCATTCAATTTAATTTTGAAATTATGGAACCTCAGTCGAATCTAAGTAATGGTCAATATAAAGAAGTTCATGAAAAGCATTCAATTCTTTTTATTAAGAAAATATAGTTAAAACAAACAATAAATTTGGAAAGAATATTGTTAAGGTTGTTTCAAATTTTGATCTATAATTACTAAAATTAACTATTAATATAAATATTACGATTCTATATTATTTTATCGTATTCCAAGATATTGTAATTCTAAAAGAGGATTAGTCTTAAAAATTTTAAAAGCATTTAAATCATCAATCTGATTTTTATTTAAATTAAGTCTAATTTAGTAGTTTAAATTTACGTAATAAGCTTTGGTAGGTCTAGAAAGGATTTTCCACACTTAGATATTTTATTTTCTGAAAGATCTAACATCTAAATAAAAACACATCAAAAAATAAATATACTTCAATATTCTTTGCTGTTGCAAAAAATTGATCATTTATTTTAGTAATACCATTTTTTTTCAATATTAATACTTTTAACAGAAATAATCCTGATAATGTGTTTGCTTTTATAAAGTTCCCTAATTCATTATTCGATAAATCTAGAGCTTAAAGTTTCTTGAAATGCATAAAACTCAAAAGTTGCTGTGTTTTACAATTACAAGCAGTTAATGTCTTAAAATATTCTGGTTCTGTTATAAAATTCTTTAATTATCATAAGTAGAATAATTACATCTATTTCTCCAGGTAACTTTGTAAATTCTCTTTTGGATAAATCCAACATTTTATAATTTATTATGCTAATATAAAAAAATATCTGTTAAAAATTCAACTAACTTTTAATCCTATCTCAGCAATCCGAAAAAAATTAAAATACTTGAGCTAAAATCTTTTTATACTCATAAAACCTTAATCTTTTTTTTTTAATTGATCAAAAATTTAAGCGATCCCTTTTAATAGACATTTTTTTTTTTCAAAAGGCTTTGATTAACATAAATTTATGAAAAAAAATTTTTGATGTATTTTTTTTTGCTAACAATTTTCTTTGAATCCTCATTGAAATGAAAACATGATAATAGAAAATTGATGATTTTTCGTTCTTGAGGGATTCTAAAATACTTTTTTATCTTTTTTAATATTTTGTATTGAAATAAAATAAAAGTGCTAGATTTTTTATTCTAATAATCAAGATAGAATGTATAACATATCGAACTCAAATTTAGAGTGAAAGATGAAGAGTATGCAGAAAATTTTATTACAATTCAAATAATTGTTGATTTAAAACAATAGAATATTAATAGTACTGCTAATTAATGTAGATTCATACCAGATGATGATATTAAGGTATAATATTTTAATAAAAAGCATATAATAGTATAAATTTTAAGAAAAAAAGTATTTGCATTTACATTAATTTCCAAAAAGTAGCCTAAATGGTTAGAAAATTTTAGAGACATAAAAGTAATTTATGCTCTTGAATACTTTTTTTAATACAATTTAATAGTATAGGAATCGAAATCTTACAAAAAGTTAAAGACTTGACACTCATACCTAAAGACTTAATAAATATTAATAAAGGTGCAAATTTATGCCCTTTATCTTTAAATTCAGAAAAAAAATAAAATTTTGTAGACTTCTAGTTCAGAACTAAAAGTTCATGATATAATAAAATTAGATTAGAATGTCATTTATGATAGATGGTTAATAAAATGTAAAAATTTAATCATTTTTAGTATTCAAATGGATAAATTCACATCAATGTCGTTAACACATAACCAGAAGATTTTCAAAGTAGATCTATATAGTATAATCTTTAGATTCTAACTTTTATGATTATGAATAAATCGAATCCTAAGGTACAATTGAATTATAAATTGAAGAAGACACTCCATAATTTAGGGACATGTATGAATCTGATGAAAGAAACAAAAAGTATTAGTTTATTTGATCGTTCAGATCATTTATAGAAAATTAAAAGAATCAATATAAAATGAAGTATCAGATATCTTATTAGAATGGATGACCGTCTGATTCAATAATTTTCATAAAATAATAGAACTTACTTGTCTTCTAAAAAAAATTTAAGTTTAAATAGCAATGGTATATGATTGTAATCTTAATCCAACAACCTATGCTTGAAGACAAATACTACTTGTAAACTAAATCATTTTTTATGATTAATTTTTCTGTAGTAAATAGAAAGTGGAAAAAGAGACTAGTTATGAATCTTAAAAAAACAATAACAGTTCAATAATTAGAATTAATAAATCAATACCTGAAAAACTTAAACTCCATAAGACAATTTTAGGAATTATTATTTATTATGTTATCTAAACTTCCTTAACTACTTTTAATATTTAAAAAATCAATATTTATACATAGATTTTATCATAAATTAAATTTTATTTTTTTTTTATTCTAATTTCTAAATTTCTAATAAGAGTAATTTTAGAGATAAAATCATAAATGCTTTTTAAATTTTATTCTCAGATTTTCATCATTATATTTTGAAGCTATTCTTAACTTTTTTTAATTATAAATATTCTAAAAATTATTTTATTTATACTAAATTAATCAGATAAATGATTTAATCAAAATAATAATCATTCCAAAAGAAGCTCTTCTTGTCTTTATACTTAGGCTTAGTGCCACTGCCTCAATGTCTTGCCTCTTTCTCTTCAACATTTTTCCTTTTGTACTAAGCCATTCGGATGGTTACTGGATAGAATGATTATTTTAATTTCATTAATTAAATATATCAGCAAACATAACCTATAAGTTTGATTATTATTTTTAATCTAACTGTATTTGATAAGATAGATCTTACAGATATAATCTTTAAATAGTTAATCATTGCCATAACCTTCTTTTCATATTTTCAATTTTTTGATTTTTCTTTTAAAAATCCATCTTATTCATCACACTTTATTTTTGTTATCATAATTTTTTGCGAAAAGGTATAAATTAATTCAAAGAAAGGCATTTTATGATGATCCAAATTTTTTAGTCTATTTAAAACTTAAAATTGAAATTCCTATCATAGTAACAAATTTCACTTGCATTTTTGATTTTTTGAATAATTATTTTAATCTAATTATATTTTAAATTTACGAACTCTTATAAAATATTCAATTTTTTTTTCTTTATATTCCCCTAGTTTCTTCTTAAGAATCATTTAAAAGCTGGTTTCATTTTATAATTTTTAGGCTGTCAAAAATTTTTAATATTTATTGATTTCTAAATAAATTTTATTTTTTATATATTAATAATTAAGACTATACCAAGAGTATTTAAAATAAATAACTAAATCAAGGAGTCACTTTTTTCCTTTTAATAATAATTTATAATTAGTTATATTAAGAACTAATTAACTTCTAAATTAATAGTTATTAAAGTAAAAAAATAAACAGAGTCTACCTCAGCTAAACCTGCCTTTTTGATTAATCTTCCAAATAAGTTATAACCTAATTGGAAAATACTTTAAAAAAAATTAATGAATTTCAAAATAAATGGTATATACCTTAAGAATTTAAATAAAACAAATAAAATTGAATTTAATGAAGATGATGTACAATTTTGTAAAAAAATCCAATATATTAATATAAGATATATAAATATGTTCTTCTTGAAAGAAATTGATGAAAAATAAAAATTTCTCAATTCAATATTATACCAAATTTAATCAAATAATCCACAATTTGTTTAAAATATAGAATTGAATTATTAAAAGATTTGTTAAAAAGTCAATAATAATTGATGGAATTGAAAAAGTAACTATATATATAATATATAAATATATAAATTGAAATTTAGAATGAGAAAGTTGGAGAATTCTAGAATTCATCAAATAGATAAATGATAGTACTAACATTTTTACTAAATAAATACCATCATTTTATATTATATCCAAATCTGTTACATTTTATAAAATTTAATGTGCTATGCAACAATTTTTAAGCTTATTCATGAAAATTATTTTTTTAATGATAGATATATCTAATGAAAAAAATGTTCCAAGAACTAAAGGAAGCTAGTCTTTTTATATTCATTTATATTATTCATAAATATCTCTTTTCGTTGATCAATATTTTGTATTGAATAAATTAGAAAATCTAAAATTCTAAAATTTGAGAATTCTAATAATAATTAAACATAATTTTTCAGATTGAGTATAATTGATTCTAATTTAAGTTTACCAATCAGTAACCTAAATATCATTAATATATTAATAAAAAAAAAATGATTAGATTGTAAAAATGAATGTATTTTTAGAAATGAAAAGAAACATGAAATTTACAAGTATTGATATTAGGTTGATAGCAAATCAAAATTTCTTTCAGTAACGTCAAAAAATGTAATTACTAAGACTAAAAACTTTTTATAGGAATGATTTTTACAAAAATCACATAGGAAATATATTAATAATGCTTCAACATATTTATAAAGTACTCTCCATTCAGGAAATAGAAAATTAGTTGATCAATATTCAATAGTAAAAATGAATCTAGTAGCACTCAAACACACTGAATATAATCATGAAATTTTAATAACATTGCAACATGGAAACACCACAAAAAGAAAACTGCTTATTTTTACCAATAATAAAAATCATAAATTTAACCCTCTTTAATTTTTTATAAATAAAACTAACTAATAAAATATTATTAAAGTTTATTATAATCACTAATTATCATCATCGACATCTGAGTGTTCTATATCATCTACTTTGATAATAGGCTATGTAGTTCTTTCATTTATTAAAGTACTTGAAAAAATCAATTCGAATTAATTTTTTGATTCTTGTAGATGTTTCTTTTTACTCATAGGTGGAGGATACATAGGATCTATTGCAATCCTTATAGTATTCTCTATCAAATGAGTTATCAATCTAGCTAATAAAGGACAGCAGGTTTCTAAACATGGATTAGTGTTGACTTCAATCAACCATGGTTTAATGTCTTAATCAATCATAAAATCTAATCCAAATAACTCAAAAGAATAGAATAGCTTATTTGGATTTAGGTGTTAGTAAGTTGCCTTCACTATATCGGTACTCAACTTTTTTAATTAATCTACAATTGTTTAAAAATTATAATTATGTTGATCATTTAAATACTTTTAAAATTCATTGAATGAAACCTAAATTTAAAAATAAAATATACTTTATTACCAGTTTCAAACTTCCCATAATTTTGATTCTTTTTTTACACTGCATCATTAGTGAGATGTGTAAATTTATCTTCCACATCATCTAAGGAAAATTCTTTACAACTTGTCCTTATGTATCCTTCTTAGTACCAATAGGCCTTAAATTGATTATTGATACTAGTTATCAACATGTAACATCGAATATCAAATTTTCTTTTATTGTATAATAAAGGTTTTTCTAAATATTTTTAGATAATGAATGTTTTTTTAGAATTATTTAAATGAAGGTTCTAAGAAATAATTTATTTAACTTTATTAATAGAATTAGCAACCTAAATTCCATTTCCTCGATTTGATGATTCTCCAGGTTTAATTATCCACATATTAAAATTATTTGTTTGAGCATACTCTTCAAATTCTAAATATGCTGGATCATTTGAACCTTTTTAAACATGATAAGTTAAAGGGATAAATTTAAATGGATCTTCATTAATAGAAAGATAATAGTTTTTCATATTGTAAAATAAAGCTTTTTTATTGCAAACTTAGAAATTACATTCTAAGTGATTATGTACTCTAAGAATACTACTTTAATTGAATAACTAAAGATCAGATTCTTATATATTAAATTTAATGTTTTCATTGATAGACTTTTTTTATTGTTTAGTAAATTACACATTTTCTAATTAATATTATTTTACAGTTTCATATTCTTATTACTTTCTTAATTATGTCCAATATAAATTTAATTCTTCGTTAGGTTAATCTATCAATAGCCACCATGATCTTAATTTTAAACATTATCTTATTAAAGTTCCATTATTGCCTTTTGTAATGAATGCTTTATAAAATGTTTTTTCTGGAGGTATAACATTAATATAGTTTGTGAATGCTATCATGGTAGATAAGTCATTTATTTCTTAATTTTCCTTGCTAATTTCATGTTTGGTAGTAATTGCTCTCTTTATTGAAAATTATTTTTAAGGGATTAATCTAATTTCTTTTTTATTTTTTTCTAATGAATTAGAATGAGGAAGGGTTTCTACTTAGTTTTTCTTGATGATGAATGTGGTTTCACTAGATTTTCTATTATGAGTTTCTGTTCTTATAGAATATGAAAAGACAGTAGGTATTAATTGAGGTGTACACTAAGAACATATTTTGGTTGAATGCTAATGTTATGATTATTTATTTATGAGATCAATAAATTACTAAAATCCTTTCATACGAAGTGAGTTTAATTTTGGATGGTATTATCTAACAGATTATACTTAAGTTGAATCTGAACATTTGGTATTGCCTTTAATACATAGAAACTCTATTTCAGATTTCTGCATTTTCAAATAAAATTAATTGTAAATTAAAATGAATAAATTATACTTTATTTATAAAATTGAAAGTATTTTTATTAATGATATCATAAATACTAAAAATACTAATTAATTTCAACTTTAAATGAGGTCTTTGTTTAGACCTTTTTCATACAACTTTCTGTCTATGGATTGAGATATTTTGGTTAATTATTAATCTATCATTTCATCAATTTTATCCTAAGTATATTTATTTAATGAATACCACATCATCTTAATCGATTATGGATAAAGATCTATTAATAGGAAACCAAAAAATACTTTCCCTTTTTAGTTCCAGATAAACATAACTTTCAATACCATTATATTCAGAACTCTTTTTTTCTTATATATAAGAAATAAAGAAAATATAATTCCAAACATAATGTTCATTTTTAACATGGAACCGGAATCCCTTTTTATGTTTTGTTTTCTTTTCAATTATACTTTTATCAATTCCGCAAACAAGGCAAAACTCTTTTATATCAGTTTCAAGTTCTTCTGCTTCTTCTCTATCTGCACCAAAAGAATCTAAGATTAACCCCGTGAAGATAGAATATGTTAAACTGATAACAAAGAAATAATAGCAGAATTCCCAAAAGTTTAGAATTCCAAATCGGAAATCAGGATTTGCATAAGTGGAACTAATACCATCAGACGCTGCAACATACCCTGTTGACCCACCATCCTTTTTAAATGTTACGTCTAGAATAAATGAAAAGCATTGTAACAAGCTTTAACAGTATTGAGAATAGTTGGAATCTTCAGAGTAGAAATCATATATTAGCAGAGAATAATAATACTAAAGTATGAAAAAAAGAGCTAATGTAAGTAATATTTACACTATTGGACGCCAAACGGACTAAAAAATTTTTAATTTAAATTCCTTACGTTTATCATTGCTGTTAACATTGGAAATCTCCAAAAAACATCTAGTAAAAGTAATGCTAATAACGTTTTTGTAAATAATCCTGAAATAGCTATAGATGTAAATATCAAAAAATAAATCATTTCATAATCAAAAAATATATATTTAAATAATACTAACCTATCTGTAATGCTTTAATAAAATCTTACAAACTTATTTTATTCTAATAAAAATGTTTCTGTCTTTTCTAAAATAAAATCCTCCTATAATACTACACTTTAAGAATTATCGAGATATTTATATTTTATTTCTCTCTTTCTTATACGATTTATTTATCTTTCAATTACAATCTCTTGAGCTTTTATTCTTAAATATGGTAATTTTCTTATTATAAAAATGAAAAAACAAACAAATTGCAATATTATCTATAATATATTTAAGGCTAAAAGCAAATCGTCTAATATACGATCATATTTTCCATTATTTGTTAATAGAATCAATATATTCTACATTACAATCACATAAAATATTATTTATTTCCAAATTTCTTGATTACTAGCTATCATATTTACTAAAAAGTGTCTTTTATATAATAACTGATATTAATATTCAGTTTTTAACTTTTAAATTGTTTTATTAGAATTATAAAGTATTGATTCAACTTTTGTTTATTAAGTTGATCGATCTATATCTTTATTAAATTTATGTTTAATGGAATTGTTTAATGAAAAACAATGAGGTAATAAAGGAAATATTACTTGCTTAATCTATTTTTAAGGTAAAATTATTTCTATTGATCCAGATCTAGTTGCATAGAATCTTAAAGCTCTATAACCAAGTTTCTTCTAATTAATATCCTTTTCATTTTCTAATTCATTTTCATAAGGATGACTGTTCTATTTTTATAATTGCTGATCCTATTAATGTATTTTCGAATTGTATATTTTTAAGAAAATCTTTTCATTTATTATTTCATTTTTTTTCTCTTTAACTACGCTACTACATAAAATATTAAATTATAAAATACTTGTGAATCATTTCAGTAATTTTCTACAATTGAAACCAGGATTGATATAATTTATAAAGTAACAACTACTTTAACTATTTTTTTTATGTTTTCTCTTAATCAATTTGTTCATAAATTCTTTCTATAACATCCATATCTTTATGTTAAAAAATTTATGCTAAAACATTATAAAGTGAGAATCCACTTTCAATAATAAAGGAATCACAAAAGTCTCTTATAGCTACTTCTACATTAATATTCTCTTCAATAGTCCAGAATTTCTCTTCATTAGAAATAATTTCTTAATAAAGTGTTGATAATTTTTGTTAGTCCCCAAATAAGTGAGAAAATATTTTGTTTGTATAATTTTTACCAGATTAATGGAGAATTTTGAATTTTTCGTATTAAATTGATATATTTTTGATCAGTAATTTTTCATTTATAATGCTATTGATTTTTTCTAAAGTTTATGAAGATGTTTATTAATCATCAGTTAAAGATTCTAATGTTGTTGAACATCTGTATTTTATTTCTGATAACATAAATAATTTATAATTTATATTATTGCTTTTTCTAAAGGATTATAATATCTTTTTACAATAAGTAGGATATTTTTTATAAAATTCAACATATGCCTATTGAATCTATGTCTTTTTTTAACTCAAAAATAGATTATTATGTTCATTTTAGGTTTTTTACCTTGAACGAGTTTGAATTTGTTATTTTTCTCTTACTAAATTTGAATACATTGATGTAAATGCAGTATGAGAATCATCAAAATTGAGAAGTTTATGACATAATTTTAAGAATTATATTGAACATATTTTTATTTGATTTTCATGACATGGTCCCTATATCAATTCTTTTATACAGTCAAAACACCCAACAATTAATTCATAATCATCGAAACTAAGATTCATAAATGTCTCTTATGCAAAATGATCAAATAATATATCTTACAATTATTAAATCATATCATAATTTTATGGGAATCCTTCTTAAATTCGAAGAAAATCCTAAGCTGGTCTAAAGTGATCTTCAGCCATTAATTATAAAAATTTTATTTAGATTTTGATAATCCCTAATTTTTATGAATTATTTCTCCTTTCAAGTCTATGATTTTAATTGAATTCATATGAAAATAAAATTCTATTCAAATTTGATGTAATATCATTCCTAATATATTAAATATCGTTTAATTTTTAAAGACTGTAAAAATTAATGCAAAATATTTTCAATAAAGAGTTGCTTTAATTATTTTTCATTACTGAAATTATTTTGCTTTATGTCATTGAATTAACTTATTCCTATCCTCTAATCAATCTTGTTGAAACTAATAAGAATTTATAGAACAATTAATCCTTTAAATTTTAGTTTAAAAATTCTAGTTCTGTAAAAGGTATTATCTTTAAATTTTGATAAGAATCACAAAATTAAATAAATATTTCAATAAATCCTTCATTACATATTAGATTTTGTATTTATTTTATAGCTTTCTTTTATAAAATTTATTCACTTTAACTTTTGAATTTGTCTTACTAATTCATTGCATAAACTTCCATTGTCTGTTCATAATCAACTCTTATATAAGTATGAAAATCCAAAAGTTACCAAAAGAAATCAAGAATGTTTAATATTCCTTAATAATTGTTAATTAAGTTATTTAAACTTTATTTCAATATTCTTACTAAGGGATAGATAATTTTTGGAAAATTATCAATTAAGATTTCATAATTTTAATTCATCAAAAATAATTTAACATAAATCTATTTAAACATTTAAAAGTTTTCTTCAGCTTAATCTTAATGAGTATTTACTAAAGTTTCAATGACTCTATTCAAAACTTTACTATCAAGGATTCCTTAAATAGTAATTAATTCATGCAATCTTGAATCATTAAATTATTCTGGATTGAGATACTTATCTTTATAAAGATCATTAGTTTTTAGTTTTTATTACTGAAATTGGAAACCTTTTAAGTCTAATTATCTTAGAAACAGTAATTTTAATTATTATTGTTTTAAATAAAGCAATTCCTGATTTTCTTTAATCTCATTTAACATAAGCCTATCATTTAAGTGTTATTCAATTGAATAAATAAAATCGTCCATTATAACTTTTAATTCATTTAATGGAGCAAATGAATGAGATAAATTATTTTATTCATTGATTCCAAATTCAATAAGAGAAATAGATAGACTCTTTTTCTTAAAGTTTAAAGTTGATGAATTTCTATTTGATTTAGATTTAGTAGATGAATCTTCTAACGTATCGATATACTCTGATAATTTTTAAGCTAAATTTAAACTTAAGTCAAAAAGTTTAATTGAATAATTATTGAATAGAAAGCATTCAAAATTCTAGTTTATCTCATATTCTGAAACAACTTAAAAATTACTTTACAAGACATTATGATGATCTTCATATAATTAATAAAGTAATTTTAGTTTGTTCTAGGAATTAATATTATCAATATAAATTTAATAATCTATGGACATAATTTATATATTAAACAATTTTTTTTCATTAAGAATAAATTTCTTAACTAGTTCAATGTATTCATCATCATAGTTAGAGAATTCACTTTAAGTTAATAGCAGATTTAAAAATTATAATAAATGATTCTTTAAAATTGTATTTAAGAAAATTTAATTTAAATCCTTTTTTTATTGTTATTATGGTGAATCTGCTTACCAATTTTTTATTTATATGGAAAAAACATCATCTAAAGAAAATATTAGACGAAATAAATTAACATAAGGGAAACATTTTTATAATAAGCTAGGATGAAGTTAATAATTAGTTTATACTTAATTATGATAAGCTGAATGATTATTCACTTTTTGCTTTTATATTCTAAGATTTTAATCTGTACTTATTTAATTATTCTATCCACTTGAAATAAACAGTTAAATTAAATTTATTATAAATTTATAGCCTTAAATTTAAAATATATAAGGAGCTTTTCCTTATAATAATAATTATTTAATTGATAAATTTTCATCAATTAAAAATAATTACTAAAAGTTTAGTTATCCTAAACCTAACTTCTAAGTAAATTAAATATTTGATGTTAATTATTGAAATATTAGTACTAGATTTTTATGTGAAATTTAATTTTATTAACTCAAAATGCATGAAAGTATTTTTAAAGCACCTACACTTGCATTTTAAAATAATAAATATATAGTTTTTGGACTTATTGAATTAATTAAGTCGAAAGAGTTTTCATATATAGTTATTAATAAATTAAATTATCCTAGATCCATAATAGAAAAAAATTATTCTATAATATCAAACTATTTCATTATCTTTATTTTATTTTGATTGTTATTTTTACAAATTATCTTTAACATATTAAACATTTCTGAGCATAATTTAATGATATTTTCATCTTCAGTTGTATTTTTATTATTTTTTAAATCATGTTATATTTTATAAGTAATATCTTTACATTATTATAAAAAATGAATTAGAATATCGAAAATGTTGTAATCCAGATTCAAAATTCTAATTATTCTTTGTGATAATAATAAATATTCAGATCTCTCTAATTTTTGGTTGAATGCTTAAACTTTTTTAGTGATATTTTAAGATTCTAGCTCTAGATTTTCACTTTATAATAATTCTTGCAATTTATATTGCATTTCTTCAACATCTTCTAATATATCTGTTTCATTTTATTTCTCTAAAACTATGCATTATTCAAATTTTAATAATATTCCCTTCTTAGGTTAGAAAAGTTTATCAATTAGATTAAAAATCTTAAGCTTTATTTGAGATGCCAATTATTTATGAGACAATAATTTCAATAAAGTATTAGATATTTCAACATATTAAACTGGTATTTTAAAATTTAATTAAATCTTCTCTTATACAGAAGATTAATTAGTATTTAAGCATTTTTGAATGATAAATTTTTCAAACATCTCTGATAAATAATATATAAATTCTATAAAACACTTTGTTAAGAGATTAAAAACATTTCTATCTTCTGAAAATTATTCAAATTATTATAATTAATCTTATTCTGGAGATTTTTCTGAAATTGATTGTGGTAATATTGAAAACGCTAAAATTAAAAATTCAAAATAAAGGTGAAACTTAGGATCCATAAAACTATTGTTTTTATCTCTTTTTTTCAATATGTTTTAATTAGGTAGTTTAATAGTTAGTAATTATAAATACATATTCAACATTTAATAATTTCTTATGCACAAATTAACTTTATTTTATACAATAAAATTTCTTTTCAAATAGTCCTAAACTATTATCTAAATACTTTCAATGAATTTTATTTCTTCATCATGAATTTTTAATTTAGTTTTTTATAACAATTCTTCTTCAAAATCTTCATCATTTTGTTGTTTGTAACTTTTAAAAATTAACTTTGAAATTTAGATCCTTTAGAATGGATGAAAATCTATGTACAAATTAATTAAAATGGCAATCAGTTTGCATCTAAGATAATCATCATTTTTAAGATTGCTTACATATGAGAACAGAATCCCTTTAGGTAATATATTTTTAAAATATAATATATTTTAAACATGTCTATTTTGGCATAGAGAACCAACTAAACTTAAATATTCATCAATAAATATTTTGCATTGTAAAGCATCTTAAATTAAATCAATGTTATTCTATATAGCATTTCGATAAATTTAATTTAATTCAATAAATTTATCTTCAACTTTTATATAAAATAATTGATCTTCTATATGTGTAAAAAAAGTTGAAAAAACTAAGGAATCAGTTTTTAGATTAGCTCCAATTACTTTTTGATTATTTTTATATGGTTAGTCATTTAAATTACAAAGAATTTAAAGAAACTTAGGTAAGTTTGACCAAAAGGATATAATTTTTTACTCATATAAAAATTATCCCCTTTAAAAAATTAAATCTATTAAGGTAATTTAATTTTATTATTGTTACATTGCTTATGAGTTAAAATAGAGAGATGACGCTGTTGGAATGAGTATTTAATTAGTTTAAAAAATTTGTATAAGACAATCAAATGCTCCTAAATGGCATCCAAGAAGTGAGATAAATTTTGAATAGCTATATATAATGAAGAGACCATTTTATTCATTATATGCACTAAAAGCAGAAAAAAATAAAAATGTTGTCTTAATTAATTTTTAAATCTAGTTTCTTAGTTTTATGCTCTATTCTTATTCTTCCGAAACAATACAATCGACATCATTAGATAAATTTGTTAATTAGTCATCCCAAGATATAAGTTCTAATAGTTGATTTAAATATTAGATGATATAATATCGTTTAAGTTGATCTTAATTTCTTTTGTCTTTTCTTGAATTAAAGATAGAGTTTCTATCGATTACTTTTAGTGTAGATCCATTTTCTAAACAGAAACAAATCAAATCGGATAATACTTGAATGAGTTAATCACATATTTGGTATATTATTTCAAATTTAGAATCATTTTATTGTTGTGATCTCATTGCTTTTTAAAGAAATTCAGTATTTTATGAAAAAATATTAATTGCATTTTAAATAATTTTAACAACACTTAGGAGCCAATAAATTTGAGTTTGATTTATGTTAATCTATAATTCAAGTAATAGTTGATCTTCTTTTGTAACAGCTAATTTGTATTCTAGTTAATAGTATAAAGAGTTTTCTTTTGATAAAAATTAGGAACTTATATATTTATCTTTATTAATCATAAATCCATTAATAAAATGATTGTTGCCATTTACTTCTTGAAATTAAAAAATAGAAGCTTGTTCAATATTATTAACAAGAGTTGATTAGGAAATGTATTAATTAGTAGCAATATTCTAAAGATAAAATTAATCATTTGAAGTAAGTTATTAATAAGCTTTATAAGGATGATAGATTCTCCACAAATCAAATTCAGATGTTTAGACTTATCCTTACCAAGTGACTATTAAATCAGTAGAGAAGTGAGCATCATATTGGATATCAGCATTTGATGTGTTAATTAAATTTTTAATTTAGATTTAAGCATATTATTTTTGAGTCATAATTAAATAAGCATTCTTTTCAATAAGTTTAATTTTAATTAAAAAACCATAGCATAGTTTATGATTAGCTTTGTTAATAGTTTCAAATGTGAATTTTGAGGCTAGATGAACTTAGTTAGTAAAAGTAATTTATTTTGAATCCCAAGAGATAAAACATTCTTGAGAATCAATAAATGCATCATTATTAAGAGACAAACTAATATAGATATCATTGTATAAAGTGACGTAATTTTGATTCTAAGGGGGTAAGATAAATAATTACAATGATTTATGATTTGAAGCAAGGTTAGATAGAAAATAAACATGTCTTATCAAGTTCTTCTGTTAATTAAATGGTCCACTTATCTTTAATGTAGATTGCTTATAAATATTTGTCAGATTTATGATGTTTAATTATAATATCTTTGGTGAATTAGATGTTTTCATCTTTAGACATTTAAATGTTTAAATTCTCATATTGAATTGGATATAAATTAAATATTGCATCTAAAAGGATTACTTTAGATCTAATAAATTATATTGTCTAATACTCTAAATTGACAGACTAAGGATAGAACCCATCAGAATCAAGATACATATTATTTGATTTGATTAAAATATCAGTTTCTGATGAGATTGGATTTTTTGATTGTTACACTTCCATTAAATTATAATAATTTTATAATAATGAATTTATTTTGCATAATAAATAAAGAAAGTAGAATTAATTATCATATTTTTACTTTAGAGTTTTTACCAACATTGCTAAAGATAATTAAACACAAATTGAGTATAACAAATTTGATGATATCTAGTAGTATGAGGCCAAAGAGCAATCTAGTATACAATAAAAAGTTATTATCAAAAGATATTAAAATGAGTAGAATAGGTTCAAAAACTATTACTTCTATGCTTTTTAGGATATAACTACTAATGATGATAGTTGTTTCAAAGTTATTTCGATCCTTATAAGGATACATAGGAATCCACTATAATTCAATTGGCAATAGGATAAACAAGATAGATCTAACAGATAGAATATTATCCTTATAATTAATAGGTTTGAGATCCTCTTGACGAGGGCAGATCTCTTGAATGAAATTAGCTCTAAACACATAACTCATTGGTAGATATGACCTATTTTGAAGATCATATTTGTCCATGAAAATCAATTTAGATGTTGTAAGCAAATGTAATATTCTAGGAGTCTATGTAAAAATTATAAAATAAACTGTAATAGTCTTATTTTAGAGAGGATCAAGATCTATTTACTTATCCTCATCTACTGTTCCTATACAAAAAAATACTAATATTAGTATTCTTAAACAAATGTCCAATACTATATTAGACAATAACCAGATCTTCATTCCAGGATTATTTTTTATATATTCCAAATACAAAAATGTAATATTGATCGGTACTATCTCCTTTTAAAAGGATGGTTTCCCTTCATTTATTTCTCTTCCTAAAAGCCTTAATTAAATCAGTGTTTATTATGTCTCTTAGCTTTTTTTAGTGGATATTGGAGAATCTTAGGATTCACAATTATTGACGATCTGCATTTCTACATTAATTGATATTGCATCTTTCTTTTCATTAAAATCATCATCTAAACTGTGAAAGCTGTTACTCTAGTTTTGATCATGACGTAAAGAAAAAAATACACTTTGAGGTGGCTCCATCCTTTCATTACTATCTATGATTGATGACATTATAATTATAATTTAATATAGAATATTTTTATTCTTTTAATCAAGTTAGAATATCAAAATGTCAATCAACAAATGTCCATTAGTCACTTATTTTACTATTCTTTGATTTCTTTTTAAAATAAATTTTTACTATATAATTCTATTCAAGTTATTTATGAAGATCTTCACTGTATTTATATATATTGTAAAGAATTTATGTAATATATAGAATAAATATAAGTATTCCTTTTAATTTTAATTTAATGCTTATAAAAACTAATCATTCTGATTACCAAATTCATTAGATTTGAACCTGCAACAATTGAAAAGAGATGGGATAATATTATATCAATTTTTGGCCGATATGAGAATGATTATTTCAACTTTAATAAAATATTAACTAAAGAAGGATAAAGATTAATATAAATGATTTATTGCAACAAGTTTTAAAAACAGTGAATTCTATAGGAAGATATTTTATAATAATAATGGTAACCTAAGTTAAATTTAAATAATGTTTTACTTGTTTTTTTAATCTTTATCCCTTTTCCTTTTATTATGAAACAACTATTTTTCATTAATAATCTCTGATTCACAATTTTACTTGTTTTCAAGTATAAATGTAATTTTCTTATTAATTTTCACTAATGATTTTTAATTTTAACCCTCCTATGATTCGCTCTATTAATAAAAATTATAAGTATTATAGAAATTCTATTTTAAAATATTATTTATCTTAGACTGTTTCACCTTAAGATCAAATCAAATTTTAGTTTAAATTGATTGCGATTTTCTAATTAGTTGTAAATTAGCTCTCAATTAACTTGTTATTAATAAATAACTCTAAATATAATGATGATACTATTATTTAATTATTGATAGATTCTGCTTCCTTATTTTTATTGACTAATTATATTTCTGATTCTATTAAATTTTATCTGATTAGCTTTAGAATTGCTACAACAATTAATAATTAAATCTTTTTATTGAATAATATTGAAATTATTTGATAGTTAAATCTACTTTTAGCTAAACTTCTTTCCAGTTTTCAGATAATTTTAAATGATTGATAATAATTAAGCTATCATTTGAATTAATAATTCTTTTGTACAATATTTTGAAGCATTGCCGATTATGAGAAGGAACTTTTTTTCATTATTAATTAATTAATAAATGCGAAAATCCTAGAAAATGCCATCCTAATAGCAAATGAAAAATGTATTAACATCAACTGTGGCATCTTAAATCACTTATAGTCCTGAGTAATCTCCAATGAATAAACCATTATAATAAATGACAAGAAAGACATCAATGATTGAATTGCTTAGAGTAGAAAATGAAGCTGTCAGAATAAAACCTCAAAAAGTTTTATAAATCATTAAAGATGCAAAAAAATAATTATTCTCTTAATAAAATCCTCGAAATGAAAAAAAATAAAAACCAAGAGTGGAAACATCAGAAGGTTAAATTAGAGGTTTAGATTTTACATTTGCATAGAACTTCTCAAACAAATAAATTATAATGAAAGAATTCTCAACAAATGGTCTCCGAAAAAAGTTTTTTATATGATCAAGCTTCAATTATGATAAATAAATCATTCACAATTTAGTAACAGTCTTCTTTATTAATTATCATTTTATAATAAAGAAAACTTAATTAATTTAAACTTATTACTAGCATTTATAATGCTTTATATGTACTATAAATTCACTTCTCTAAACTGTTAGTTTAGAAGAATAATAATTTTTTTTTTACATTAAGAATTTTGATTACTAATAAATATTAAAAATAAAAAAGGGATTTTGTAATTAGTATTGCACAAATATAAAAATCATATAAATATTTAATAAAATAAAAGCTAGAATAGAATATAATTAAATTTGGAAGCCAATAGATTTTTGATAGATTAGATAGGATGGATATTGAATTTTTACAATATAAAATTCAATTGCTAATAATCCACTTAATAGTCTTTTGTAAATCTCCTTCGTTTTTTTTTAACCATCTTGTGGCTTAAAATCTGTCAACATCGAATTCTTTGACAATTAAGTCAATGTGAGCTTCATTTAATTTGATGTTGTCCTATTATATTTCAACAGGCTAGATATGAATAGAGTTAGATACTTATTCAGTTGTTTGACCTTCAACTTCACGATCTTCATTTCTCATCACAATTTTCTGATTCATAAAATTTAAATAACAAATTAAATATAATAAGTAGAAAGTAGTTAATTGTATTATGAGAATAGATGAAAAAGAGCGATAAAGAAGTTAATAAGATAGTATTGAAATAAAATAGTTAGTATTAAAAATAAGAATAAATTGAAAATATAAAATAATTAATGGAAAGTAAACTATAAAATTTTGAGATCCAAAATAAATTAGGTAATATAGAATGATTGATTTTTCTAGGTTCTGGAGCTTATTCATCAGTGTACAAGGTATAGAGGAAATCAGATGGGAAAATATATGCATTAAAGAAAGTATTATGATAATAAATAAGAATAGGTGAAATTGATGGATATAGGGGATAGAGAGAAATAGAATGCGTTAAATGAAGTTAGAATAATAGCATCAATACATCATGAGAATGTAGTTTCATATAAAGAATGTTTTATTGAAGATAATATTTTATGGTATTAGAGTGGTTATTATCAAGTATAATAATGGAGTATGCAGAGGGAGGAGATTTATTATAGAAGATACAAAGATATATTAAAAGACAGTTGCTGATTCCAGAGTAAGAGATATGGCAAGTGGCAATCTAGGTATTATAGGGTTTGAGAGCGTTACATCATAAAAAAATATTTCATCGCGATTTGAAGTGTGCTAATATCTTCTTATATGAGAATGATCAAGTCAAACTTGGAGATTTCAATGTATCAAAATTGGCTAAGAATGGTCTTGTTTATACATAGACTGGTACACCTTATTATGCTAGTCCAGAGGTTTGGTAAGATTAGCCTTATGATCATAAAGCAGATATCTGGTCATTTGGATGTGTCATTTATGAAACATGCTCATTGAAACCGTATTTCATTATTACATTAATAGCCCATTCAGAGCAAAAGATATGGATGGACTATATAAATCTGTACTAAGAGGATAATATTAACCAATCCCTGTTATATATTCATAAGAATTGGCTCAATTAATTAAAACTATGATGCAAGTTCATCCTACTAATCGTCCTGATTGTGGTAATCCGTTATTCTAACTATTAATCATTAGATAAATTACTTCAATTGTCCTATGTTTAGAAAAAAGCCAAATTATATGCAATTCCTTTACATTATGAAGAAAGCCCACATGATCTGTTGAAAACTATTAAATGGCCCTTCTCAAGAAAGAGCTTTTAAACTAATAAATCGGAACTTATCAATCTTAATTGCTAACTACCTGCTAGTAATTATTTAAATTAGCACAATTCCAATCACCTTAGGAGAAATCAACAATCTAATAGAATCAGATCTTAAGATACTAATGATACAATCTCTTTTAATTAACCCAATGAAGCTTTACACTAATTGATGAAATAAATCACTTAACTTGATCATTAGGATATTGAAAAAACTCCAAATCTTCATTCTCATTTAAATCAATCCGTTTCCAGATAGACAATCTAAGAAAATGTCTTACCAATCGATCGAAGATTGAAAGTATCTAATTCTACTCATGAGAAGCATAACAGATACGAACCAATTTAACAACCGTAAATTTTTTAAATAGAAACTATAGTAAATGTGCTTCTAAGGATAGATTAGACCAGATTTAAATCAATTCTAATTATTATGCAAAAGATGTTGTCCAATCAATTAATAAAAAGAACAATTCTTCAAAATTACCAAACATTACAGCAACTTAAAAATAAGAAGAAAACTATAATTTAAGAAAAAATTCTTCAAATGAGAAAAATTCCAGTAGTTATCTTAAGAGATCCAAACATGAGCCTCAAAAGTATGATATCTCTCTGCATCCAAGCGCTGAAAAATCTACTGCTTTAATGAAAATTATTGAAGAACATCAATAAATACCCAAATTAAAAAAGAAATACTGAAATATATCTAATTTTCCAAAATACCAAATAATTAAAATTTAACAGAAAATATATATATTTTTTAACAAATAAATGGACATGTTTTTTGAATTAAACAAATTTAGAAATTCAATTAAACAAGAAGTATTGACTCGACCAAGATCACAAATGAGATAGTCTTAATTGAAAAGGAAGATGTCAAGCATTAGAAATAGTGTTCATGGAAGTTTGCATGGTAGTGGCAATAATAGTTTGCATAATAGTGCATAAAGATAAAGTAATACCTCGATGCCTTAAGTTTTGCCATTTCATAAAATCAAAGAAATTTAATAAACTCTATTAGAATGCAATTACATTAATGACCTCTCTGTTTATTATGTTGAAGAATTAGTCAGATTTGCTAGTCTAGTTATGGAAAAAGTAGTCAAAGTTAGAGGCCATAATTGATATTAATTAATTATTTACGATCTTATTGAAATTTATTTTATCAATTGTGGTACTATGCATTCATATATTTAAGATTTTAAATAAATATATTTTTTCATAGAAACAAAATTTTATTTAATCAAATGTTAACATTTTGGTTGGTTATTTGAGATAAAATAGTGGTCATTTCGAATGAGTTTACTTATTTGATATTTTTTTATTTCTTTGTTTGTTATATTATTTCATTTTCTTTAATCAGGAATCTCCTATCCACTAATATAATAAACAATTATACAATCAATTATCCCAAAGCATTTCTCTTATTAACTCAATTAATTTGTAGATATAACTTAAGTATCAATAACCAAATGTCCATAAGTTATAAAAATTCTAATAGATTCTTCAATTGAATAATTCATTATTCGTTAACTCACAAAATCTGGAAGCTATTTATTATTATTATTCTCTTTGGTAATCAATTCATTAGCCTAATTAAGAGTTTTTCTTTTATTAGGTTGATTGGCAATAATGAATTGAAATGAATTATTATTTATGAAAGGATTCAAGCATTAGATATGTATAGAAAAATTATATAACATACTATTCTAATTTAGTTTTTTTACATCAAGTTTAGACTTCATATTTTGATGTACTTTATTTGTAGTATCTAATTTGATACCATCTAAGTTAAATAATTCAATACCTGAACAAATCAAATTAAAATCTAACTAGTGGTTATTAGAATTTGGTATATATATTAGAATATGATATTGGTTGATTAAACTATAGTAATCTGGAATCATAGGAATCTGAAAATATTCACCTGCTTTATGTGCATTAACATCAAACTCATAAGAAATATTTAGAAAGGCTTTTTTTTAAGCTTTTACCATAATTTTGTTAAACATAGCTCCTTGACACATAAAAATACCTTGATCATTAGTAATACCAATTAAGGGTTCTTCATTTGATGAATTTATTTTATAAATTTCTAGTTTACAATTATCAATTTGATTATTTTATTCTTGTTGAATCAAATTATAGACTTTGAATTTCATTGTAGTTTATACTTGGCTTATCAAATCGAATTGTATAATCACATCAGAATTTCCTTATAAGAAAACTGAACGTTTTTATGGAAAGAAATCTTTTTTATTAACATCAAGGGTATATTCTTCTTATTGTTTTCCATAAAAGATAAATGCTGATTGGGCATAATCATATGGTAGCGTTTTGGTATTGTGATTACTAATGAAAACATTGACAGTAGAATCTTCTGGTGCTTTAACAATACATTTGATTAAATCTGTTCTATTAAGAGTGATGGAAACACTGACAGCATCAGAATTCTCTTGATACAGATGTGATAGATCTAAAACTTGCTTAACTGATTGAATGACTTTTCCAGTAACTTCGACTTCATAATTAATGTTAGAGATCAAATCAGTGAATTGAGCTTGATTATTTGAATTAACAGTTTAAGTTTGAGAAAATAATCTGACTACAGGTTAATTGTTAAGTGTTTATGATTTAATTGGAGAATAGTAAGCTTTAATTTAAGTATCTGATGGTTTAGGTTGCTCAGTCTTGGAAACGCTATTAAAAATGGATTGGAAATTTATAGTAGACTTTTTAGGAGTGGAGTGTTTATCAAGTGAAAATTAATTGATTTCTTTTTATCTGATGGTTATCTTTGTTCCTTCTAAGATATTTTATTATTATTGATGATCCTCTTTCAATGATTAAATATATTTATTGTAGCAATCTAGGTTGACGGTGAGATTAAACTTAGGTAAGGAAAGCCAGATAAGATCAGAAATGAGTTTAGGCGTTAGTTATTCTTTAGAATGTAATTTTGAATATAGAACAATTTGATTTTAATTTGATAATTGAAGTTGGATATGAATGTAATTATTAGTTTGTTATTTAAGTATTTCATGAATTATAGAGATGAATGGATACCTTAATAATAAATTTGAGTTTACTTTTTGTAAATATAGAATTTAGTTTCCTCGATCAGATTTAAAAAATGTTCTTTGGTTTGATCACAAAGAATGCTTGATTAAGAATTTTTGTAATATGTTTGAATGTAGAGTACATTTTAATTGGGTGTAGAGATGGGAATGAGGGAAGCTCTATCTTAGAGATAATCTAGGATGGATTTTAATTGTTCTTTGTATTATTTGATAATTTTGGTCGGCTGTTGAGTGTCCTAAAAGAAACTTATGAGATTGTGAAGTGAAATGGATACCTTGTTTTAGATCGAAACTTAAACGAAGTATTGTTTTGGGTAGAGATTGACATAAGTGGAAAATATTCGTTAAAATAATATTGTAGGGGGTGCATTGATTATAAAATGATATATAATAATAAAATGATTGAGACTTAGAAACTAGTGCATAGAAAATTATCTATTTTGGGATATCCTTAGAATGAGTTGTTAGCTCTAGATAATTTGAAGCTAAAAATCACAAAAAAGAACTTTACTTGCCAATTACACCCAGGAATATCAATAGACATCCCAAAATAGATTTAAAAGTTCTATCGGAAGCGGTTCTTCCTCTTTAAAAAGTTTAATGAGGGCATATAATTAGATGAAGAATCTTGGTATTCTGTGATACCAGAGGTAGATTTTTGTATAATGAATTAAGGAAATGAGTATTCATATTGCAAATAAATTAAAAACCAGTTCTCCAGATTCTGATGTTATAGATGGATTTTGTGGTTCTGGAGGTTTGGCTATACAACTGGCAAAATGCTTTAAAACAGTGATTTGTATAGATATTGATCCAATGTAAAATTTAATATTATAAACTCAGAAAGATCAATAACATAACCAATAATTTGTAAGTGTATGAGTCCATTGCTACTGTTATTTAGATGAACTTTCTCGAGTATACTCATCCTAATTAAGATTTCATTCTTATTATGTGTCCTCCTTGGTATAATCTTAATTAATCTTAGGGGTGGATTGAACTACTCACATTAACCATATGATCTTAATAGTATGAAACCATCTCTTTAAGATCTCCTTACCAAAGGACTTTAAATGACCAATAAAATCGTCTTACAATTACCAAAAAATATTGATATACCATAATTAGTCACCATCTTTAAGGATGTTACTGAAAAACTAAGATTAGAACTCAAACCCATTGAAATTGAGATGATGCTCATCAATGAGCAAATTAATTAATTAATTATTTACTATGGGTTATGAAATCAATTTTACATTTTTATTAATTCTCTTCTTTATCATTTATTAAATATTTATGGTTAACATTTTCAAACTTTTATCTTTATTATTTCTTTCTTTAATTTATTAGATATTAAAATTCTAAAAATTTTAGCTAATTATGACATATTAAAAAAAAGTACCATTCTATTTCTTGTGACTATTACATTTAACTAATTCTTGAATCGTATTATGATTCTGCCTAATCCTCTCTCAAGTGAACCATTCATATTTCCAAATAAAATATCATATTTATAAGAATGATATCATCAAAATCAAAAAAAAAGCATAACTATTGATCTTTATAATTATCTTTGCCAGAATCTCAAAAATACCTTAAAACTTAATAGATTTTTGCTTTTGCTTATAGATTTATGATTGAAAAATTGTGCATATAAAAATATAAATTTAAAGGTTTTTAGTAACATAAAATTGCATAAATAAAATATAATTAAATTTTTTGTGCATAAATTAAATTCTTCTTCATCCTATTAATTATAATTATAATGGATCTTTGATTTAAATTATTAAGTCTTTATATTTTTAAGTTCTCTAATTTTTAGAGCAATTTGCTTTTATTTTTATTTTTATTTATTCTGATTTTTATGACTGATTTAGAAAATATAAGAAAAGAGATAACAAAATTACAAACTGAGAATGCAAAATTAACAACAAAAGTTGTTAGGAATAGAAAAATAATTGCTTAAAAAGAAGAAACATTTATTAAGGTTTAGAATATTGCAAATGAAGAAGAGACATTTGATTCTGATTCAACTTAAGCCTCCTTTAAAATTAAACAATTACCAAATGGCATGGATAAAGTAAGAGAACTTTATAAAACTGTGTGTTAATGTGGAGGAGCAGCTAAATTTAAGTAATTTAATAGATTATATTTTTAGTGGATTTTGTGAAAGTTGTGTAAAAAAGATGAAAGAAGATTATGAAAAGGCTATGAATGATTATTTACCAATAGCTCTTCAATATGAAAAAGTTTACTCAAGCAATGTTAATAAAGAAGTGAAAATGTTATCCATTAAAAATAAAATAGATAGCATGAAACAAAAAATTAAAGAAGGGGACATTAACTTTTAGGATGAAAGTTTAAAAATATTGTAGGATGAAATCAATTATTTAAGAAAATAAATTAAAATTATTTAAATGGAAGTAATCGATTTTTATCATATTTAGTATGAAGTTTAATAAAAAGAATTTGTTAGATATGTTGAAGAATAAAATAAGGTTTAGGAAGATTTAGAAATGAGATTAGCTAAAAAAGAAAACAAGATCTAAAAAGTTTAGTTCGAAATAGAAAAATTACTCTTAAAAAACAAAAAAATTGAAGAGAACATAGACTTTGCCAAAGAAGAATTAGAAAGCTATGTAAAATGAATCTTTTCATAATTATATTACTTAAATAAAGATCGGATATTTTATTGAGATTCTGTATAATCCTAACCCTTGTCTTACCTTATTTAATTTGATATCAAATTGTAGTTTAAATGCTTTATGTCTGAATAATTTATTACATCATTCAGTTGAAGGATTATTTCTGCCATTATTTTATCAAGAACTTTTTTTTAATTGATTTGGTTCAGAGTAAACAGATATATATTATTTTAAAAACTGACTTCGTATTCTTTTAGATTTAAGTCTTAAATATACAGCTTGCATCTGAAATTAATGTTTTTATATACTTGCTCATCAAATAATCAGATTCAAGCAATTATTGCAATTTTATGCAATAATAGATTGCTAACATATATATCTCCAATTTACATAAATAAATTTCTTTCGCATTTTTTTTAAAGTAAAACAGAAGGTAATATATGACTAGCTTTAAAAATTTGAGCTCTAGTTGGCATATTTCAAATAACCTCTATTAATTTCAAACTTTCAAGCAAATAATCATTTTTAATTATTTTAATAAGGGCTTATTTCTTAAGTCCAACAATCTCACATAAACCATTTAAAAGGCATCTTTATTCATATTAATGAATATGTTCTAAACCTTTTTGAATTTCGTTTACAGTGTTTAAATATTGGTTTCCAAATCAATTGAAATTTTGAGTTCTATTAATTTTTTCAATAGAAAAAAAGAGTACTGACAATTGAAAAATTTCTTTTACACATTTTTTTTATGAAAGTTGATTAATTTATAATAAAGGTGATAAATCTGTCATCTAATTATTTTTATCCTAAATCATCAAATCTAAATAATTATAATCAAAAATGACAGCTAGAGACATTAAATATAAATTAATTTATTTTCAACTATATAAATTCAACTAAGGAATGCTTTAATTATTATAAATTCAAAGACTAACTAAACTTTATAAAAAATTATAAATTCAATAAAGGTAGACAGCATAGACTGTTACCAAACAAAATAATGAATCATTTATGAAGGTTTCAGACACACACATATCGGTGTCATAGTCCCAAAAACATTTTGAACCAACTCTCACACCTTAACCTAATTAAATTATTTACATAAAAATTACCTCTTTATTAACCAATTAAAACATGTACAATAAACTTATATCTGCTAGTGACAGTATATTGTTGTTTCAGTCTATTTTTAATGTTTTCTGCAATATCTTTGGATTAAGTTGTTACATCCTAATATGATCCTGTCTTTAATTTTTATTGTAATATTTCTTATATCAATTCTCTACATTTAGAAGATTTGAATTTTTCTCTTGGCTTAGGTTTGATTTAATATTCCTAGTTTTACTATTGAGGTTTTTTAAGCATTTGAAAAATATTTAATAAATATATAAATTATATATTTTTGGTCATTTTGAATATCATAAGGTTGTCATTTTATTTTTCTCTTAAGAAAGAATTCCTTAGAATAAAATCTATTGAATTTTAGAAATTCATATTTCTCTAATTAACAATACATACTTAAATTAGAATAATCAATTTATTAGAACCGCATAACATATTATTATTTTTATTAAATACTAATATGATTCTTGTATTTAATATGCTCATAAGTAAAGTTACTGTCAAGAAATTTAATTTAAACAAGATAATTTTTATTTTAATACACAAAAAATTGTCATATATAAGTAACCTTATTTTCATCCTTGATTTTGAATTCTCTAGCATAATAAAATAATTATGCCATATTAAATAAAAAATTAATTACACATTTACATGGTTAGATTTATTTAGGGGATTAAGTAATCCTTAAATGAATCTATTGTTAAATATGCTAAAATAATTACATACAAACTGTGGCTATTTGACTAAAAGAAATTTCATTAAAACATAATCAATAAATCTTATTATTTAACTTCTTTTAAATAGTATGTTAAGCTTGAGTCTTTAACAAAGCAAAAAACAAAAATATAAGTCTGTTAGTTCAGATGAAAGATAAAAAATAATCAAAATGTTTTTGGAAAATGCATTTTCTGCTACACAAGTATTTCAAATTTATAATTCAGATAGCTCACCTTACAGGCCATAATTTATCAACGATTAAGGCTATATACAGAATATATAAAAATGAAGGCAGAATAAATAAAAAAGAAAGGAGAGATAGGCAAATCCAAATCAAAAAAAATATGCTCGTTTTAGTAGTTGATGAAAAGTAAATGATTAATACTATAATTATAGAACAAAAAAAATGAATGTCATAGCTAAAAATTAGCTAAAGCAAGATCTAATTCTAAAGAACATAGATTAACCATAAGAATCATTCTAAAATACAATTAATGAGACTTTATAAAATTCTGTGAATGATGTTCTTTAGCAATTAGATAGTTAATAATCAAAGTAATTCTTTAATACAATGATAAAAAATGCACAAAAAGATGGTTTAGAAATAAAAGAATTCTAAGAGATTTCTGAATTCTCAGAGGAAGTTAGCTAAAGATTTAAGATATAATCTTAAGTTTAATATTTTCGAAATCTTTTCTCTCCGAAAGAAAAGTCCTAACAGCAATAATAACTCTTGTATCCCCAGAACATTGAATCATAGCTCTATAAAAATCTCTCTGACCTCAAAAAAATTTTTGAATTCTAAGTTAAAGATTATTTTCAAAAATCCTAATGATAATTTGGAATGATAAATTTCATATTATATAATTTATATTCAAATTATTGATTTTGTGTTAAATTTTTATTCAATTCTTAATTTCTAAATCTTACTATAATTATTATTTTAAAGGTTTGTATTTTTAAAATATAAGAGACTATGAATCTTTTGTTTATAAAAGTCCACATAAAGAATTTTTTTTGTTAATTTCTGAGCATTAATTATTAATGATTTCGTAAATTTTCATTTTCTTTCAATATTATTAAAAGTTAGAGCTCTTCAAAACTAAAAATTTTATCAAAAATGATCCATAATGTTCACAAGATATCAAATTTCTAAATCAATTTATATTTGTTTTAAATTGTAGAATAGAAAAATAGAGTTACAATGATGGCAAATCTAATTTTGGATTTTAAAACTTCAATTTATAATAATAAAATCTTATTTGATTCATTCTTAATTTTTTTTAATTATATAAAAAATTAATTATGTTAGAACATTATTAATAACTAGACAAATATAAACAAAATTTCCAGATAATTTGTTCATAAGAAAGCCTTAAAAATCGATATTGAGATAAAAAAGACTCATCACATCACGATAACAGATAATTTTAATTTTATTTTATGAATACATAAAATCATAATAATAAACATCTATAGAATAAAATATATTACGAATTTGAATGAAAATATCAAGCTAATGTACCTGTATATATTATATATTATATTTATCATTTTTCAACTTTAAGCTCTCCAGAATTGATTTTTCCAATGATTGCTTTTACTGTTTATCCATCGACTGTTGCTCCTAATGATTAGGCAGTTCCTAAAACTTATTTAACTGTTCCAGTGAATGTTTTAGCCAAAGACTTTTCTTCAACTGCTCTAGCAACTTTAATGACTTATTCAAGTGTTAAATTTCCATTGTGTTTGACATTCTTTGTCTTCTTTCTATCTCTCTCATATCCCTAAAGTTTTAACTATTTAATTACTCCAATTTCTTTAATTAATAATGCACTTGAGGTAGGAATGACAGTAACATCTGCATTTCTATTTTAGCATCTCAAGTTAACCATAACTCTAATACCCTTCCATTTTCCACTTTCAGCAATAATTTTATCACCGACTTATTTTGG